TCTTAAAGCCACGGTTCACCTAGGGAAGGCGGATGGTGTTCTCCCCTTCAGGTTCACGGAGAAGGTTAGGGTGACTTTGGCATAAGCAGCGGCTGCCTCCCGCAGGACCAGCTCTGATCTTCCGAGCGCGCAGAGTGACGGGTGACAGGCTGTGGGTGGACTCGAGCAAGGGGTGGATGGGGACAGACTTCATAACAGCTTCCCTTCGCCAGTAGCGGTCACATGGGATCTGAATGATTGAGACAGCCTTTGGAGACGTGCGAAAGGGGAGAACCGGGGGCAGTGGTACCCCGCGGACTGATGTGGGTGTTGCCTCTTTAGGGTTTCCGTCTGGCCAGACATGGGGCCGATACCTGTCACCATATTTTATCGTCACCAGATCTCGGAGCGGGTGCTGGCTGAGCACTCCTCGTAGGAAACTCACCAGCAGCACGCGGCCCAAGAACATAGGCCCCGCCGTCCCCTCCCCGAAACCCTTTCTGCCTCCCGGCATCGGATGGCGGGCGTTGGTATTATTTTCTATTTTTATTGTAACATTAAGCCACGTCCACCGATTCCCAAGTCTGATTAGTTGGCTGCTCCCTGGGCACCATGGTCTGCTTACTGCTTTGAAAAAACAGAAATAGGCGTTAATGGGATTCTGCAAGATTCTGTGTTCAGCTCATTTATCAGGGACCTGGGTGGAGCGTAGAAGCCGCAGAGCTGAGCAAAACCAGCTCGCGGATGGGGTGGCGGGACCCGGGTTCCAGTAGATCTCAGCAGGCTGGTGTCCTGGGCCAAAACCAACACGAGAGAAATTCGGTAGTGATGAATGTTAAGTCTTGCATAAGTGGACACGGGAGGGAGCTGAGTCTACTGTCGTTTTGAAAAGACATTTATGGTGAGGAACAAGAATAGCCTACTCTTACTGAGACATTCACTCATTCCACGTGTTAAGCTGCCGCGTGACTTCATTTAGCGTTCTCTGTGTTATTTTACTCGGGGTAAACATTACCCATCTCCATTTTATAGGCGAGTTTCAGAAAGTTTAAGAAATACTGCTCCCAGTAAATGGTATGACTGAGAGAGGGAGGAAAAGGAAGGAAGGAAGAAAGGAAGGAAGGAAGGAAGGACGGAGGAAGGAGGGGAGGAAGGAAAGAAATAAACTTAGACCCGTCAGCAGAAACCTGGGTCATAGGAGCAATGCACGGTCAAGACAGCGCTGCATTCTAAACGTTACACTTTAAGGTGAAAAGATGCAAACGCATGTATGTGCAGAAAGAGAAAATATTCGTGAAGGAGCTGGACCCTTGAAGGAAGCAGATGACCTTAGGAAGCCTGAGGTCTTCTGTGGAAGAGGACAGACATGTGCTGTCCCTGCTCTGGATTGGCCTGAGTCAGGGGGGCGGGCTGCGTTTCCCTGGAGACAGCAGCCCACAGCGTCACTGTCAGACGTGACCCCGTGACCCTGGGGGCGCTTTATTCTGCTCACAGGTTTTTTTCTGTTGCTGGTTGTTTGCATTACTATCATGCTGTTGCATCGCAGGGCAGAGATGGGAACCGAGTAGGAGTCTGGGATATTGCTACTCTGCAGAAAGAAGAACTCATGAGAGGGCAGGAAATGGCCAAATTCAAAGCAAAATCTGACCATCTCCCAGGAGAGGAGGGACACATAAGGATCCTGCTTGAGATGTCATTGTCTCTCTGTTTTCTTAGGGGGACATGTCTTACCGATCCAACCAGAAATACCAACTGTCTGCATTGATAACATGCCTAGGTCAGAATCAAGAATTGTTTTTTAATTTATTTTCTTGTAAGTAAAAGTGGAGAAGTTATGGAAAGAAAACTTGACTCGAACCATAAACTGAACAGATGGGAGAGTAAAAATAAATTAAAACGATATTGCAAAGGACTCAACTTTCACTTTAAAATATATATGATGATGTTTTTCAACTTTTCACATGCAGCCTATCAGCGTATCGGGTGACAAAATGAAAAATCAGTTGCAGCTGTGTATATTTCCAGGTTTACCTCAGTGATCCGGACTCACCTACCCCCAAAGTCCAGATGAACGTCTTAAACTGCTTATTGTATTGTTTTTATGAATTAAAACTCTATTTTATAGTATGTTATAGGCAAGACACGGCTGTATCTGGTGACGTTTAATGTAGAAAATTGAACTGAACAGTGGTCTAATTGGAAGCATAAATAGTATGGCTTTAATTAGCCCTTATTCCCGATGACAGATTTGACAAGTTGCCAGGTCCTTATCCTTTACCGAAATATTGCCTCTAGCCGGGGGCTGCTCACTGTGCTATAAATAGGTAGCTTGGCAAGACGCCACCCAACCCACTGGCTGGTGAGACTTGGGTGAAAATCACTGGAAAAGCCTCTCCTTGCGTCTAGTCGCTATTTCTTCATTTCACATTTGAAGGTCCTTTTCACAGATCCCTCTCTTAATTTAATTTTTAAACATTTTTTTCGGTTGGATGAGGTAAGTTGGCCTCGTGCTTAAGGAAGGGAGCGCAGTATCGGGTTCAGCCCCAGGCTGGATGTCAGGGTTTCCTTCTCACACACTTCTGGTCCCCGACTTAGAACTAACCTGGAAACTTCTGTCTGACTTGGACGTTTGCGGATGCCAACAGGATGTGGTTCTTGTTTGTTTGCTTGTTGTTGTTGTTTGTTTGTTTTCAGTCGAACTCTTCCAGTATTTGCTTAAAAAGAAAACTGTACAGAGTGCAGAGAAATCACAACAAAGACAGAAGATGTTAACATCACCCAGAGTCCTCCGGCACAGAGGCCACCACTGCTAACATTTTAATTAACCACTCAATACTCACTCCTTTCTCTAGGCACGTACATGTCTACCTGTATTAAAACAACATAGGCCCTGGCTGGTTTGGCTCAGTGGTGAGAGTGTCGGCCCGTGGACCAGTGAGTCTCGGGTTCGATTCTGATCAAGGGCATGTATCTTGGTTGCGGTTCATCCCCAGCCCTGGTTGGGTGGTGTGGGAGGCAACCAGTCGATGTAGCTCTATCACATTGATGTTTCTCTCTGTCTCTCTCTCTCCCTCCCTCCCACTCTCTCTGATAGTAAATAGAAAAATATCCTCAGGTGAGGAATTAAAAAAATAAAAAATAAAAACAGCATAGGCTTAGATGGTTCTGTAATGATTGCCTTTTGGCTCAAAAAACATTTTAAAAAAAGAAATTTGAAAAACCACAGAAGTTCAGATAAAACGAACATCCATTATAACATCACCTGGCTTCATCACGTTGAACACGCTTGTCAGATTTGCTCCAGGTCTGTGAAGGGGGTAAGAGAAGTGAACGTTCCCTCGGCGCTCCCTTCGTGTGTTTCCCCAGTTAGCATTCCTCCTCGTCTTGTCCGTACTTAGAGGCAGCCTGCCGTACTTATTTCCAGCCTGTATATTTTGCGTTTACACTACATTTTCGCTTGTATATTCATCGACTGACACCTGTGTCTGTAGGTGACGAGATGGAAAATGCTAAATGGGTTTTTATCTTGACCTCATCAATCCCATCAGTTTTTTCCCCCCTATACTTTCTACCATTGTTGACATCTGTAGGGCCATCTTTCCTGTATCAGGTTTATATGACTCCAAATCTGTGATTTTTCCAGCATTTTATGGTTTGGGCATTTTTAATATAAAGTTCTGATATATCTGGAATTCATTTTGGTGTATTTTAGGAAGACGTTATCTATTATTTTTTTTAAACCATTCATCATATTGACTTGTGGCCCCGTACTACATCCTCACACTTGGGTCTGTTTCTAGACTCTTGTTTTTTTTTAAATTTAATCCATCTGACTACGATCACTGTGCCAATTCTATACTCTTTTAATTGAGGCAATTTCCCTCTCATTTCCGTTCTTTTACAGTTTTTTTTTCCCTTGGCTCTTGTAGGCATTTACTCTACCAGATGAATTTTAGAATCATTCTGTTAGGTTCCAAAAAAATTCCCTTTGGCAAAGATGTTGATCGGAGTTGCTATAAATACATAGATTAATTTGGAGAGAATTAACATGTTACAGTATTGAGTCTGCCCACTTAAGAATACAGCATGTTTCTCCAATTATTCAAGTCTGCTTCGGTCCCTTAGTAAAGTTTTGTAACTTTGAGTAATAAACACCCCCTTTTTAACATATCTGTATCTATTTACCTATCTTTTAAAGTTGATTCTAGAGAGGGGAAGGGAGAGGGAGAGAGAGAACATTGATGAGAGAGAAACATTCATTGGCTGCCTTTTGCAGGCCCCCCGTCGGGGATTGAGCCCACAACCTGGGTGTGTGCCCCGACCGGGAATCAAACCAACAACCTTGCGGTGTACCGGACGACGCTCAACCAGTCAAGCCACGCTGGCCAGAGCTATCTGTGCACGCTTAACTTGAAACTCCCTCTTTCTCTTTCTTCTGAAGCCCCGGCCTGCGTCAGTGGTGGCGAGTCCAGGAAACAAACTAAACCACACTCTCTTCATAAACGACCCTTCCTTATGTTCGTGGACCCCTGACCCTCTTTATTAACTTGCTTTTCTTAGAATGGAGCCTCTCTCAGGAGGCTCCACAAATCCTTATGCTACGAGTGCCCTTGAGTTAGTGCCAGCCTAGCAGATGGGCACACCCGCATTCAGGGGTGAGAACTTCTCGGGTGCAAGCTGGTACCCTGCTGTGCAGGCCAGGAAACGAATTAAGAAGAAGAAGAACTATTACTGATACGCGGCAAGTTTATTTAAATTCCGGGACGATGACATTGCAGGTTTAAAATGGAGCTTGGGGGCATCAGGACAAGACCTGTGCCAGGGGCAGGTGCCCTCCTGGGCCGGTCTCCCACGCGGACCGCTGTCGTGTGGTCTCCGTGAAGGCAGCCTGTGCAAAGCAGAGCGTGTCTGGGCGACGTCGGTGTCTGAGGAGCTTCGCCCGCGACGGAGGAACAGCTCGGCAGGGCGTGGGGTGTTCCCGCGCATCGCCTGTGATTTACTGTGGCCTTTTCCTGTTCTAGACGTCAAGGAACACGCGGGCAGACGAAGACAAGGACAGCAACTGGGACGCGTGGGGAGACTGGAGTGACTGCTCGCGGACATGCGGGGGCGGAGCGTCCTATTCTCTGCGGAGATGCTTGACCGGGAGGTGAGAGGTGGCCGTGGGCTCCGTGGGGTGCCCGGGCCTGGGTGGGCGGGGGTGAGGGGACACCTGGCTTGTTGGCTTTGGCGGGGCCTGTAATGGGGGTGTCTCATCTGCTGTCTACATATTAGCACATAACAGGGTCCCCCTTGCGTGGGTGTGGCGGCGCTGGACATTTGGGGGGAAGGCTGGCGTGCTCGGCCTCCGGTCCAGAGTTGTGGCCTCAGGTCACTTGCAGGAGAGGTTTCCGGCCTGAGAGGGCCAGGATCTTAGCATCTGTGGCTCTAATTCTGAGGGGTCTGAATCATTTGCAGTGACTGCTAAGGTTCAGGTGGGAGAGGGGCGGCGTTTATTTGTTTGCCTTTATTTATTTATTTATTTATTTATTTATTTATTTATTTTTATTTAATACTCGGTTCAGGTGGGAGAGGGGCGGCGTTTATTTGTTTGCCTTTATTTATTTATTTATTTATTTATTTATTTATTTATTTATTTATTTTTATTTAATACTCACCCGAGGACATTTTTCCATTTTTTGTACAGATAGAGTGGGAGGGAGAGAGAGGAAGAGAGAGAGAGAAACATGGATGTGAAAGGGACACATCGAGTGGCTGCCACCCGCACGACCAACCAGGGCCGGGGACAAACTGCAACCGAGGTACGTGCCCTTAGCGGGAACCGAACCCGGGTCTCTCTGGACCGCTGGCCAACGCTCTAACCGCTGAGCCAAACCGGCCAGGGCTATTTGTTTGCCTTTTAAAAGTGGCACGCACGCTGTTTGCTCAGAGGCACGGGGGAGTATATTAAGGACCACAACCAACCAGCTTACACGACCGCCGACTCTTTCATTTATGTTTAGGTTACTTGGGTTTTGCCTGGAGAGAGCTACCTCCCTGGAGTAAAATCACTGTCACTTTGCCGAGCGGTGGTCTCAGAGTGCACGCGAATTTATGTCTCCTCCTCCCCTGCTGGGGTCAGCTGTTTCTCGGGGGGAGGGCAGCTGCTCAGCATTGTCCCCTCTCTGCACACGTTCAGAAAGGACGTTTGGGTAAACGGGAAACGCAGGCGGCGAGTTCTGCCCAGACCGTCGTCGTGAGCGGGCACCGGCTTTCTGGTGTGACAGGTGTTCACGCTGGCTCGTGCTAGTGGGCACTTTGATGGACGGCTCCGGGACACTCCCCCCACCCCCAGTCCCGCGCCATCTCCTGCCTGCTGTCCCTTGAGATGTGCCCATCGCCATCCTCTCCCTTGGTCATGCAGCTCTCTGCCCAGTTGTTGGACAGCGAGGGAGACTCCCAGCGTCTCCCTTCTTGTGTCTGCTCACCCCCCTCCGCGGTCTTGGTTAGCCCCAGGGACCTGGCTCCCACAGGCTGCCTTGCAAGCCCCCCCATCCACCTGTTTCTCCGGAGACCCCCAGATTGCGAGACGGACTCTGAGTCCAGGGACCCCCAGCTCCTCTGCTTACACAGGCCGCTGCAGCTCACCTGTCCGCCCCCACCGTCCTTGGGGTGAGCTAGACACCACCGCTGCAGGAGACACACCAGTCTCCTTGCGTTTCTTCCTGTGGATTTGGGGTTAGCAGACTGAAGTCCTCATCCCTTCTCTCTCTTTCTTTCTTTTCTTTCTTTTTTTTCAGTCCTCACCTGAGGATATTTTTCCATTTATCTTCAGATAGAGGGAAGGGAGGGAGGGTGGGAAGGAAGGAGAGAGAGAAAGAAACATTGATGTGAGAGAGACACATCGATCGGATGCGACCGAATTGCAACCGAGGTACGTGCCCTTGACTGGAATCGAACCTGCAACTCTGCGGTCTGTAGGCCAACGCTCTGATCCCTGAGCCGGACTGGCCAGGGCCCTTCTCTCTCTTGGTGGGAGGTGGGTCACAGCACAGATGTCGCAAAGAAATTTTCCAAAGTCCTTCCAGTGTCTGAGCCTCCAACTCTGCATGCTCGTCATACCTTGATGTGGGGAAGGAGTTCATCAGCAGCGGAGTAAACTAACACGGAGCCTACTCTGACGAGTCCTCTAGTCCAGGGACGGACAATAAGTAACTACGTTACCATCCCTGGCCGGTTTGGCTCAGTGGTTAGAGCATCAGCCTGAGGACCAAGGAGTCTCGGGTTTAATTCCGGTCAAGGGCACGTACCCCGGTTTCATTCGGTTCCCTGGCTCTGGTCAGGGGTGTGCAGGAGGCAACCAGTCGATGTGTCTCTCTCACATAGATGTTTCCCTCTCTCTCTCTTTCTCTCCCCCTCTCTGTCTGAAAATAAATGGAAAAATATCCGCAGGTGAGGATTTTTAAAAAATAAATAAATAGAAATTAAATGAGAGAATCATACCTTCTGTGGTATTTACACTAAGGCAAGTGTGAGGTGATAAATGTCCTTATTCCCGCTTGGTTCCTGGCCCGGGGCCAGGCCTGTGGCACACCCACTCACTCTCCGTTCCTGGGAAGAAACCGGGACAGTACCATCATTTCTTTGCACTAAAAATTAAATTAGAGTCATTCAAAACAAGGGCCGCAGGTTCGTTAATAATTCACGCATTCCTGCATTCCTGCTTACCCCCTTTTAGGCACCCCAAACCTCACACGCCCCCTCCGTGTTAAGAACTTCCAACTTCATTCGGAAAGTTCTCCGAGACGCGAAAGCAGGGATCCCGCTTCCTTTGGAAAAGCTTCTCAGGTCTCTATCCTAGAGACTCATGAAATCCTCATAAACATTGAGTTCTCGTGGCCGAATTTTCCTGGAAGAGGAATACAGAGGGGTTATATAGAAAACCTAGAGAAAGCTGTCCCCAAGCCGGAGAAAGCATTTTGGAGCCTTCTCCTTTCATCAGCGTGCTTTTTCGGATTTGTGATTTGGGGAAGGGGATGAATGTAGCCACTTTGCTCATTTGTGTCTCTGTGGATAAAGTTGTTTCAGAGTTGGATCACGTGGAGATACAATGTGAGTTCTTCTGCACTGTGCCATGTGCCAGCCAGAATGTCTCTTTCTCTTGCAGAAATGTGTAACTTGATAGCCTGTTCAAGTGCCAACCCTGGGAAACACAGGTTTAAGTTAACTGCTATTTTAAAGAAAAATTAATATATTTTTATTCTTTAAAACACATGCTTCTCAGTTTTTAAGACGCTAGTTTTTGAGTCAATATATCATCAAATGAATGTAATAAATTACAGTGCTATAAACTCCAGGGCGATTTTATTAATGTTTTTAATGTACCCTCATGTGGAATCAACATATGTTTTTTATATATTCATAAATTTATGGCTTCAAAAATCTCCAGTTTCAGGGTGTGATGAATGTTGTAATGGACAGAGAATACATAATTGTGAAACGATGTTCTCGAATTTTCATATACTCCTGATAACCATTAGCTCTTGCACTATAATAATTAGAATGAAATTAAAGGCTTGGAAGTAATATTTCTGCAGCTCTGTTTCTTTGAGCCAAAGGAATTATTTCCAGAATAAGCTGCCAGGTTCCTGCTCAGGGAATTAGGACTCCAGTGTCCTTAACTTTAAAATAACTTGCATTTAGCCTGGCCGGTGTGGCTTGCTTGGTTGAGCATCATCCCATGCACCGGGAGGTCGCTGGTTTGATTCCCAGTCAGGACACATGCCCGGGTTTGGGGCTCAATCCCCAGTAGGGGGCCTGCAGGAGGAGGCCAATGGATGTTCTCTCTTACATCAGTCTCTGTCTCTCTCTCCCACTTCCTCTCTCTCTCAAATCATTAAAAACATATTCTTGTGTGAAGATTAAAACAAAACAAAACCTCACTCTGACTTGTTAAGAGAACCGAGAGAGACTCTCCCTGATTTTTTCCCCCCAATTTTTCAATCCTCACCCAAGGACATATATAGACTTTAGAAAGAGAGGAAGGGGAGAGAGAGAAAGAGAGAAATGTTTATGTGAGAGAGAAACATCAGTCGCTTACCTCCTGCATGTGCCTCAACCTGGGTCGGACCCACAACGCAGGTATGTGCCCTGACTGGGACTCAAACCCAAAACCTTCTGGTGCACGGGACCACGCTCCAGCTAACTGAACCACCTGGCCAGGGGTCTCCTTGTGTCTTTACGTCCACATCCTGGTCCCTAGCAGGTTCACCATAAGAAGTAGTTGTAGAAAATACCACACTGGTACTTTGTATTTTGAGAATTCATGAAATAAAAGGATCTCTTTCAACATCCCTGTACTGTGGCTGCAGCAGCATTTATAGTGGAGATTGCTCTGGCCGGCTCAGCAGTTAGAACATCGACCCTCGGACCGAAGGGTCACGGGTTCAATCTCTGGCCCTGGTTGGGGTCGTGCGGGAGGCAACCAATTGATGTGTCTCTCTCACGTTGATGTTTTTTTCTCTCTCCCTCCCACTCTATCTAAAAATCAATGAAAATATATTCTCGGGTGAGGATTAACAAAAGGAAAATTTTACATACAGTGGAGCTATGCTGATGTTTTGGGTTTAGATTTTCAGGCTTGACACTCAAGAAGCAAGTTCCTCCTTCATGGTTTGGACACAGCAGGCGGCCATAAGGGTAGACCATGGACCCTGTGGGGCTGGGACACAACCGTAAGCTGCCTTCAACGGACACGATGTTCTTTTTGGGGGGTTTTAGATTTTTTTTTTTTTATCCTCACCCGAGGACATTTTTCCATTTTTTGTTCAGATAGAGCAGGAGGGAGAGAGAGGAAGAGAGAGAGAGAGAAACATCGACCTGAAGGGACACATCGAGCAGCCGCCACCCGCACGACCAACCAGGGCCGGGGACAAACTGCAACCGAGGTACATGCCCTTAGCGGGAACCGAACCCGGGTCTCTCTGTACCACAGGTCGACGCTCCAACCGCTGAGCCAAACCGGCCAGGGCATAGATTTCTTTTTATAGAGGTGGTTTTGTTGTTCACGTGAATTGCTAAAATTAAGCAGTTCCTAAAAATGCATCTGAAAAAATCACTTCTGAGGTTGTCCTGCACTTTTGAAGAAAATGCCACTCTTTGTAAGTTTCAACAGGTTTCTGTGTGTGCATGTGTGTGTGTGTGTGTACATGCACGCACACATTCCAGTATTTAGATCGATTCCGATATTCTCGTGAACGGTGCCTCTGTCATTTGCCTGGCCCCTTGAAATTAGAATCAAAAGCTTTTTAGGGTTATAAGTCAGCATGATTCCGAAAGCTTGAAGTTATCACTTCCCGAATCTATTAGCTGCTTTCCTCAATTGGGGCTTTTTCAAAATAAACAGAGCACTTGAAATCGCCCTTTCACTTTCCCTGTGATTTATGTTCTTCTTTCGTCCACACGCGAAGAGCACAATGGAGTCAGTCATGCAAGCAAGTGACCTTGTGTCGTTCCCAGGAGAGCGGGGTCATTTCCCTTTGGCCGGGAGAAAGACCCCTCCGCCCTAAGACAGTCGCCCCGCCGGCTGGACGAAGCCTCGGCAGAGCTGAGTGAGTTTCAGAGCCGCGCACCTAGGACGAGTCTCGGAGTTGGCAATGCACAGGGTCACAGGATACGGAGCCTGGGCCAGCCGGTGGCCATGAGCTGGGAGGATGTCCTCACACAGAAGTCAGGGGAACCGATGAACAGGCGCGAGCGATGGGCACGCTGTCTGTGTCCCACTCAGAGCGCACGCTGTCATCTGGGTAACGCGGTTCTCTCCACCGTGAGACCCCCCTCTCCCGAATGTCTTCTCACGGAGGCTGGGAGGAGGCCGGGGCTTTTGTACGTGATTGAAATGTGCACAGTAAATATTGGAAAGAAGGAACAGAAAGGAAGGCGAGGATGGCATGGGATGCAAAGCGAGAAGGGGGAGACGGGGAAGGATGGCAGAGAGGGACTGTCTCAGACACTAAAATACAAAACCTCCACTGCAGAAAAGGAAGGTCAGCCCCGTGGAGGGGTGTGTCTGGAGGTGGTGTTTGGGCACATAGGAGAAGCTTGAGATGCATCTCAGAAGAGAGCGATGAGATGTGTCGAAGAGAAAACCAGGCATCGGAGCAGAGGGGGCTCTAACTCGGGAATCATGGCTGTTTTTGGAACAAGAGCTGCAATCAGAGTTATAACCGGGGACTACTTCCTGGCACTGCAAATAAAAACCTCGAGCATCGCAGTCAAAGGGGCTCACCGTTTTTACTCAGAATTGTTCAGAAGAAACTCACAGCTGGATACACCCTGGCTACAGATTTTACTGCACATACCAACACACGCACACTAACCCCACCAAAAACTAAGCTTCCAGGCAGAACAGTGGAACACATGTAGTGTACCAAAGAACAAACTTTAGACTTCTCTGCAGGCCTGCATGTCAGAGGCCGGGGAAACACACCTGCAGTTTTGAGGAAAAAGATCACGGAAAAAGTTCGGTATCGTGTGCGCTGCTGCCTCCCCTTTGTGAAATGCAGAGGCCCCGTCCTGTGCCAGCCATGCACCTGCTCGAAACAACCACCAGATAACATGGAGCCGACGCAGACGTAGACACTCGCTCAGGAAAAAGGCCCGTGTCGAAGGACTGGCCGTGGTATTGATGAGGGAAGGTGCTGGAGCCCCAGCCAGCGTGGGTCTGGTCCTCGATGAGGGAGAACTTCTGCTATTGGCACATTCCACAGAAGTGCCCTGCTGGTCGCTTTTCCTTCATTGTCATAGAAAAATACACATTTGCACACATCTCTCTCACTCACAACACATGGATTTCAGTGGTTATGTGGTCCCCAGGGTGAGAGCTGCGTGTAAGTCACATTATTGCGTTAATGAAACTAAAGAATTCACTCTCTATTTCATAAAGTGGTGCTGCCATGAGACTTTATAGCCTCCCGATCCGTGAAAGTTGTTTCTTAGAATTTAAACTTTCAATTTTTGAGAGGTTCTGTGAGCCAAGAAAAGTTTTACCAGGGCCTTGCTTTGGCTTCTACCCCTCCCCCCCCCCGCCCCCGTTTGCCATTTTCATGAAATCATTGTTTTCTTCTTTCCCTCTCTATTTTTCCCCTTTAGGAATTGTGAAGGGCAGAATATTCGCTACAGGACGTGCAGCAATCATGTAAGTTCTGTAATAAAAATATGGAATCTAATAAAAGACGTTCATGGTTTCGGTTATAATACTGTTGTGTGTACTGTGACGCTCATGGTCTCTGGTGCCTTCACGGAAATGCTGCATATTTGTTTAATGGACAGCAGGTTGTGTGTGTCTCTTGGCTCCCATGTGCACTACCTTTGGAGAACCTTTCACACGTATGATCTGACTTGGGAAGTATGTCCTAATTTCCGAATTCGTAGACGCAAGGCCTCGTTTCTGTAAACGCCCTCAGAATTCCAAGTGCTCCGTTTGCGGCACCTCACCCGGCCCTGGAGGCCTCCGGGGTGTGGTCGTTTCTCTTGCAAATGAGGAGGAGGCTGGGCCGAGGGAGGTGGAATTATTTCCCAAAGGCCACCTAAAAAACACAGACTGGAACTCATCTGTCCTGCCCACAGCAAGATGAGTTCAGGAGAATGGTAGGTAACGCGAGGACTCACACACGAGGAAGGGTTTATAAACCTGACTCTTCTATAAACTGCGGTAACGTTGGTTTATAATATAAGCGTCAGGCATTCAGCACTATAGTTTGCTCTCTCTGTTCACTGCAGCGTGTTCACCACCGAAAGTCTGTTGGTCATCTGTCGCCAAACACTTGACCCCAGCCTCCTTCCCTCTGTAATCACCTGTCTGTTGTCTGTATATGTGTGTATGTGCATGTGTGTTCTTCTTTTATTTTGTATTTCACATAGGAGTGAAATCATACATGGGTTTCTTTTTCCATCTGACTTATCTCACTGAGCATAGCATCCTCAAATTCCGTCCATGCCGACACACAAATGGCAATATTTCATTTTTTACAGCAGAGCGTGTCCCATGGTATATATCTTCTTTTTGTTTAATTCTCACCTGAGGATACTTTTCCATTTATCTTCAGAGAGAGCGAGAGGGAGAGAGAGAGTAACATCGACGTGAGAGAGACACATTGACTTGGCTGCCTCCTACACGACCCCGACCAGGGCCGAGGCCGAACCGCAACCGAGGGACGTGCCCTTGACCAGAATGTGGACCCATGACTCATTGGTCCACAGGCCGACACTCTAGCTGCTGAGCCAAACAGGCCAGGGCTGTACCCCATCTTTTTTATCCATTTGTCCATCGGTGGACACTTAGGTGGCTCCCACATCTTGGCTGTGGTAAATAACACTGCAGTCAACAGATGCAGATATCTTTTCGAAGTAGTGTTCTGTATTCTTCGGGTGAATACCCAGATGTGGAAGAGCTTTGTCATAGGGTGGTTCTCGTCTTAATCTTTTTTTTTATTTTTTTTATTTTTTATTTATTTATTTATTTATTTTTTTGTACAGATAGAGTGGGAGGGAGAGAGAGGAAGGGAAAGAGAGTGAGAAACATCGACGTGAAGGGACACATCGAGTGGCTGCCACCCGCACAACCAACCAGGGCCGGGGACAAACTGCAACCGAAGTACGTGCCCTTAGCGGGAACCGAACCCGGGCCTCTCCGGACCGCAGGCCGACACTCTAACCGCTGAGCCAAACTGGCCAGGGCTCGTCTTAATCTTTTGAGGAGCCACTCAGCTGTATGAACCTTACTCTGAGGACCTTCCCCAGCGCCGGATGGAGGACACAGTCCTCATTCTGGTCGTAGCCTTCTTCAGTCTGACTCCTCCGCAGGTGTGACCTGGGTTAAGGTGTAGTCTTGCCGGACAGAAGAATGTGGCCGCAGTATCGGGTTCTGGATGGATTCACAGCAAACTCATATAATTAATCCTGGGAGAAAGTTTATTTGTTATGTTTTATTTATTCCCTACTGACTTCCAGAAAGGATTTGAGGCAAGTGTATAAAGGCATAAACACAGTAAAATACAAAAGTCAAGTAGTAAATAAAGGCAGAAACTAAATTTTGAAATTCTGGCTGATAATTTATTAGTAGTTATCTGTGGAAAACATGAAGTTAAATTTTTACATTATACTACACATCAAAATAAATTTTAGATGTGGCCAAGAGGTCAATATAATTTCTGTTAGGGAATAGAGTCAGTAATATTATAATAACTATGGTGCCAGATGGGTACTAGACTTGGGGTGATTACTTCATAAGGTAGAGAACTACCTCATCACTAAGTTGTACACCTGAAACTAATATAACATTGTACGTCAACTGTAATTGAAAAATAAATTTAACGTAATTGTTAGACCATAAAGGAACAAGAAGAATACATTTAAGTATTTATCTGTTCTGAGGGAGATGGCAAAAGCATTTCTAAGCTTATTAATAAGGAAAGAAACCTTAAAGGAAATCTTAATAGAGCTGACTACACGAAAATTTAGAACTTCTTGAATTCATAAAGCTCCAAAATTAAATGGAGAAAATCTTTTCAATACCAAGGACAGAGCGTTAATAACTAACTTTACTGTGAAGTTAAATAGTTTTATCTGTTAAAAATAATAAAATGACAAACATTCCAATAGATAAATTTTTGAAGAATCACTGCCATAAACAAATATACATGAAAATATATGAAACCTAAATAATTAAAAGGAAATGCAAATCTATGTAACAATTATGACTGGAAAAACTTCTAGGGAATTATAATACCCAGCCCTGGCCAGTTTGGCTTCGCAGTTAAGAGTATTGGCCTATTGGCCTAAGGACCGAAGAGTCATGGGTTCGATTCCAGTAAGGGCATGTGCCTGGGTTGCAGGTTTGATCCTTGGACCCAGTAGGGTTGTGCAGGAGGCAACCAAATGATGTGTCTCTCTCTCACATCGATGTTTCTCTCTCTCTTTCTCTCCCCTCTTCCCTCCCACTCTCTTTAAAAATCAGTGGAAAAATATCCTCAAGTGAGAATTAATAATAATAATAATAATATCCAAACTGAGAAGAGGTATTGAGTAAAGGGAACTTACATAGCCTGAGAATATTAATAATACCTTCCTGGAGCGCAGTTTTGCAATATTTTTTAAAAGCCTGTGAAACACACCCTTCTTCTCAGAAATTTTATTTCCAGAGATTTGTCCTTGGGAAGCAGTCAAGGATCTGGGTAAAGATTTAGGCACAAGGGTCTTTCCTAGTTATTCTTTTTTTGAACAGAAACTATTTTTCAAGTTTACAGTAAACATTACTTTTGTCAAAAGAAAAAAAATATACAATACCATATTGCCATTCTGTGCCCGTTCTGGGGAAGTTTCTGTACAATTCGTTAATTCCATTCATCAGGACGTTTGTACTTTGTATCCGAGTGAAAGAACATTTTTGTCATCCGGCATCTCGCTTCGGAAATAGCTAATGGGAGGGATCGGCAGTTAAGTTAAAACATCCTTGGGTCATCAAGACTTGTACAAACACTTTTCACTGTGATTACGAGAGCGCCCCAGGGTGGTTACTCAGAATGTATGTGCGTTTGTTGTAGACAGAATTAGAAAAAGCTACCCTGTCTCTCCATCCTACAATCTGTCGGAGGCAGGCACTTGGCTGGGGTCTGGGAACAAGGCAGATGAATTAAACAACAATAATATTTTTTTAAAAAAGCAACGAACACGAGGTCTCCCCACGCACAGCAGTTTGGGGCCGGCATGGGGCCAAATCATCCTTCCCGTGGAAATGGCCCCGAAGGTGTTCGTGATAATTCGTATTCCCTGGGAAGACCTTGAGTCACCTGCAAGAGTCGAAAGCATTGTGTTCCCCTTGTTTCAAAAAGAAGGGGACCGTGTCATGTGAATGAAAGTGTACATCCGAGGTGGATGAGACAGCAGAGCGTGGCGTCCACGGAAGCATTCATTATTTGGGGTTGGGGTGTGATCCGAGTAAATGGTGATTCCCCCGTGTGGATCATTACCCTGGAGGTTTTGCTAGAGTCCCCCAGCGGAGGGTTCTGTTTTGAATGTTCAGAGGGAAAGAGGTGACTCCCAGGAGAGGGGCAGGGGGGATCAGGTCTCACGGGACTCGGGTGGACACGTCCAGGGCTCCCATGTGACTGGGTGACGTGCGTGTGCCCTTGTCTTCCCCAGGACTGCCCCCCTGACGCGGAGGACTTCAGAGCCCAGCAGTGCTCCGCCTACAATGACGTCCAGTACCAGGGCCGTTACTATGAGTGGCTTCCGCGGTACAATGACCCCACCGCCCCCTGTGCGCTCAAGTGTCACGCACGGGGACAGAGCTTGGTCGTGGAGTTGGCCCCCAAGGTCCTGGATGGCACACGCTGCCACACTGACTCCCTGGGCATGTGCATCAGTGGCATTTGTCAGGTAAGCCCCCTGCTCACCCTCCCCCCAGTTCACGGGGGTGCCACCCCACTCTCAGTAAACAGCATCTCTCTCTTCTTTCCTTTTGTCCGTGCACATGAGATCCTTGTTTTTGATCATTTTCATGTAAAAAATATTCTAGAGAGGATTCCTCGCCTTTTAAGTTGTTTTGCTTATTTAAAATAGTTTAATTTTTGCCCAAGTAGAGTCCTGAAGATTGCAACGTGAAACCTTTTAGGGTGCACCTTAGGCCAGTGGTTCTGCAGCTTGGAAGCTCATCGGAACCGCCGGAAGGGGTTGTTAAAACACAGTGTGCTGGGCTCCAACCCCAGACTTTCTGAACCCGTGGATTTGGGGTGGGGCCTGAAGATTTGCATTTTCGGCAAGTTCTGGGAGATGCTGATCCTGGGCCCGAGGACCTCACTTTGAGAACCACTGGTTTGGAAGGTTAATGATGCTATATTCTCTGGGCCTTTTTTTTTTTTCTTCGTCTTCTTTTTTTAAATGTTTTTCTTTATTGATTGTAGAGAGAGAGGAAGTGAGAGGGAGAGAGAGAGAAATATCTAAGAGAGAACAATTGATTGGCTGCCTCCTGCATGCCCCCCACTGGGGACTGGGCCCACAACCTGGGCATGTGTCCTGACCGGGAGTCAAACTGGTGACCTCTTGGTGCAGGGTCGATGCTCAGCCATTGAGCCACACCAACTAGGTATCTCTGAGACTTTTAATTCATTGTTTTACTCTTGTAGTTCATTGTCTCGGGTCCTTAGGGGCAGTGACTTATTTGCTGAAGAAGCATGGACCCATTCTGAGTGGCCGTTCAGAGTGGACTTTGCAGGGCAGTGATGAGTGGCTGAGGCAGAACCCCACACGGGTGTTTCGGTGTGAGCATTGGGGGTCCTCTGACAGGTTGTTGAGATAGTGTGGGGATGGCTGGGAAAGGATGGGATTCCCCCTCTGTTCCTTCGATTTCTGAGGGGTGGGGGGGAATTAAAATAATGAATGGCTAGTATTCCATCTACCCTTTTACGCTCATTATCAACAATAGTCACAACAGCAAGCAAACCACCAAACCACCGACTGAGTGCCAGGTTCAGAGGTGACCCATCATCTTGCTCCTCAAACTAGCTTTTTCTTTCCTTCGTCCAGAAAATCAACTCCAGCTGCTCACGGCAGCACTCCGGGTCATTCTGGATTCTTCTCTTTCCACTTACACATCTAACCCACCGCCAAGTCCTGTCAGGTCTACCTTCAAAGTCTGTTTTGGACTCACTGTTGCTTTCTGCGGCCGCCGACTTCTTAGTCTAGGCCTCCGCCAACTACTCTGACCTCACGGCATTAATAGCCGCCTGTTCTGATGTCTCAGCTCCACGTGGTCTCCCTTGGATCCGATCTCCACACGGTGGCCAAAGCGATTGTCTTTTTTTTTTTTGGCTGGAAAATACACTCTTTTTTTTTTTTAATTTTAATTTTTTTAAATATATTTTTTATTGATTTTCGAGAGAGAGGAAGGGAGAGACACATCGATGTGAAAGAGATACATCAATTGGCCACCTCCTGCACGCCCCCTACTGGGGGTGGAGCCCACAACCTGGGCATGTGCCCCGGGCGGGAATCGAACCAGCCACCTCTCGGTGCACGGGACAACGCTCAGACAACTGAGCCACACCGGCTAGGGCTGTACTCTGTATTTTTATTTATTTACTTTAAACTATAGCTGACATACAGTACTGTGTTAGTTTTAGGCGTACCGCATAGTGATTTGACGTTTGCATGCCGTACAGAGTCATCACCGCAGGGGGTCTAGTCACCGTGTGTCACCCTGCACGGTTATGATATTACTGACTCTGTTGTGTCCTGCGCCACAAAGTGATCACCCTACATGTCCATCAGTATGTTACCCCTCGCACCCCAACCCCTCCATGGCTTGTCATTGAAGGGCCCTGGCCGCCTGTCCAGGCTCTCTCTGAACTCTGCCCTCCCCTTCCTCACTTCCTCTTAAAATAGACTTAATTTTTCGGATTCACAGCAAAACTGAGTGGAAGGTACAGGGATCCCCCCACCCCATCCTACGTAGGCTCCGCTTCCCTCATTGCTGGTCCCACATCAGAGGGTACATCCCTTCCAGCCGGTGACCCCCGTGGATGTCATCACCACCCACACAGACAGAAACGTGCTACAGATTTTAGTTGTCAGCAGAAGCCAGGAATCTGCGAACTGTCCCGTTGAGAACAACACCGCCCCTGTTGCTGACCCTGCTTTCTCCACGCGTGATTCCGTGGCGCCCCTGCGTAACCAGCAACCCCCAAAACGCAGTGGTTGGAAACAATTCAAGGTTATTTCTGGCCAATGCTCCTTGTCCGACAGGGGTCGGCAGGGGTCTCTGCTCTTGGAACGTCTGAGACCCAGACGGAGGGACACTTTGTTCGAACGCCTGTTTTCCACCATAACTGCAGAAGTGAGGACACGGTCACATGACTCACGCTCTGACCCTCCCATGAGTCCACGTGGTGGGGTCATGTCTCACTGGCCAGAGACGGTCAGTGACATCTTCGCGTCTCGGGGTGGGCAGTGCTGTCCTCCCACAGGCTGGAAGGAGAAGCTCATGGACAGCCTTAATGACGGTCATACCTCCATCCTAAAATTACAATTGTTTAGGCAGGAATGTTAGAGTCTTTTCTAACATGGAATCCAATTTTCAGGGTTGATCTGAAGCGGAACCTGACTCAAAAACAATGTTGGCTTCTTGAAGGATTAAATTGGACTTATTTAGGAAATTCATATATATCTTAATTTGGAGTAATGTCCCTTCTTTAAACACTGTCTTCTCTTAGCTGATTAGGAAATCATAGGCAGGAACTCTGCAATCATCCTCAGTGAAGCGATGATTTATATACGGACATTTATTCCAAGAAGCACTGCTCATGTAGTTTAAGTATCTGTTTAGGTTATCAGCAGTCTCGTGTAACTTGTCTCATGAATTACGAATCTCATTTATACTCTGCCTTGCCTGGCTGTACAGAAATTCTTATTTCATAGATGTTAATACATTTTATTGATATAGTCAATCATTTAGTGGTTTTAAAATCATTATAATTAGAGGTCTTGTCTTCGGGAGATGCCACAGAAGCTGAAAACCCTTCAGGCCGTTTTTAAACGTTGCTTATTGTTGATTACGAAGGGGCCCAAGAGCCCGAATCCAGTCATTTCTCAATTTAAAGGGCAGTTCTGGCTTAGGTCCTATGAATCATGGGGCAACCCGACCTTCTCTTCAGATATTATTTTCCTGTGAAGTTTGCACACGCTTGTTTTGGCTGTAAGATTTGGATGAACTGCAACTTTAAAAAAAAAGTTATGGAACAAACATAGGAGCTCAGGGAGGTGTTCAATCGCCCACGTTCTTGCAAGGCCCTGAACACTGTTCCAAACAAGGCCATGTTGGCTCCCAAGCCCACGCCCTCCCTGGACGGCCGGAGAGAGGGTGATTCGCATTCTCATGAAATGCAAAGTGCTCAGGGACCCCGATGTGTGAGGACAGAGCTTGGCCCAGGAACTGTGTGGCTGTAATTCGATCGTGGAATATTACTCCCCGTGGAGAGAGTTGCATGGACACAAGCTATTCATTGATTGAATCTCAACCTTGCAAGTGTGTTTCCAAAATCAATCACTCTTAAGTTGTTCCACATGTACTTGTAAATATTCCTAGAATGGCCCCTGTGACTGGGCTCTTTATCATCCATCTGCTGATTAACCAAAGATGAGCAAGGTGTTAAGATGGGGGTGTCGGATGACCTGGGTTTTCAAAACCATGACTGACATGAAATACTAGCCGTGTAATGTTGGAAAAGTCATTTAACCTCGGCAACAGTCAGATGCCTTATTTGTAAAACAGAGATAAAAGGTATCAAGTGTATTATAAGGTTGCTGTGAAGAGTAAATGAAATAATGTCTTTATAATGTGCTTGGCAGTTCTGCCAGGAACATGGCAGGCACTCAATAAAAATCAACGTTTGCCATTAATATTTTATGACTCTTTATAAAATCATATAATCAGGATGAAAGGATCTTAAAAGCCATTGGATTCAGCTACTCATTGAATAATTTGACCCCTTCTCCAGTGTTCCCACCAAGAAGCCTCCTGGCCCACGGTTGAATACTTACCGTTCGACGCGTCTGACGGTCTCACAGTGAATTCCGTTAGGCTTAAACCTGTCGTTTTCATCACTTGGAAACACGCAGAGCGAATGCAAGCCGTTTCCCCTGACGGCCCTGTATGAATTAGAAAATATCTCTAGTCATAGGCTTTTGCTTAAACTTCCTTGGAACTTTTTCCTTACTCTCCTTGAAGTTTTCATTTGATCTTTCTCCTTCCCTTCAGCACCAAAACCTTGGAAAGAATCTACAGTGGGTTTCAGCTGCCTCCGGTTTTGTGTTCAGAACCTTGGATGTCATGTCGAATTCATGCTGAACACGGGGGCTCCCACCTGAGTCAAAACGCAATGAAAAACAGATAATAGAATGGGCCCCCTTTCTACGAGCCCTTTAATCACTGTACTGAGAGTTTTACTTATATTTTCTCATTTAATCCTTATTAGACCCTCTGTGCAGTACGGATTATTATCCCCATTTTCCTCCGGAGGAAAATGTCTGTGAAAATTTAATTGTTCAATCTCCTGCATCTGGAAAGGGGCGGAAGGGCGGGTCAGGTTCTGTGTGTCGACTGTGGGCCTTCGAAGTCCCTTCAGTGCCGTTAAGCATCAGGTAAATAAACACAAATAAAGATGAGTTAGTGTGGAGAGGTAGAGGTAAACTCTCACTTTAGTCAATATCATGGGGAATATTATGTAAATACATACTGGTGAAATAAGAAGGATAAGCTACAGCCTCTTTTCTCATATAAGGAAGCTCACAACCCAACACATATGCGCACACAAATAACTCACAAAAATCATAAGTCACAGGAGTCTGGTATAAGCCTATTCTATATGAGACGGCTCTCTCAGTCACTCCTTTCTTACATTTTAAAAAGTGTTTATAAAGACAAATATATAGATACAATGGCACAGAGGCAGAACCCTGTCTGAGCAGGTGCCCATAATGATAGAGAGGAAATGCTAAGATACAGATATAGAGTATATAGAGAGAGATGGATGTATCGATGGTAAAATGCAGGTATGTGGGGATTCAGATGAAAACAGAGAAAAAAGGATTTAAAACTGTGGACCGATGGTTATACCATGATTTCAGGATAGTGGTTGTTTTGGGAGGAACTGAGAGACTAAGACTAGAGAGTAGAGGGAGGAAGAGGTGGGGAGAGGGGAGAGAGGAAACATTATCTGTAAAATTCCATTTATTTATTTATCCTCACTCAAGAATATTTTTTCTGTTGATTTTGAGAGAGAGTGGAAGGAAGGGAGCGAGGTGGGGTGAGGGTCTGAGAGAGAGAGAAACGTTGATGTGAGAGACACATTGCTTGGTTGCCTCCAGCACGCGTCCCGGCTGAACCTAGGGATTGAACCTGCAACCGGGTAGGTACCCTTCACCGAGAAGTGAACCTGTGACCCTTCGGGGCCCAGTCTGACGCTCCAGCCACTGAGCCACACTGGCCGGGGCAAGTTCCACTCATTTTATACACACACAAATAACCTGAATAGAAACACAAATACAGTAAGAGTGGGGGACAGCTTCAGGTCTTCCCTTTTCAGGATTTGGGCCTTGACTAGAATCATGTTATGCTCTAAAAGCTTTATGTTAGTCACAGTTTAACAAGCTGTGTTCTTCTACAAGGACAACCAAGTCACACGTTTAAGAAGGATAGCCCCATAAATAAGAAAAAAAAAATTGCGTTTTGCCTCCCGCGTTCTCACGGGTCCTGACGCCTTCTCTGTCCCAGGCGGTGGGCTGTGACCGGCACCTGGGGAGTCTCGCCAAGGAGGACAGCTGCGGGGTCTGCGCTGGCGACGGCTCCACCTGCAGGCTTGTGCGGGGACAGTCCAAGGCTCACGTGTCTCCGGAGAAAAGTAGGTTTCCAGCCCAGTACAATGTTACCATAGAACAAGGTGCGCTTTAGACTGTTGCTGGAATAACATTGTCCTAACACTACCGGTTTCCTGAAAGTCACCTGTCTCCTGAAAACGCTATCAAATGTCTGTTCCCCCTGGTTCTCCCAGGAATACCTGTTTCTCTGCACCTTTGCCAACTTGAGTAGGACTATTTTAAAATATCTGCTGCTTTTTTTTTGTAAATCACGAAATAATAATTTATTTGCCGCCCTTTGATTGCTAACAAGGTAAAAACATTGTCCTTGTTGCTCATTGCTACTTTTTCACTTTTCAGTTAGCTGCTGAAGGCATGGATTCATTTTCCCATTGGGTGTTTCCCTCCCTGCTGTGACCGTTGCCTGTTTCACCGATGCTACCTTTTATCTGCAACATCTGTTTCCAGGGTTGCCCTCAGTGTGCCATTGGATTTAAATGTTGTGTGTATTTTTAGAATCAATAGTTTCTCCATTTTCTGCATTCAGAAATGTCCGTCTTTTCATTTCAGTAATATCTGCCCTTTTTTAAATCCTTTAATTTGGGGGAACAGTGTACTTTTTCTGGAGTATACATTTCCAGGGAGTAAATGTGTTCGGGCTTCGCGGGGCATTGGTCCCCGTCACCCATTCCGCACTGACATTGTGGTGCAACGCCTCCCACAGACAGCCGTGAACAAACGGGCTCAGCTGCGTTCCGATAAAACTTTATTTGCACCATAGGCTGCAGTCTGCATTAGACCCTCAGGCTGTGGCGTGCTGACCTTCACCTTAGAGGGGCCAACGGATATTGGTTGTAGCCGGAGCAGTATCACAGAAGCCCCAGGAAGGAGTCACCTCACAAAGGAGGGCTGGGCTGCCCTGTTATAGGCTGCTGTGAGCCCAAGTGGGGTGAGGGGCCCCCACATTTCTAACATTGGCAGTTGGAAGATCATTTGTGGTCTTGGCAAGAGTGGTTTCGGTGGATTGCAGGCTGAACCCCAAGCGTGGTTGTGGTGAGTGGCTGAGCGAACAGAAGGTGAGGATACCGAGGGAAGGATCCTCCCAGGACCGAAGGAGGGGTGCGCGCCCACAGGTCGAGAGCCGCAGTGAGCGCTGGCTTCAGGAGTGTGGGGGTCTCATTAGAAAAGACAGCGCTGGGTCGGGGTCCCAACGAGACTAGAAACTGAGAGAATTCTGATCGAACCGGGGTGGACGCTGGTTGAAATCAGGTCAAGGAGCCAGTCTTTCTGGAGAAGGGTGCGGAGGAGGCCCTGGCGTGGGAGAGGATGGGGTGCTGTTGGCTGAAGGGGGTCTCTGCCGGTTTGTACTGCTTGGTAAGATACACACACACACCCCACACTGATACTCAGTTTTTTAATTGTAGATCCTTTCAAAGTTCAGTTGAAAGTTAGGCATTTCCTCTCCATGAACATGCACATAGTCCCATAAGCTCCAAATTAGCCATTCTGATTTTTCAAGGGGGATCTCAGACCCCCGATGTCTGTCCAGAGCATTCCAGGTGAAGAGCCCCTGGAAACCCAGTGTTTTTGATTAATTTCTGCAAAGAAAGGGCCGCCGGGCTGTAGGCACAGATCCTCGAATGCAGAGGGGACGAGAGCCGGTCGGGGCGTGGGCAGCCCCAGGCCGCCCCCAGATTCTGTCTGCGCACCTGGTCCGAGGCCAGAGGCGGCCAAGCTTCCTGCCCGTGTGAAAACACGGTGCTTCTGGGCCTTGCTTTCCACGAGAGCCCCTCATGTCCGTCGCTGCCCCGAAGCTGGCCCGCTGCAGCCCGTTCTGGCTGGGGTTTTCCACGGGCCATATGGAAGCACTTTGCTGTAATCACGCTGTGTGTGAAGGAAATGTGGGGAGCGGAGCCACGTCCCCCCCGAGTGTGCGTCCCCGGCCTGCGGCGCCCACGGAGCCCCTCCGGGCTCCCCTTGCCAAGCCGTCATCCCTGCACAGCCTCCTGGGACGCGCGCTGAGTGAGGACGGGCACCGCCCTGCTCCGGGGACGGTCCACAGGGTGGCCGCCAGGCTGTCATTTCCATCATGCTGTGCGGCGGGTTCAAGGTGTAAGAGCCCGGAGCCAAAACCTTCGCTCTGAGAAACATCAGAAACCCGTCCAGATACATAAATTTCCTGTGCGGAGGGAGGAGGACAGAGGCTGAGCTAACAACTGGCGTAAACAGCGCTGGGTGTTGGAACACGGTGTTTAAAGCGAGAAGACTCTGCAAACAGCCACTAGGAAGCAGACGTGTTGATTTGGAGGGTCTTGGCCGAGCGCCCGGGGCCCAGTTCTGTTTCCAGGTTTGCCTCTTGCGTTGGTCTTGTCCACGAAGGGGCATGCGTGCATGAGGCGGACAAATAAGCCTGCTCAGCATGTCTGGTTGGAGCTCCGGCCCATTTTAACCTGGTGGCAACTAAGTGCCTGGGGTACCTATGGGAGCAGGGATTCCTCAGGCTGGCCAGACACACCAGCGCGCCACTCATCACTGGTTGTTATGACGATAACGCCTCCTCCTCGCAAAGCATCCCTGGTACTCCCGACAAAACGAGAGTCCTGGGCTGAGTGACGGTGGGACCATGTCACAGGGTGGTGCTCAGGATGTTTATTTCTCCTTTGACTCCCACTCCCCCAAATAAATCTAACTTACTCGTGACAAGGAGGGCTGGCCAGGTGGTCCTGTGTTCTGATGCCACCTCTCTCTGCCTCCCCACTTAACCTTTCTAGGGCGAGACCCCGAGTGATAATATTCCTATACAAGGACGGTGGTGGGAAAGGAATACTCAAACTAAAGACCCTGATAATTTTTTTAATGTATTTTTAAAAATATGTTTTTATTGCCTGGCCGGTGTGGCTCGGTGGTTGAGCATCAACCCTGCACCAGGAGGCCGCTGGTTTGATTCCCGGTCAGGGCACATGCCCAGGTTGTGGGCCAAATCCCCAGTGGGGGGCGTGCAGGAGGCGGACAGTTGATGTTCTCTCTCATCGATGTTTCCATTTCTCTCTTCCTCTCCCTCTCTTTCTAAAAATCAATAAAGAAAAAAAATTAAAATGTTTTTGTTTTTGCTTTTTTTTATCCTCACCCGAGGACATTTTTCCATTTTTTGTTCAGGTAGAGTGGGAGGGAGAGAGAGGAACAGAGAGAGAGAGAGACAAACATCGATGCGAAAGGAACACATCGAGTGGCTGCCACCCGCACAACCGACCAGGTCTGGGGACAAACTGCAACTGAGGTACGTGCCCTTAGCGGGAACCGAATCCGGGTCTCTCAGGACTGCAGGCCGACGCTCTAACCACTGAGCCAAACTGGCCAGGGCGTATTTATCTTCAGATAGAGCACAAGGGAGACAGGGATGAAGAGAGAGAGGGAGCAACATTGATGTGAGAGAGACACATCAACTGGTTGCCACCCACCCGACCCCAACCGGAGCCGGGGACAAACCGCAACCGAGGTACGTGCCCTTAGCAGGAACCGAGCCGGGGACTCTCTGGCCCACAGGCCGACGCTCTAACTGCTGAGCCAAACCGGCCAGGGCTAAAATATGTTTTTATGGATTTTAGAGGAAGGAAGGGACAAGGAGAGAGGGAAACATCGATAAGAGAGAAACCATGATTGGCTGCTTCGTGCACGCCCCCTACTGGGAATTGAACCCACTACCCAGGCATGTGCCCTGAGCAGGAACCAAACCAGCGACCTCCTGGTGCAAGGGACAATGCTCAATCCACTGAGCCACTCCAGCCAGGCAGGACCCTGCTCATTTTCATGGGATGTTTCCTCCCCGTTTCATGCTATAAGAGAGGGCATGACACGGAAGGAGGACCCTGGGACAGAGCATCGGTCGCCCTGGGTTCTGTTTGCCTAATTTTCGTCATGACTTTGCGTGTCTTCGGCGCGCTCTGTGTGTAGAGAAACGGGAGAGGAGTGAGGTGCAGGCCCCGAGGGGAAGCAGGGTCGGAGGCTCTGATTCTCAGAGTGGCCCACCAATGAACACCAGGCTTCAGACCGCCGGGAGTTGCCTGCCCCAGGATGAAATCCACACCCTCTCCGGGACCTCCAGAGTCTTGCATCGTCCGGCTCCCGTGTGACTGCCTGTGCCGCTGTCTGCCCCGTACACGGCTGCAGGCATACGACTTTCTGGAAGACTCTAGAATGCCAGGTGCCCTCCCACTGCCCCCTGGGCCTCCGCAGCGACCGATCCCTGCCCCTGAAGCTACTCGCAGCTCCCCGTGTGGCTGCTCGTTCTCGTCCCTGAGCTCGCTGTCGCCGCAGTGAGCCCTTCTTTGACCAGTGGACCTGAAGTCCACCCTTCTCTTTTCTATTTCCTAACCCTTTTTTTTTTGGCAAGAGGTAATTATTGCCCTGGCCGGTTTGCTCAGTGGTCAGAGCGTCGGCCTGTGGTCCAGAGAGACCTGTGGACCAAAGAGTCTTGGGTTTGATTCAGGTTAAGGGCACATTCCTCAGTTTCGGTTCGTCCCTGGCCCTGGTTGGGGTTGTGTCGGAGGCAACCGATCAATGTGTCTTTCTCACATCGATCTCTCTCTCTCTCTCTGTCTCTCCCTCCCTCCCTCTCGATCTGAAAATAAGTGGAAAAATATCCTCCGGTGAGGGTTAAAAAAAAAAGAAAAGAAAAGATGGGAATGAGTTTGTCAAAGTGCAAGTAACTAAAACATCTCTTTTCTTTTGTGACCAGGGTGAGTATCTGTTTAGGTTGGTATAGGTCTAGTTGGAATTTATAGTGAGTATAAACGATCTGATATAAATTTACAGTGCTTCTGGGCTGAAACGAATCTTTATTGATTAGTGAATAGTGTGTGGACAATTCATTTCCTGTTCGTCTTGCTACTTAGCAAAGCTGTGATCTGGGCAGGAAATGAGACAGAGAAAAAATATGAGGGACCAGCTGGACTTGAGCATTTCTGTGTGGGAGGGGGGCGAGTGGACACAAACATCATGTGCCTTCAGGTCGGCCCACGACTGCAAAGTCAGACAAGTACAGCCCGGGCAGACAGCTTCTGTAATGAATAGATACGTTTGCGTCAATACGAGGAAAACTTGGTCTCACGGCCGAAGGGTTCAGAGTGTCGATTTGGGTTCCGACCCCAGCTCTGCTGATTTGGAACTCTCTGATCTGAAGTCACTTAAACTTGGAAAACTTTAGTGTTTTTTTTTGTTGTTGTGGAAGTGGGTATTCGTTAGACAGAAGGAGTCATGTATCTTGTTACTTAGCGTCATGCCTGGCGGTACACTAGTGCTCAGCATGGTTTTAATAACCTACACTTACCAAGACCTCGTTGGACCCTCTCAGCAACCCCTAGAAACAAACATTCCTGTGATCCTATGTTCTTTGTATAATAGGCACAGGGAAGGTAGAAGTGTGCCCGAGGTCTGATGGCCCGGCCCAGGCTGTCTGGCTTTGGTCTGTGATCTTAACCACCGTTCCATAGTGCCTGTCACTAGTAGCTTGTAAAGTAATGTGGATGACCCTGGTGTGATGAGGTGGAGCCCTGGCTGATAGCACCGTGGTTAGTGGTATCAAGGATCTCTTACCCCAAATTTCAATTAAAAATTTGTTTGGAAAAGTTTCAAATAATGGAAGTGTTCAGCAGGAACCAATTACCACTATCCCCACCACCACCATCCCCACCATCACCACCAACTCTACCATCACCATCCCCACCACCACCACAACCACCACCACCACCATCACCATCACCATTCCCACCATCACTACCATCACAACCATCACAACCACCACCATCACCACCACCACCACCACCACCACCATTACCACCATCCTCAACATCACCACTATCACCATCACCTCCAACTCCACCGTCACCTCCAACTCCACCGTCACCTCCAACTCCACCATCACCACCACTACCACCACCACCATCACCATTATCACCACCATAACCATCACCACCATCACCACCCTCGCCAGCACTATCCATTTATCTTCAGATAGAGTGGGAGGGAGAGAGAGAGAAATATCGACATGAGAGGGACACATTGACTGGTTTCTTCCCACACGACCCCAACCGGGGCCGGGGACAAACCGCCACTGAAGTACATGCCCTTGACTGGCATCAAACCCGCAACTCCTTGGTCCGCAGGCTGACGCTCCAACCGCTGAGCCAAACCCAGGGCCATTTGTGTGGTTTTGAAAGTGGCCCATTGTGACAGACGAGATAAAGCATGGTAGCAATATGTATAGCAGAACTGACTGAATTTCAGACAAAAAAATAACAAAACAGGTGTTTTATATCCTTCGATAATTTAAAAGTCTTAACAGTTTGTGACCAAACACCATCATATCAGAACACAAAGAAAAACACACGCTAGTTATAGGAGGAGAGACTAAAGAAGTAAGGTTTCTAGGAGAGAGGATAACACACTTAAAGGAGCAAAAACGACACCTAGGCTCTTTATGACGTCATTATTACTGTCACATCAATAGCTGTGTGTTGAGCACTGCATTGTGAGGGTCTAGACTCTCTGTGCACTGATGAGCCATTTACAAAAGCCGACTCTGTTAGACTCCGGAGAAGACTGCAAAAAAATAAAATAAAATAGAAATCTCAGTAGAACAGAAACAGCCCGCAGAGGCCCCGCAGCTGCACCCTAGCCCCGTCCTCGCTCCCTCCCGCCGGAGCCACGGGGTGTCTTCCTTCCCAGGGCTAGTTAATCCCCATCTGCTTGTGGGTTCCACCCCCGCTTCCTCAGAGATCCCGCTCCACTCATCGTCCCGCTCGCTCTCTCTCTCCTTCTCCCCTGCCCCCAGTCAGGGATAAACATGATCACCTCTCTTCCATGTTAAATAAGAGTGCGATTTTAAAATGTGCATATGTGCGTATATCAACATATGTGTGTGTAGATGTATGTCTGTGTGCATATATATACATTTTTTTATCCTCACCTGAGGACATTTTTGCATTTATCTTCAGATAGAGTGGGAGGGAGAGAGAAGGAAGAGAGAGAGAGAGAAACATTGATGTGAGAGAGACATCGAGTGGCTGCCACCCACACGACCCCAACCGGGGCCGGGGACAAACTGCAACCGAGGTACGTGCCCTTAGCGGGAACCGAACCTGGGTCTCTCTGGTCTGCGGGCCGACGCTCCAACCGCTGAGCTGAACGGGCCAGGCTGCGTCTCCGGCTGTGCATGTCACGTCCCTACCTGTCCTCCTCGTTACTCCTCGACGCACAGCCTCTGAGCCTGCCGCTCAGCTGAAGCTGCCGTGCAGAGCCCGTCAGTGGCCTCTGTCCTGCTCCCTACAGAGAAGTCCCTCCGTCCAGGTCCCCCCCTCGCCAGGGCTCCGCCTCCTCTCCCCTCTGAGCCAGCCAGGCCGGTCCTGCGGGAGGACGAAGAAATGCCGACAGGTCGGTGACGAAGGCACAGCCCTCCCTCCAGTCCCCATGACCCGCGTGTTCTCACCACGCCCGGGGTCGGGGCCACTCAAATCCTGGTCACCGATGCCAGGGACCAGGGTCACCTGGGCAGCTTCCTGGGCTCACCCTGAACTTCTGGGTCAGGAATGCTGGGGGCAGGCAGGGTTCGGGGGAGGCAGGAACCTGTATTTTAAGTTTGTTCAGGTGGTTCTAGGAGGCTTATCACAGGGTCCCAGAGACCCCCGCAGATGTTCAGCCTTTTCCTAGAGAGCAACAGACCCGAAAGCGAGGGGCACATTAAGGGAAAATTTAAAAAGAGGAAGCCTTTATTTAAAAAAATTTTTTTTTCTCCGTTATTGATTTTGGAGAGAGAGGAAGTAATAGGGAGAGATAGAAACATCAATGAGAGAGAACATCGATGGGCCGCCTCCTGCATGCCCCCCACTGGGGATCAGGCCCACAACCTGGGCATGTGCCCTGACCGGGAATCGAACTGGCGACCTCTTGGTGCAGGGTCGACGCTCAGCCACTGAGCCACACCGGCCGGACAAGAGGAAGCATTTAAAGCTGTGCGGTATAGATTGCTTGTCCCACAATAAGGAAGAGGGGTCCCCTTGCGGTGGTCCCCCGACCCCAGCCTCGCCCAGCTCTCCCGCAACGTGCGTTTCTCTCCACAGGTAATGTGAGCACCTGCGGATTCAGTGCCCTCTACCCAGCACCCCAGCGCCACACATGAATGTTGTGTTAAACATGCATTTAAATCAGTCATGGGAGTCGTTTTAACATGCCTTGTACGTAGTAGGTGCCTTCTGAAGACGTTCGGGCTGTAGGACGGAAGCCACGCGGAGTCGCGAACGCTTCGCCCTCGCCCCGGTGTGGACGGCCTGGCGTCCGCGCCTTTCGCGCACTTTTCCCACGTTTGCCCGTGTTCTTTCCCAGGGGAGGAAAGTGTGATCGCCGTTCCCCTGGGGAGTCGGAGTGTCAGGATTTCAGTGAAAGGACCTGCTCATCTGTGTAAGTACGATTTTATCTTCACCTTGTTTGGTTTCCTGAACGTTTATTCAGGCCCCCCCGAATCGTTCTTTGTGTTAGCTGCGGTTCTCAACCTGTGGGTTGCGACCCCTTTGGGGGTCGAATGACCCTTTCACGGGGTCGCCTAAGACCATCGAAAATACGTGTTTTCCGATGGGCTCAGGCACCGAGACACGGCCCCTCTGCCCGTCTCCAGGCGGGCGCGCCACATGCAGACACGCCCACGGACAGCATGAGGAGCTGTACCAAAGGGTCGCGGCCTCAGGAAGGGTGAGAACCACTGTGTTAATGGGTGGACAAAAACGTCAAGGATTTTGACTCTGAAATAGCTTAGATCAGTAGGGAAATTATCTAAACCTGCATTTTTGTGTTCTCCTACCACAGTGGGAAATCTAACCATTTGGGATTAACCCCTCAGGGGAGAGGAAAGTCAAGTTGTCCGTGAAATCTACGTATTTTTACGTAGAAAGTAGCATCCCATGTAAAATGTAACCTAACGAGATGTAAACCACGCCGGTGAATGTAGCTGAGGAGGGTCAGCTTTGCTGTCAGGATACCAGGGTCAGGGCCCTGGGCACGGAGCATAAACACTGGTTTCCCAAAACACGGAGAGTTTGAGACAGCGCAGGGTTGCGTTTGAGGACGAGTTTATACTCAAAATTGGCACTGTCCCAAGAACAGGGCTCAATAGGGTTCCCGTTTCTGCAAAGGTGACAGATGTGTAGCTTAGAATACCCCCCCCTTCTGAACAATCTCAGAGTTGGCTCTAGAACTGTGTTTGCAAAGGATTTAGTTAACATTTCTGGACAGCTAAATTTAGATGTGGTTTTATGTTCTTGATTTATACAACTGTTTTCTCCATGTTTATTTTCAACAAACACAGAGTCCTGAAATTCAGCTTATTTTGCAATAACAAATCATTCATTTTCTAAGATCTGTATTAACTTCAACTCTGCCCCCCCCCCCCCAGCAGTGTTATTAAGGGCCGAGAACACCCAGGGGCGTTGACCTCAGTCTCTTTGCTGCAGACTGGAATTTAACGACGGACGGAACAGCTTTGTTCTGCCCAGAAGTGTTCAGATTCTGAATTTCCAGTCCTGTCCCAGGTCCGGCCCAACATTACAGCAAGCACACGGCTCCGAATGTCCCGGCTCTGTCCCCCTTCCAAATGGAAGCAATACCAGGTCCCTGCAAGAGATACTTTATTGTAGCAGAACTTCAGCATTAAACGTGTCTGACTAATAATAAACTTGAGAAGCCGAGATGCCTTACGTTGAAACCTTCCATTGTCAGTTGGAAAAAAAAAATTTTTTTTTTTTTGGTCCTCCAAGTCTTGTCTAATGACTGCATGGAGAGATACAGAAATGTAATCCGGACATGGTGCATCACGGCCAGAGGGGACGGATGCTCAGTGACTGTGCGTGTACCGTAAGGCACAACTCCACGGGAAGCATGACTTGGGTGCGCTTGTAACGAAGCTAAGCGTGCTGCACGCCCTTACCTGTTCCCTAACCACACCCTCGCGGCCTTCTCGGAACGTGAGGCGTCCTCTCGGGGATGAGGAGCAGGACCTCGCCCGTTGAAAGAAGCCGGACGGATGCGTCTCTGCGCAAGCCCGTCGGTGAGAAGCAAAGAGAACCGTTCGTCCTCCACTGGGTCGTCATGTCTTTGGAGAATAACTAATATGGATTCAGATATTGAAGGGTGTCCGCCTAGACTTGTGTTGGGAAGATTCGGGGGTTTAAGAGGGTCTTGATTTCTGATTCTGTGTTTTTTCTGTTTTTTTGTTTGTGTTTTTTTTAATCCTCATCCGAGGACATTTTTACATTTATCTTCAGATAGAGCGGGAGGGAGAGAGGGAGGAAGAGGGAGGGAAACATCGATGTGAGAGAGACACATGGAGTGGTCGCCACCCACACGACCCCAGCCAGGGCCGGGGACAAACTGCAACCGAGGTACGCGCCCTTAGCGGGAACCGAACCCCGGTCTCTCCGGTCCGTGGGCCGACGCTCTAACTGCTGAGCCAAACCGGCCAGGGCTGTTTTACTTTTCTTTGAGGCTACATATCGTGTCTTCCTCACCTCTTCCCTGCACGCCCATGCCCACCAAAGTAAGCATCAGGAAGAGAGAGCAGTCAGGGCGGGCAGCCAGGGGGGGGCTTCCACCAGCACAGACCACAGCGGGTCCCCGGGAGCCTGGAAGGGCCCGTGGGCACCGCCCTGGCAGCACGGGGCTGCGGGCACACGTGGCCCTGCTGGCAACTAGTCAGCACTGCGCGGAGTCCGTGAGTCCGCACCATCGGCATTGGGGATGTTCCCAGTCTTCTTTCCTGGCGTGTGACAGGCACAGGCATGACGGAGGAGCTAGTCTGACAACACTGAATAAGGACACGTCCCCTGCACTGTGGGTTGCTCCCAGTGGCTTTGTTGATCCACAAGATCAGAACCGTTTGCATCCAAAAACTCTCATCAGAGCCCTTCATATTTCGTCTCCACTTTTGACCCCTTTACACCGTTGGGGGCAGAGCACCCGCTTCTGCCCCCACTCTGTCCCCCGGTGTTTTGCGACCCCGAGAGCTGGGAGTCTTGTGAAATAATGGGAATTATGCTCTTTCACGATAAGCACGTGGTTCCGGCAGGAGAGGAGGAGTTTGGGTAATTTGTGTGCGGTTGAAAACTGGCGTTGCTCCTTGGTTTCTGTCCTTGTCACCGAAGATTTTGGACGCCGTGGAAAAGTAACGGAACAGACTCGACGTGAAGAAACAAACATCACCAAACGATACAAACAGAAGCCTTTGCGTGAGAGGAGGGGTGTCATGCCATCGCCCCTTCCTCCCAGGTCACCTTCGCAGATGCCGACACCCCCCTGCCTGAACTCTGCCTCCAGGGAAACGTGGGAACCGTGACCCAGAAGGTTAGCGCCGCGGTAACGCGGTCCCCCAGCGGCGGAACCCATCGCACGCCGTTTGCATTCGATCACGTCATTTGCCCGGTCTAGAAACGGCTGCTTTGCATGTCTTCAGTGAGGATGGATTTCTTCCAACTTCGTTTTGCGTTTTGATATTGCCCGAATGCTCACTGTTTCTCCTCCTTTTTTGTCAGAGGGCAAATTCATCCACTTTGGGGCCCTCCGACGATCTCCAGTTTCCCATCTCATTTTTACTGACAACTCACTTCATAACACTCGGCTTTATATCTTCATTGGAACGAGGAAATGGATTTAATCTCACCCTTTCCAAAAAGCGACTGCGGTCGTGGAGACCAGGGCCAAGGTGGTTGGGATTTTGCGTGCCTGGGAGTAGCCGGCATTGTTCTCTGACCGCTAATGACTCCTGCAGATCAAGGGGCTCGTGTCCAGCCTTTAAACTCCCAGCAAAGTTCCCAGCCTGCCCGTCAGGGATAATCAGAGATGTCTCCTGGTGCCGGTCATGCTGTCTGTCTCGGGCGCTGGATTCCGGCAGCTGCTGCTGTGGCAGAGGGAAGTTTTGCAGAGCAAAACCACCGGGGCACGTGGATAGCAGCAGCCCTGAGGCCGGGCTGTTTGCCTGGGTTTTATCAGCTTCCCATTTCTAAGTTCGAAACCAAATGGAGTTTGTGTTCTGTTGTGTCCTTGGTTGGAAACGGCTAAAGAACCTTTGAACACCGGTGAACCAAGTGCCGGTTTCAGAGCAGAAGAGGACCTGGGGGGTGGTCTGCTCTGACTCCTTATTTTTTTTGAGGCAACAAAAACCCAAGGCGGTGACTTAGGGAGAGAGATGGGACCAGAAACCGAGATGCCCCAGCATGTGTTGTTGTTAAAAAGTATTGCATCTCTCCTGGCTGATGTGGCTCAGTGGTTGAGCATCAACCCTGCACCAAGAGGTCGCCGGTTCAATTCCCGGTCAGGACACATGCCCAGGTTGTGGGCCTGATCCCCAGTGCGGGGCATGCAGGAGGCGGCCAGTCGATGTTCTCTCTCATCGATGTTTCTACCTCTCTCTCCCTCTCTCAAAACAATAAAGAAAAAAAATTTAAAAAAATGAAAAAGTATTGCATCTCTCAACCTCAGACCAAGTCCGCTAAGTCTGGTGGCATGTACAAAATGAAAAGAGCAAAGAAAGAAATCATTTAGATGCAGCAGAAATGCTATTTTGGCGAAACTGCCGACCGTCAGTTTTCTGTAGGACGTCCACTTTTGATCACATGGAATGCGACCGAGTTGCAGCATGCACTCGGTGGGTATGGAAAAGGTTAAATTTTGTTTTTAATCCTCAAATGGTTTATATCTTAATTGCAGAATGAACGTTGTGTTAGCAAACAGGAACACAACATTAATCTCCTTGTCCAGCTCCATCAGAGATCTTGGATGACCGGGTGCATTGTCAGTGGACAGTGATATTTTATCTGTTTTGATTGTGGTGACATGTGGTGACATGGGGCAGTTTCCTGGTCTGGACACGGGACGACCGTTACGTATGTGGCATACGTATCACGATAGCCGTGTGCCGTTGGGTGGAACTGGCTGAAGGATACTCAGCACCTCCTACTGTTTTTGTAACTTCCTATGACTCTACTATTTCAAAATAAAGTTTGTTTTTTTAAAAGCAAATTTAAGATTCACTATGGTTTTGTCTAAATAAAAGACTAGATGTAAGATCTTCGGCGTGGGGGATAACAGGAGTAACATACTTTCACTTGGAGAAATGGCTGCGTCATAAAAATAGATACAAAAGACGTATTCTCCTTCCCTTGTGGCAGAAATGACTTCAAAGGGTTGGATAGACCTAATTGGACCCAGCACCTGGTTAGCGCCTTGAGGGGGGCACCTGGAAGTCTCCCATGTCGGATCAGCGTTTGCGGACTGAGTGGGTGTACCGCTACTGTGTCGCTATCATATGCTGTTGTGTGTAGTAAAACATCTTTCTGGAATACAAAGCTCTTAAGGTAGTTCTCTCATCGAGAACAGATTGTTGGTTGCTAGAGGCAAGAGAGGGGGTGGTGGGAGAAGTGGGTGAAGGGAGTCAAAGGTACAGACTTCCAGTTTTAAGATAAATAAGTCCCGGGGATGTCATGGACAGCGTGGTGACTCTATTGTATACGGTTAACAACGCTGTGTATTTGAAAGTAGCTAAGAGAGAAAGTCTTAGACGTTCTCACTACGAGAAAAATAATTATGCCCTGGCCGGTGTGATTCAGTGGTTAGAGCGTCGACCCTAGCACTGCAGGGTCGCAGGTTTGCCTGCCAGTCAAGGGCACGCACCTGGGTTGCAGGTTGGATCCGCGGCCCAAGTTGGGGCTCGTGCGGGAGGCAGCCAATCAGTGTGTCTCTCTCACATCCGTGTTTCTCTCTCTTCCTCCCTTCCACTTTCTCTAAAAATCAATGGAAAAATATATCCTTGGGTGAGGATTAACCAAAAAAATTTATTTTAAGAAAAAATTAAAACTATGTGAGGTGGAGGATGTTAACTGGACTTACGGTGGTGATCATTTCACAGTAGATACAAATAATCGAACCATTATGTCGTACCCCTGAAACTGATAGCATGTCCTATAATAATTTAACTCAGAAAGGCAGTGCTCTCCTTTACATTTTATTTTTAAATTTTAGTTATCGAATCAAAAACGCTTCAAGGAAACAAAGGAGAACACATCTTCAGCAGCCCCGGCGTTTTCGTCATAGAAAACACGACCGTGGAGTTTCAGCAAGGCCCGGAGAGGCAGAACTTCAAGATCCCCGGGCCCCTGATGGCTGATTTCATCTTCAAGGTAGGACAGTCCTCTTCGTAAACCGTGGGCCTTGAAGCTCGGCACATCTTGGATTTTAACAGTAAGTGTGTTCAGCAGGAAGTCACCGATGACTGTTTTTACGCAGAGTGTTTCCTTCTTATTTCCATCACGGTGGTAATTCCAAAAAAAAAAAAATTGTTCATCTCTCTTGCGTTTCTGCCCCTGATCCCCAATAGTTAACACGTCATTGACCGGCAATTTTACACAGAAGTTCTCTCATGTCACCGGCTATTTTTTCGTAATTGCGTAGGAAAGTGAAACAATCTCAATAAACTTCATGTGCTTTATTTACACATAAAGGATTTCCATGAAACTGTGTACATATCTGCTACATATTTTATACATGTTATATATTTTAGCAATTTTTTTGGTGCGGTGTACTGTTTTGCAGTCGGCTTTTGAAACACACACTTTACACGTTCTAGTTGGATTTTGTTTTTATACCCCTGGTTATTTTTTCTAAAACGTGGTCTTTTAGTTGCCCTGAAAGGCTAACAGGTGAACAGTGTCAGGAGCGCTTTCAGAAGGACCAGAAGTGTTAGGTTCTGAGCGCACTCGTGTGAGCCAGCAGATACCCATTCCCCAGCTACTTCAAGAACATAGAAGGATGTGTTGGTTTTCAAACTTCGACCCTCAGGGCAGAGACTCACAAATACAATAAACCTATATTACCCTGAGTCTCAGAAATCGAAATAGCTCATGCAGGTGCAAACGCGAGTTAACGCGTGCGCGGTCAACAGTTGAAGAAAAGGAACTTCTGGGCGCGAGAGGCGGTTTGTGTTCACAGCCTCAGGAGACCGTGTCCAGTTGCAAAGCCCCAGGAGGGGCTTGGGGGCCAATGGTGAAAGGCTCCTCGTCCTCAACCGGTTCTGCGTTATCGCGTGTGTTCTCACAGAGCAGAGAAGACAGAGGCTTTTTCTGCCCTTTCATTTGCCCAAGGGATGCCCGGGCAGTGCTGGGCACTTGTCTGGGCACCTGCTGCAGGTACCTCTGAAGAACTCTTCTTCCCTTAACCACGCACCTGTGTCTCCTCTCCGGGTAAATCTGGAACCTTTTCATATCCTCATTCACAGGATATAAAACGTAGTGGCCAGCATATTCCCCAAGCGACACAGTATGAAATTCTTCTGATAAAATCGCAACTACCTCACAGTTGAAAAGAAAAAGGCATTTCGGTGGGGGCTTCTGTTCTATCCCTTCTCAAAAACTCATTCCAAAATAGAAACCCGAAAAAGAAAAGGACAATGACCCTGACAGCGAGGGGTGTCCTTGCCTAGGAAAAGGCACAGTGCCATCGGAAGAGTCGTCTGTTGCACACATTAATCCGTCAGGGCCTGTTCCTTGGGACGTGGTGCGGCGGCAGCCGTGCGGATGGACTTGGAGAACAGTTACAGGCTGGTGTCCCGGCCCCGAAGGCAGGCCGTCGCGTCTCCACTGTGGTGTGTTGTTTTGAAACTTGGGATTGTAAATGGTCAACATGTAAAAACCAAGAGATTTTTTTTTACGTACAAATGCCAGTTATTTCTGCTGCTTTTTAAGAGTGGGGAGGTCTGACCCTTGGCCCGCACGGTGCCGCTGGGGAACAGCTACCCTCTCAGGACACCTTTTCCCCTTTGCCGTGGTCCGCACCACTCTCTAGTGTGCCCCTCCATCAAAGGCATGAGCCTTGTTGCCATCTATAGATATTTCTTACTATTCATGGACATTTAAATGACTCTTTCAGACGCTGGAAGCATCCCCCCAGTGTTCTTTGGTGGTAGCCTCCTGACCGGTGTTTGGGAACAGTGATCGTCGTCATTCTTTCTCTCTGGGCTGTTGTTACGCATAAATTCTGCGCTTGTCACGCTCGCTTACGTATGTTCCGTTTTGACTCTCAGGTAGTTAACTATGTATTTCTACAAGCGTGTGTGTGTTCACCCGGGCATGCGCACACAGAAATATGTGTGTGCATGTCTACTTTTTTTTTTTTTTAAGATTTGGAAGGATACGCTCCCAACTGAAAACACTAAAACAAACAAACAAACAAACAAAACAAAACAAAAATGGCTAATTTAGAAGGGATAGGTTCTTTGGGGGGAAGTGAGCTTAGTTTTACTTAAAATGTTCTGATACAGAGAATAATTTTTCAGGAGAAGGGAGGTGTCTGCCACTCGCACAATTTGAAAGCAGGTTGTGCCTTCTTGCCCAGGTGATGCACTCGCCTCTCAGTAGAATACCTTTCTGGCAGCGTGCTGGCCGGTCTGAATTATACTCCGTCTTCTGTTTTCCTGTGTCGAAGTTCTGCTTTTCTCACATTTAGCAAACAATTCTGGGCTTTGGCTTCAACTTCTGGAGAAGCTTTTGATCTCTCTCGACTGAAGAGGTTTTTAAAAATATATATTTACGCAAGAGGGTGTCACATGCCACCGTCTGACTCATACGTAAACACAGCCTGCTGTCCGCGTCCACAGCCATTCTCATTCGTGGACGCGGTGTGCGTGGTGGGCGAGAATCTGGCAGCTCCGGGACACGCGGCGAGGCAGGGGTGACTGATGTTGTTTCTCCCGGCTCACAAGCCTGTCCAAATAATGTGCATTTCTAGGAATTACCTCTTTCCTGGGTCACTTTTGTGTTTTTTTCTGGGAACACTGGCGTTCTTGCCCACTGTGTGTTGCTGCTATTGGCTGCAACTTTGAGGGGGAGAGAGGTTGAGAGTGCATGAGGGGTCACAGGTGAGGGTTAGCCGTGTTTCACTGTGTCTCTTTCCACCCGGTCTACCGAGACCTGGTGTCATCCTGGGAGGGGAGGACAGGGGAGGGGAAGACCAGCTCCGTTGGCCTCGTGCTGATTTTAGCTCAGTGGTGGGTGCATTGGGATGGATCTTCTTCATACGGTTCATACGAGATCTTATTTCGTGGGCTTTGAATAAATGGACAGTTGACAAGCACTGTATCCTTACATAGAGAAACTGAAGACAGAGGCTCATATCGCAGAAAACTGTGGAAAAGCAGCCAGAACACATTTTCCTGCAGAAACACAAACTCTCCGGATGGGAGGATGGTACCAGACAGACAACGGGCATGAAAAGGAAGCTTTCAGACCCCAAGGAAGAGAACTTCCTCCCTGAAGACGGACGTACATTTTCACCGAGAGGAAAATCCACCGGCCATAGTTAAAAATAGCCTCGGAGCCCTGGCCGGTTTGGCTCAGCGGCTAGAGCGTTGGCCCGTGGACCGGAGGGTCCTGGGTTCGGTTCCCGCTAAGGGCATGTGCCTTGGTTGCAGCTTGTCCCCGGCCCCGGTTGGGGTCTTGTGGGTGGCGGCCACTTGATGTGTCTCACATTGATGTTTCTCTCTCTCTTCCTCCCTCTCTCCCTCCCGCTCTATCTGAAGACAAATGCAAAAATGCCCTCGGGTGAGGATTAAAAAAAAGGGGACAGGACGAAGGAAGCGAGGCATGTGCGTGATGGCCGTCGCTCCCCATGCAGGGGAGCTGACTTATTCAGTAGGTTTCAAAGGGAACTGACTTCCCTCTCCATTTCAGCCCCCAAGGAGAAAATCCTCCGAGGGCGCCCACCTCCGTCCACGGCCCCCCGTGGAAGCCACCTCGAGAGGCACTGGGCGCCAGCGTCACGCAGTGCTCAGTCACAGGTCGGGCCTGGGTTCGGGTCCGTGCAGTCTCCCTCAGCTCCTATGTGGCGTGGAAGGTTTCCAGAAGATTCCAGTTACTCTTGGCTGGCCAGCCTCGGAGGGGGTGACAGGTGGGGACACAGTGACCCTGTAGCTGCGGGGTAAGGGTGGAGGGACCGTACACCCTGGTTCGTTCAGAGAAGACCCCGTGTGTGCCGGTGGCCCCGGCTCCATCAGCAGTAGCTCCTCCGTTCTCTCAGAAGCGTCCTGGCTTGGACGCTAAAGCACGTGGCCTCGGGACTGGTCAGGGGCTCGAAGCCAGGCCAGGGATGGGGCAGGAGTCCTGGCCACACCACACACAACCGGCAGCACGAGAGGAGTGTGGAATGGGGAGGTCACCCGAGGCGTCCACCAGCCCTGGCCGGGAAAGAACACAGCCACGTCCACGGACACTGGAGCACCCGTGGGCCTTCCCGTGACCTGAGGGACAAGGGACATGACCGGAAGGACAAGGTCTGCTGACTCCTGGATTATGCATGTGTGGGCACATGGCTTGGCCTCGGGCTCTGTTGTCTGGAGCTAGACTAGGGCACTATGGCTAAAAGGTTCAAGGAATTCCACGAGCCCGAGCTGGTGTGGGTCAGTGGTTAGAGCGCAGCCCAGGCACTGAAGTTTAATGGCCACGGAATCGAATGAGGTGTTGCCAGGCCCCGCGAGGAGGGAAATGAGAGATGAAATCGAGGCCAGGGTTGGAGGGGGTGGTCGACATACACTTTTTTTTAACTTTCCGTCCGTTCATGCCCATATCTGGACGTCTTGTAATTTTGTTTATAATGTCTGTTTCTTCCCCTTTTTTGGTTGTTGGTAAATTTTATCCTTTTTCGTATTTATTTAAAGTATATTATTTATTTATTTAATATAATAAATATTATTTATTTATTTAAAGTATATTTTTATTGATTTTTTAGAGAGAGAGGAAGGGAGAGGAAGAGATAGAAACGTCGGTGTGAAAAAGATATATTGATCGGCCGCCTCCTGCACGCCCCACACTGGGGATCGAGCCTGCAACCCGGGCACGTGTCCTGACCCGGAATCGAGCCAGCGACCTCCTTGTCTGTGGGTTGATGCTCAACCCCTGAGCCACACCGGCTGAGCCGCATACCTAGTTATTTTTAAGTTTTGTTGTATATAGCAGATGCAAGATCCTAGATATCATTTGAGACCGAATTAATTTTGCTTCTGGAAAACAGGTTGGCAGTCAGTTTCCTCCATCCAAGAAAGAATGAAAATAATTTGAAGCTGGGCTCTATTCCCATTGGAAACTGGTCTGTTTCCAGTTCACTCTTGTTCTGGGATGGAGCTTTTCGGGGTCCCGGCTGGGAGCCAGGGGGGTAGACGGACACCCCGCACCTTGGCAGGTTCGGAGCTCGAGTTCTTGCTGCCCTGGCCCGTGAGTCTGACGACAGGTCTGTCAGCTTCTCAGCCTGTCCGTCACCTCTCGCCAAATGGAAAATGCCACGAGCAGAACGTTGGTGCTAGATGTCATGCTCACCTGTCTGGTTTACTTTGCGTCTGCGACCTCGGGCCCATAGAGCCTCACTCATGCTCGTTTTCCGATGCCTTCACAGGCGCGACTGGACATATTTTATGCGGCATTTTTACTGCTTTCTGGAAGGGCTCCTCGGAAACAGCCATCCTGCCACGGTCAGGAGCAAAACTCCTTCAAAGTGTTCTCGGCCACTGTGAGGGCAGACCTCTGCTCTCTCCTGCCCCGCCCGGAGCCTGCCCCGCCCGCCGTCCACACATCTGGCTGGAATGCTGATACTGTCTTAGAAAGAAATGCATTGAGCTATTAATTTTGTCAGCCAAACCTTATTTACATGTACTAATAAGCTTTACTGATTTATGTCATCATTTCCGCTCCTTGCATCTCACTACTTTCTTCTGCATTTGTATCAGCTCTTGGTCAGTATATTCTTTCGTCATTTTTTTTCTTTTTCTTTCTTTTTTTTTTTTTTTGTAGAGAGGGCCTCTGACGGGTAAAGTGTCAGTCATTTTGTATCTGAAAATATCTTTATTTCACTGATAACTGATAATTTTATCATAGAGTGATTATAGATTTATGAATCGATCATCAATTAGTGGCTAATGTGGTTACAGGATTAAGATGAACAGTGATTCCTTAGGTATGATTTTGTGGAGTTTTTTTTGTATTCAATGTTGCCAATGAGAAATCTGATGACATACTGATTTTTAAGTGATCTTTTATTTTCTTTTCGATAACTTCTAGAATGTTTTTTTATTATCCTTGTTGTATTTTTTTAAATGTCTGCTCAGAATCTGATGAATATATATTTTTTTGCATTTATCTTCAGATAGAGCAGGAGGGAGAGAGGGAGGAAGAGAGAGAGAAACATCGATGTGAGAGAGACACATCAAGTGGTTGCCACCCACACGACACGACCCCGACCGGGGCCGGGGACAAACTGCAACTGAGATACATGCCCTTAGCGGGAACCGAACCCGGGACTCTCCAGTCTCTAGGCTGTTGCTCTAACTGCTGAGCAAAATGGCCAGGGCCTGGTGGATATTTTTAAACGGAGCTCTCTCATCTTTTTAAGGTATGGGAGGTGCTCAGCAAATGCATAATCCAGTCTCCCCTCTGATTACTGCCCCGTCTCCATCTTGAACCAATGATGCTGGTGTTCCTGGCCTCACCTCCGTGGGCTTCACTCTTATTTCCCAGCTCTTTGACTTTTTGTGCGGCATTCGGGGACTTGCCTGAAGTTTGCTCGTGTGTTTAGTCTCTGGGGGAGGAAAGAAAACACTGTGGAGGAACCTTCTGCTTGGGTGAGACCACCTGAAGTTCACTGGCCTCCGGCCGGCCTCCGGCTCAGTCCCTTCCCTTCAGTTAGGTCCGGAAATGCTCACTCGTGACCCTGTGCTTGGTGCACTGGGGTGTCTGCGGTTGTCCCTTCCGAAGCAGTTTTCACAAGTATCTGCTGAAAGACGTTACTTTTTAAAATGTCAGGGTCCCGCCCTGGCCGATTTGGCTCAGCGGTGGAGCATCAGCCTGCGGACCAATGAGTCGCGGGTTCGATTTCCCAGCCCTGGTCGGGGTCGTGTGGGAGGCAACCAGTTGATGTATCCCTCTCACCTCGATGTTTCTCTCTCTGTCCTTTCTCTCTCTATCTTCCTCCCACTCTATCTGCAAATAAATAGAAAAATATCCTCAGGTGAGGATTAAAAAAAAAAAAAAAATGTCAGAGTCCCACCCTGGCTGGGTGGCTCAGATAGTTGCAGCGTCATCCTGTACACCAAAAGGTTTCAGGTTCGATCCTGGTTGGGGCACATAGTGGAGGCAACCGACCAATGTTTCTCTCTCACGTTGATGTCTCTCTCTCTCTCTCTCTCCTCCTTCCTCTCTCTCTCAAATCAATAAAACCATATCCTCAAGTGAGGTTTAAAAACAAAAAATGGGAGCGTCCCATTTATGTGCCTTCTTGTCGGCAACCCCCGATTAAGCCTCCGTTCCTGCTCTTGTCGGCGTTAAAATCAAACGTATCCGGCGGAAGAACAGAAGCGGGACCAACACGCAGAAAAGCGCACCTGCCTTTTGGTACACTCATTCGCAGGCTTGTAATTACCTGGAGAAATGACTCCAAGGAGACGGGAGCTCGTCTGAACCCCCATATAGGATACGTCCAAGGGAAGTGCTACCCCGTGAAGTCCTGGGAAATCCTCACGAGCCGTAGCTGGTTGCCATGGGTGTGCTCGTCTGTGTCGGCGACGCGCAATTCGCCTTGTTTTGGGGTGTGGACAGCGCCAGCCGGTTATTTGCAGACGCGTTATCACAGCTCTCTCTGTTCAGACCAGGTTCACGGTGGCCAAGGACAGCATGGTCCAGTTCTTCTTCTACCAGCCCATCAGTCATCAGTGGCGACAAACCGACTTTTTCCCCTGCACTGTGACCTGCGGAGGAGGTGAGGCTCGGACTGGGCTCGGGGATATTTGGAGCGGAGTGAGAAACCCACCTTGCTTTTGCGAAGCTGACTTGAAAATGGGCGTAGGAAGGGGGGAGCTGGCCCTGCTGGACCCGAGGAGACGGGCAGGGCCTCATATGAGGCCACGCACCACAGGTTGGCAGTTGTAGGAACAGGAGGAGGACGTTGGCTCCTTGGCCGGGGTCCCACTATCGCTGCCCATTTTTGAGCACTGGCGGAATTTCAGTACGTTTGTTCATAATATAACAAGGCCGCCTGCCTTATTTCTTTCCCTTTTGGTTATGTCTGCACTGCCGTAAAGTTGAGGGAAAGTCATTGTCTCTCAAAATATAAACACCTGGATGTTCCTTGTCTCCTTCTCGATGTATGTTTGCATCCCGTGCAAAGGCTTTTGTTTGATTAAAGGAGCTACAGTCTCATTCTGTTTCTGTTTTGGGAGGTAAATACACACACACACACACACACACACACACGCACACCCCACAAGGAAAGCATTATGGAAATGTAATTATATTGGTCATCAAATCTGCATGATTTGTGCAAATGGTGTGTTGGAGGGATTTTTGTTTTTTCTTTTCTTTGTTTGGCTAATCGGGAAAATGAGCTCGCTGGTCTCCAAAGTACTTGGATGGACCTTCCTGGGCTTGTCTGTAGCCATCAGTGTAGAACCATTGAGATTGGTCTGGAGAAGGGCCACCGGGTGTCACGGACTTCCTGGCGGATGCTGGCTCCCGAGTGACATTTTATTGACGCTGTTTGGATTTTCGTTCTTGTGGTTTTGACCTCGCTTTTTATGATGCATACCAGTCTGTCCTGCACTCCACTTCCATCCGCGCCAGGACGTGTAGAAAGCTGTCCAGTGGTTTAGAAAGTCAGATTCTTCTCGGCAGCCAGGCCTGTGAGTGTATTTTTAGACTTTTAGACCCGTTGGCGGAGGCTGAGAATTTAACTTGGGGCTTTTTTTTTTTTTTTTTCTTGTCCTTGGAGAGCTCACTCTGGTTTTAAAAAATTACTGTTAAAAACAACAACAACCACCAAACAAAAAGCCTTAATGTGACACTCTGTAGCGACAAGAAACCTGGACACATCTTTCAGGAGATAGAGCGTCACTTTGCAAGTTGTTTTTAAAAGGTGCAGCACCGATCCGTGTAGGGTGCTGGCTTTCCGCAGGGACGATGCAAAGCGTGTTGAACAGAATCAGGAGTCCCTTGCCCTTGGAGGGCTGTGAGGTGAGGGAGACATAGGGGGAGGGATTTTGTTCTTCCCCGTTAGACAAGCCAGCCGGCGCTGGAGGTACCCAGGACGGCGAAAGAGTGACTGGTGTCTGCAGGTGATGGACTATCATGTAGCAGACGGGAGCACAGACCAGCCAGGAGGCTCTCGGAAATGTAACGTTGTGTGAGGAAAGTAGAAAACAGAACAAGATGGAAAACAGTATCACTTGTTTAGTTAAGACAGTTACACGCACGAGACAAGCTCACCTAAGATCAGTGCGTTTGCAGGGGGTGTAAACGTTCAGTAGGGTCTCGGGGGGGGGGGGTGCCGAATAGGAGCAGGTATGGGGGGAAAGGGGGGATGGAAGGAGACGTGAGGGCCCCGTGCATGTCTGTGATAACGGCGAACTCAGGGTAGTGAATAACCTGTTACACCCAGGTCCAAGCATTTTTCTTTATTATTTTTTTTATCCTCACCCGAGGACATTTTAGCATTTATCTTCAGATAGAGCGGGAGGGAGAGAGGGAGGAAGAGAGAGAGAGAAACATCGATGTGAGAGAGACACATCGACTGGCTGCCACCCACACCACCCCAACCGGGACCGGGGACAAACTGCAACCGAGGCACGTGCCCTTAGCGGGAACCGAACCCGGGACCCTCTGGTCTGTGGGCCGACGCTCTAACCACTGAGCCAAACCAGCCAGGGCCAAGCATTTTTTTAAAAAGGAGACTATGGTAACTTTTTAGTTATAATAGCTAAGACTATCAGAAGCCGTTCATGTCGTCATTCTCAATCTTTTAGTCATTTTAGAAGAACCTGAGAATTAAAAACAACAACAACAACAACAACAAACTGATTCCTGGACCCAGCCATCGTGTTTCTGACTTACTGGGACTGTGAAGGGATTCGGGTATCTGTGTGTAGTCATGAGCCCACGTGGTTCTGTCACACAGCCAGGGTTGAGCATCACTGAGCTCAGTTTCTTGAAGCGGGAGAAACGGTGCTGTGTGGGGACCGAAAACATTCAGGTAGAGAAAAGCAGGTGCATCTCTCAGACTGTCCTTTTCTCCCGTGTCAGGTTACCAGCTCAACTCGGCCGAATGTGTGGACACACGCTTGAAGAGGGTGGTCCCTGACCATTACTGCCACTACTACCCCGAAAACGTCAAACCCAAGCCCAAACTGAAAGAGTGCAGCATGGACCCTTGTCCGTCCAGGTGGGCGTCACTGTCCGCTCTCTTTCCTTTGACGCGAAAGAAACCACCTGCCGCAGACGACCCCGCACGTGTCCGCCGTGAACGCGCCCTGGGGGCAGCTCCCTGTGTCGGCGTGGGTGGCCCGGTCGGTAGGAGTTAGCTGTACCGGATGCTGCCGTCTGCGCTCTTGGTTGCCACGTGGGCTGTGCCCTGGGGCTGGGATGTTTCAGCCTTTATAACGAACCTCTCTGAGCATCTGCATCCACAGTATTTAAGGTCTCTTTACCCAAACGCCGTGTCTGGTCCATCTGCCAGTCATGAGTGTCTTTAACCCACTGTTTTAGTTTTTATTTATTTATTTATTTATTTATTTATTTTTTAATCCTCACCCGAGGACATTTTTTCCATTTTTTGTACAGACAGAGTGGGAGGGAGAGAGAGGAAGAGAGAGAGAGGGAAACATCGATGTGAAGGGACACATCGAGTGGCTGCCACCCGCACGACCAACCAGGGCCGGGGACAAACTGCAACCGAGGTACATGCCCTTAGCGGGAACCGAACCCGGGTCTCTCCGGACCGCAGGCGGACGCTCTAACCGCTGAGCCAAACTGGCCAGGGCTGTTTTAGTTTCTAAACGGGGTCGCCCATGCCCACGTTTGGGCTTCTGAAAGTGTTCGCATTACATTCAGGATAAATGATGCGTTGTGCTGGGAGGGCAGATGTGTCCGTCCCAGAGCGGAGACGCTGTGTGGAAGCTCTGCTGTTGCATAATTTAGTACCTGCTGACTTGGATCGCCCTGGGGCGTTTCCTGGACTTGCTACAGTATCTTAAAATAACAGCGCAGTATCGAGTCCCAGAATCCCCCCGGTCCCTGCCAGCTGGCCGAGGCGGAGGTGTGCCCGTGGAAAGGGAAGCGTTCTAGGTGAATTTCATTTCCTATCCCCAACCTGCCCATTTCCTGTAATCCCATGGTTATTAATAGAGACCTTTGCAAGGGCCCGATTCTGTGAAATAAAATGGTTTTCCTGAAGACCTACTTATATGACAGTGTTAGGACCATCAGTATACTTTATCAGGATAACCATTGTAGATGATGAAAAGGAATACATAGATTGAGCCAAATCAGGAGAAATTTTCTCCTTTGATTGATACATGTGAGCGGCTTCCTCTCCTGTGTTCCCGTGTGAAGCTGGAGATGGTGTATGTCAGAGGCGTTTCTGGAAACGAAGGAGGTGGTGGCCGAATTTGGGGGAATAGTTCACGGCACTTGGCATACTTACTTTGAATTCGAAAGAGATTCGTCTTTGGGGATGTCAGCTTGGAATCAGTCAAGTTAACAAATGTGTTCGTGGATTTAGAAATGATACTGTCACAATGGTTTCCTTTGTAGTGATGGATTTAAAGAGATCATGCCCTACGACCACTTCCAACCTCTACCTCGGTGAGTAATGGTGTTACTTTTGGTAACTTAATCCACGTTGTCTGCCAGCAATGGTTGTACCTGTAGCAGAGCTTTAACCAGCAGAGGGATAGGGAGCTGACCCTGCACAGAGCGCGGAGGGAAACACGTCAGTGCAGTACTGGGTGGAGCAGTCTCCTCCCACCTGACGTTTGCCATCACCTGCCTGCCTGGTTGTTACGGGGTGGGGGGCTCACACCTCGCAAGGGATCAGAAATGTGGATCCGCTTTCCCACCTAAAGGACTAGTACGGTCCTTTCTGACTTTGAGCCTCTGTGACTCTCTAGTAGTATCGTCCTTTAGTATTTTACAGTTGGGAGACGGTTGAAAGATGCCTTCACACTCTGTTGAATGACTTTGACCCTCACCTCACCCTGTCAGGGGTGACCCGGGCAGGTGGATTGCTCCCCCTGGGGTCAGAGGCGTTGGTCCCTCTGACTGTAGGTTGTGTGTAGCGGTTAAGACGAAAGTCTTATCTTTCCGTGTCCCGTGCTCTTTGAGCTGAACCAGAACTGTTATATTCTTACAACCAGAACTGTTACATTCTTACAACCAGAACTGTTACATTCTTACAACCAGACTTGCAAACTTGAAACAAACCTGCCGGCAGCCAAGATAAACAAATAATAATAATAATGTGTCTTCCTTTGTTTGCTTTTGAGCTGGGAACATAACCCTTGGACGGCGTGTTCGGTGTCCTGTGGAGGCGGGATCCAGAGGCGTAGCTTCGTGTGTGTGGAGGAGTCCCTGCACGGGGAGATCCTGCAGGTGGACCAGTGGAAGTGCATGTACGCCCCCAAGCCCAAGGTCGTGCAGACCTGCAATCTCTTCGACTGCCCCAAGTGGATCGCCATGGATTGGTCTCAGGTAGACGGGACCATGGCCGCCCTTCGTGACATCCCTGCCTTCCGTCAGTGTCTGCTGCGGGTTATTGGTTCTTTCTGGTTCACTTTCCCCCTGAAAGAGGTTTGGAAAAGGACATGCCCTTTCACATATGTTTAGATTGACATCTAAAATTATGTCCAGCACAAGTTTATTTGTCTTTACTGTTGAGAGTATTTCAGATGTCCCCCTTCCCCCCCACATTGCCCCCTCTACCTGATTCCTGCCCCGCCCCAGGCCTCCACCACCCCATTGTCTGTGTCTATATGGATGTACGTTCTTTGGGTACTCTTCTGTCACCAGTTTAAATAACGTCAGAATAGGTCATGTCTAGCATGTTGTGAATGCTGACATTTTAAAATAATGCGTGAAAGCATTTTATAAAATGTGTCCACGAGAGTGTAAATGCTACGATGATTTCTGTTCTTGCCATCCTTGCTTTAGAAAACGTGAACAAGTTCTTCTCGAGGAATTTGGGTATTTTGCATGTCCCCCCTTGAACGCAGTTTTAATTCACTGTCTTCCCATATATTTATCCTAATATTATGAACTTTTATGCTTCAAAGACTTTTATTTTTTTGAATATGTTTTTATTGATTTTTAGAGAGAGAGGAAAGAAGAAGGAGAGAGAGAAAGACATTGATGGGCCGCCTCCTGCACACCTCCCCCTGGGGATGGAGCCCGGAACCTGGGCATGGGACTTGACCAGGAATCCAAGCTGGTCATGGGACATGGGACAGCGCTCGTGGGACACAGGACAGCGCTCAATCAACTGAGCCATGCCGGTCAAGCTGAAGTCTTTTATTAATACACTATTCTACTTTTCCCCAAGAAAAGAAATTACTTTTTAATTTCCTGTGACCCTGGATTAAGTTATTATTATACTTTATTTTACTACAGACTAAAAAACACGAATATATTTCAAAATTGGTAAATAATTATTACACATAAACTGTTACATTTTCATCTGGAATCAGTCTTTCCTGATGATGCGTGGGCCTTAGTACAGAATGAGATGTGGAGTTGCAATAATCTCATTCTTCTCATTTTACTGTTGATTTCTCGTTTTGTTTCGTTCTACGTGTACGCCCCGGGGCAACGTGTTCATGTCAGTAGACTGAGCTGGAAGGGTGTTATGAGAGCAAGGTCGTTTCTTTGAACTGCTGAGTTACGTGCCGGAAAGCACCCCCTGATGGATCATCAAAAATGAGCATCACTTCTACAACCTGCGGAGCCTGTTTTCAGCCCAGAGGTGGTGTCCATACGTTTTTTGTTGGCTTTACAGCTGTGATATCACGCCCTCCCCCCTAAAATGCCACCAGTGACTCATCACCTGTAATAGCAACACAACGAATCATTAGCCACCTCAGCTCATCGCCTTCCTTGGCTCTGCACGCTCCATTTGTTCTCAGAAAATCAAGTGTCTTCGCAGTGATGAGACTCTGCTCTCATTGCGGCTACGCTCGGCTCCGAAGGGGAGGTCAGGGAATGTAAACACGGACAGCGTCACGGGTCAGTGTGCACGTTCCCAGTCCTCTGGGTTGGCTGGTTCCGGTCAAGCGATACCTTAGAACCATATTGTTTTCTTTCTCTTTGGGCGGAATTTCTTTTTTCTTGGCCAATGTAAAATCCCCTCTCAAGATCATATATATTTCAGATTTGATAAATGTGGGTAGACGAGTCAGTTTCCCAGGAATAGGACCTAATCTCAAAGGTCACTCCATTTTTGCAGAACTTTTGTCACCATCCGAGTGGCCTGAGGAAGTAGCAGAGGCTTCTGCTCTTCTTGGCGGTGTTGTACCGGAAGAGGCCCCTGTAGCCTCCGAAATGCACCTGTGATGATGCAGATGGCATCACGGATTGAGGACAGAATCTGTGAGCTTTATGAAGCGGCGGACGGCGAAGCCATGGTTTCGGCAACAGGAATTTCTGGGATGGAAGCACTCTGCCTCTTAGGAACCGTGTGACCTTGAGCAAGGTCCTTAGGGCGCGGGCTGTCTGTTCATCTGTGAAATGGGAATGAAGCTAATGATCCATAAGTGTGGGGGGCGGGTTAGTGAGGCCCACCCGCAGGACAGCGGCTGCTCTGTAACCAGGGGCCGGGGACTCTGCCTCCCCCAGGGGTGGATGCAGAATTACCGAGGCCTGACGCTTACACAGTTCGGTGGCGACTCTTCAAGAAAAAGGAATAGGAAACACAAATATTGGGTATCTAAGTGAATGTGCTTTTAGAATAAGACGAGAAATTATAGATTTTTAAAAGCTGACAATAACCCTAATATGCACCCTGGACTTCAGCTCATAAATGTACCCGTCGTTTTGGTCCATCAGTGGTGATAACACCACCACACGAAAGCAAGGTGTTAACAGGGAAATGTGTAGGGAGGCGAAGAGGAGCTTTGTACTATCTGCTCATTTTGTCTGAAAACCTAAAATAGTCCTAAAAATTAAGTCTATTAATTTTTTATAAAAACATACATGCATGCCCTGGCTGGTGAGGCTCAGCAGTCAGAACATCGGTCTGAGAACCAAAGGGTCTCAGGTTCGATTCCGGTCAAGGGCACATACCTGAGTTGCAGGTTCAGTCCCCAACCCTGCTCAGGGTTGTGCGGGAGGCAGTCAATCGATGTGTCTTTCTCACATCGATGTTTTTCTTTCTCCCCTGCCCCTTCCAGTATAACTAAAAATCAGTGGAAAAATGTCCTTGGGTGAGGATCAACAGAATTAAAAAAAAAAACAAAACCATACATGCACAAATATGTACTCACTGACATGTAGATACATTGAAAAGACAGGTGAGATTTTCGCAACATGCAAATACTACATTTGTAATTGGAAGTACCTTCTAAATGGAAAATAAATAAGTCAGCAAAAAAAACCGACAACACACATTTCATATGTGTTCAGAAAACAAAGCATAATGTTTTATTCATTTTAACTGCTTGCTATACCATTAGCATTTTTTTCCTAAATTTTTCAGCTATCTACTCTTTGATGACCTACTCTCCTTGTGACAATAGCTTTGAACGATTGATTTCTACAGACAGAAGAGAAAGTGCTCTGGTGTGGTCGATCAGATTTGTTCTTTTAAATAGATAGTTCAGAAACGTTTCTTCCATCTTCACGAACTGTTTTGGAGACTGTCATGTAACATTTTCATCGAATTTGAGAAAACTGCAGTTCTTTCATATTTGAACAGAAAGATTTCAGGGTTTCTCAATATTTCCTGCATCCTCCATGTTTAACATCCGTGTCCACCAGCGGCGTCTCCTTTGCACGCGATGCGGGTCCCTTTGCGGGTCTCCGCGTGAACAGGAGTTTCACTGGCTTCTCTCTTCCTCTCTGAAGTGCACGGTGACGTGTGGCCGGGGGCTGCGCTACCGGGTCGTGCTGTGTATCAACCATCGGGGACAGCACGTGGGCGGCTGCAATCCGCAGCTGAAGCTACACATCAAAGAGGAGTGCATCATCCCGGTCCCGTGTTACAAACCAAAAGGTGGGTGTGCGCGGCGCTTTAAGGTTAAGTCGGAGGGTGCTCCCCAGCCCGCGTTCCAGTGTTGCGGCGTTTATGTTTCTGTTTACCAGCTTTCTCATGAAATTGTTTTACTCACAGATTACAGTAGACCTAGACAGAGAAGTTGAACCTCTGGGTTTAATGGATCTGGGGGTGGGGGTGGGGTCTCGAGCTCTTGTTGAGGGGTTCCTCTCAGGCGAGGCTTCTACTAACATCTCTCAGTGGATATAAAATAACCCGATGCAGTCTCTGCCTTGAAGAAAAGGGGAAAGAGGATGAAGGGGGGAGGAGCATGAAGACTCCCCCAAGGTCCTCATCCTTCTTCTCTCCCGGTATTTGCCATGCCTTCCCCTGGAGGGGACATTTCTTGAGGGAGGAATGCCGTCGTCACCAGAGTGTGTCCCGTTGCCTACCGCCGAGTGAATGAAGACCCCCGTTCACAAGGAGACCCACGCAGGAGCCCGCATCTCATGAAGTCTTTCTGTTCCTGGTCTGGATCTACAGACAGGCTTAGAATTCCTCTGGTGGTTCCCATTTGTTCCGCATGAACTGGCCGAAATGGGCAGCATCCATGGGTAGAACCTCTTGACATCACCTCTCGGATAGGTGTTCCTCTCTGTCCATGGCTGCCTGTTTCCCTATACACCAGTAAGGTATCCCAGCCCTCAAGACACAGACCTCCCTCCTGTCTGGGAATGGAAAAGGCCTATCCCCACCTGTTAGTGCAGGTGTTAGACTCAGCCCCACCTGTTAGTGCCAGGTGTTAGCCTCAGTCCCACCTGTTAGTGCCAGGTGTTAGCCTCAGTCCCACCTGTTAGTGCCAGGTGTTAGCCTCAGCCCCACCTGTTAGTGCCAGGTGTTAGCCTCAGCCCCACCTGTTAGTGCCAGGTGTTAGCCTCAGCCCCACCTGTTAGTGCCAGGTGTTAGCCTCAGCCCCACCTGTTAGTGCCAGGTGTTAGCCTCAGCCCCACCTGTTAGTGCCAGGTGTTAGACTCAGCCCCACCTGTTAGTGCCAGGTGTTAGACTCGGCCCCACCTGTTAGTGCCAAGGAATCTTCCCAGGTACATTTAGAGAGGATGGTAAAATTCTCCTTCATCATTTCTGCGTTAATTATCCTTGTAGTGAACCAGGTATTTATTGGATGACATCTGTGCCCCAGAAAAGTCCCTGGTTGCCAGGTGAGGGACAAAGACCTGTACACCTTGCTCAGGGAAGTCTTTCTCCTTCCTTCACTCCATGGTATCTCCGTGGCCACTTTGTTGGGGTCTGAGTTCCCGGAAGTGGCCCATGTCACTTTCCTTCTCACTTCATGACTAGATTGTTTCCTCCTTACGTCTCAGGAGGCCTCAGGGGACAGAAAGGGGCACCAGCCTTCCCCCATGGGGGCTGTGAGTCACAGTGGTCTCCCCAACCATGGCAACAGCTGCAGAAGAAGCTACAGCATAGGCTCTGCTCCCAGGATTCTCAACGTCTGTGTTAGTTGTATGTCTCTACTAAATTCTTCATTCAAGGGGCAAAAAAGGGTCTGCGGTCGAGGCCAGCAAGCTGTCGTGGTTGAGGGGAGAGCTTTGCCATGTCAACAACACGTTGGCATTAATGGATAAAAGGCATTTTGGGGTTAAATTGGAGCATGTATCAACCGCGCCAGGGGACCTTTTGGTTGCCTTTTGATCGTGTTAATTCAAAAAATTGAAGACAGCCCAGCCGGTGTGGCTCAGTGGATGGAGCATTGTCCCATGGACTGAGAGGTCCCAGTTCGATTCCCGGTCAGGGCACATGCCTGGGTTGTGGGGTCGATCCCCAGTAGGGGGCGTGCAGGAGGCAGCCAATCGGTGTTTCTCTCGCACATCGATGTTTCTCTTTAAAAACAATCCATGAAAGCATATTTTTAAAAAAATCGACAATGGCAATTTCTGGTTCCGTCCAGAAACCAAAGGACTCAGCCTCACTGATGAAGTCTTCAACAAGTAACAATCGCATATCCAGCTCCTTAACGCTTCACGCTCATTCAGCTTCTCGTGTTCCTTTTCTCTTAGAAAAAAGTCCGGTGGAAGCGAAACTCCCTTGGCTGAAACAAGCTCGTGAACTAGAAGAGACCAGAACAGCAACAGAAGAACCAACGTGAGTCCAGGCCCTTTTGGGGGAGTGATGGGGGCATAGCCCGCTACCATGATATATGTGATTTTCGTCCTTTCAAATCCAAGTGACCGGCTTTGCAGACTCGAGAAGTCTGAGCTGGCTGGAGTCCTCCATGTCACCATCCGGCAGCCCGGCTTCGGCAGTGTCTGCGAGAAGCTCACAAGAGCACAGGTCGTTGAACTCAGAGCTGTTACAGTTACAGGGGTCTGTTACAGTGTAGGATACTTCCTACATCTAGTGAACACACAACTTGACCAAGGACCCTGTAGCATGAAACAGTCACACTCGGTGGTTAGGCCCCGGCCCGTCTCTATGAAAACAATCACACTGAAATGTTTCAGGGTGGCCCAGAGGACTCTAAGGCGGTAACCCAGAGCGACTGTGGTGCGGCGCGGTGGGAAGAACATCGTGCCCCTGGGTTTGGGGCCTGGAACCGCCGCTTTTGACCATGTGACCTTAGACAAGTCTCTCTTTGTTCTGTGTGTCATTTTTCAGGTTGGATTTAATCTCTCCCGGGTCCATTCCAAGTCAAAAATCCAATGGCTTCCAATCTCATATGATTTGGGAAGTCTGGGTTGAAATGTTATCAGGGGAAATTCAGAATTAAGAGCAAATGAAAGAAACATTCCGGAGGCAGAGGTGTAGGGACCGAAAGAGCAAGGAATCAAAGGTGCCACGATCCCAAGTGCCCATGAACAGATGAGTGGCTTAAAAAGCTGTGGTACATTTACACATTGGAGTACTATGCATCTGTAAAAAAGAAAGATCTCTTACCCTTTGTAACAGGTGGTTGGACCTGGACAGTATTATGCTAAGGAAATAAACCAATCAGAGAAAGATAAATAACCATATGCTCTCACCACTATGTAGAAAATACTGTTCATTTTATTGAATTGGAAAGGGCGATACCATGTAGCCACAGTGGGTTCGGGTCCCCTTCTTCCCGGCCAGGTCACGGAGCCCACAGCCCCTGATCCCCGGCCAGCGGCCGCCGCTCCTACCTCCACCCTGTCTTCTCTGTGCGTTCTAGCCATTTGCCCGCATCACCCCGTCTCTGGCCTGTTCCTGGCTGTGTAGTGTGAAGTTTATAGCTTCCTCCCTCCCCTTCTGACGGTTCATTCCCTCGATTTCCGAGCAAAACCGCAACACAGCTCAGCTTCCAGTTCATCCTTTTATCCCCGCCGTCCTTCGTGGTTGGGGGATGCGTGCTCGCTGACAGCGAGGGAAGAGACGAGCGGAGCCGTATCTCCAGCCCCCCGGGGGAGCCTGCCGAAGCCGCCTGCAGAAGATAAATATTTCTGCTGCTGTGGTTTCCCGTGGCCGGGCCCTGAATGACACAGGCAGCGGATGTTCAAAAGACGTGCTTGCTTGCTTTTTTTTTTCTTTCTTAATTGGGAAAATAAAAATGATAGCTTCTAACGCTAAGCCAAGGGAACGGCAGTTTTGACCTTGGCTTTCCACGGTGGAATGTGTTGACAGTTGATACGGTTCCCCGTTGTCTTAAAAGTTCTTCCCTGGCGTCCTCACTGTTTCTGGGGGGTTCTTCTGAGAGGGCCCCTCTCTCGTCGCCCACGTACGAAGATCAAGGAGAGAGGACAGATTGAGAGCCCTGCACTGATGTCCTCCGCTGCTGTCTCAGCGTCTCCGTGTGCAGAAACCGTACTGGCTCAAATCAGGCCAGGTGGCATTTCAGGAGTCAGTTTGCTGGCACCGGAATATCCACCGACAGGGAGACCTTCTTCTGTGGCAGACCATGTTCTACTCGCTGAATTCTTACGAGGACCCCCCGAGGAGGCACCGTTATTATCCTCATTTTGGGGAGGAGGAAACCCAGGCGCAGAAAGATTAAGACGTCGTCCGACCCGTCGAGCTAGTCGGTGGCAGACCGTGACTCTCTGGCAGGCGATACTGGAGAGAGCTCTGGTTTTGTGTCGGGTGACCCGATTCACGTCTCATCCATCCTGAGGATGGTTTCGTGGGGGAGACAGAGAAGGTAGCAAATATCCTATGATACGGTGAGGTGTAGGGGTCAGGCGTGGCTTCTGAGGAGAGAGGGTCCGGGACCTGAGGTTCCGGGGCGCACACTTGTCAGGTGTTTGGGGCTGCAGGTCCATGTGGTCACGCCTCGATGCTGAGGCACTGAGTGTGCGGCAGGGGGGTTACCACGCAGCAGGGAGGCTGCTAGAAAAGTAAGCAGATCTTAGAGGAAAATCTTTTTTTTCCTGATTCTATTTTTTATTAATTTATTTTTGTTAACAGATGTTTCTCTTTTTTTCCCCATTGACACCCTCCTCCTAATCCTGCCCCCTACCCAGCATGGTTGTCTATGTCCATTGGTTACGCATACAGGCATTAAGTTCTGTGGTTTATCTCTTCCCTCCCCCTCCACTCCCTCCTCTGAGGTTTGTCAGTCTGTACCCTACTTTTATGTCTCTTGGTCTGTATTGTTCATCACCTTATTTTGTTCATTCTATTCCTCAAATAAGTGAGATCATGTGATATTTGTCTTTCTCTGATTGGCTTATTTTGCTCAGTCTAATACTCTCCAGGTCCCTGCATGTTGTCTCAAAAGATATGAGATCTTTCTTTCTTACAGCTGCATAGTACTCCATTGTGTACATGTACCACAGCTGTTTTATCCACTCATCTACTGATGGACACTTGGGGTGTTTTCCAGATCTTAGCTATTGTAAATAGTGCTGCTGTGAACATAGGGGTCCATATATTCTTTCTGATTGGTGTTTTAGGCTTCTTAGGATAGGAGGAAAAAGCTCAACTTACACTTCTCAAACTTACATTTTTTTAATCCTACACATCGTTCATGATGCTGTGTCTATTGACTTTTCCATTTTTGAAATGAGTACACGGACATAGCTTTCTTCCCAACTTACTTCCTGAAAGTTCCTGACTCTGGTTATCAAACGCGGGGGTTGGGAGCCAGGATAACCGCTGTGTCTTCATTAGGCTCCTGTGTAGCAGCGGAGTTTCATTTGTGCTGATTGGGACGTACCATGGGGACGACCGTAGTGAATGATGCCTTCCTTGTCTGGGGCAGGAAGGTTGGATGACTCTGAGCGACCCTGACAGCCTCATCTTTCGAGAATTTAAACATTAAGCTTTGTAACTGCGTCTTCAGCAAACATCCCAGCGGCATCTTCTGACATTACTTAGCACAGCATTGCCCCTTGAGGAGAGGGCTGTGGCCACTCACATTTATGAAACGAGGCACTGTAAGCACCTAAGTATTTGTGGTATGCAGTCCCGTGTCACAGTCTTAGGGAATGTTTTGCAGGAAATACACTGTTTGAACATTATGAAGCCCGGAGTTTCCGAAACTTGTTCTGCCCCTGAAGGCTCCTTTGCCTGTCACTTGTTAATAATGCGCCATGCAGGTGTTGCTTCGGACTCTCTTAGCTATGCATGCCCCTTCTGGATCTATTTTTCAAACTCAGTACAGGAATCAGTGAAATTTTTCAATAAAGGGCCAGATAGTAAATATTTTAGGCTTTGCAGGCCAATCAGCTACAGCCTCAGCTCAGCCATGTAGCCCAGAAACAGCCAGAAATAGCAGGTGAACAAGCAGGGGGGGGGGGGGGGGGGGCTTTTCCAATAAATATTTAATTACGGACGCATACATTGAATTGTATATACTTTTTTGCATGACACAAAATATGATCCTTTTCTGCCCCCAACCATTTAAAACTGTACCAGTTATTCTTAGCTGGCACCTAGGTGGTACAGATGCAGGTGGGCTGCATTTGCCCTTTGGCCATAGATTGACAACCTCTATTTAGTGGATGATAATTCAGGATGAAAAAAAAAATGAATGCTTGGCCCTAGCTGGGTAGCTCAGTTGGTTATAGCACCATCCTGCTACACCAGGGTTGCAGGTTGGATCCCCGGTCAGGGCACATACAAGAATCAACCGCTAAATGCGTAAATGAGTGGAATGACAGATTGCTCTCTCTCCCCCCTCTCCTTTCTCTCCCTAAAAAAAATCACTGAAATAATTTTTTTTTTAATCTTCACCTGAAGACATTTTCCATTTTTCTGTTCAAATAGAGTGGTAGGGAGAGACAGGAAGAGAGAGAGAGAGAGAAACATTGACGTGAAAGGGACACATTGAGTGGCTACCACCTGCATGGCCCAACCAGGACCGGGGACAAACTGCAACCCTTAGCGGGAACCGAACCTGGGTTTCTCTGGACCGCAGGCCGATGCTCTAACCGCTGAGCCAAACTGGCCAGGGCATGAAATAAAATTTTTAAAAAATGCTTTATTCAGCCAGATTGTACAGTACCTTTATTTCCTAAGAGATTCAGATGTTTGATGTGTTTATCAGTTACATGGAAGAGAATATTAAAGCTTCATGTATTCTTCAGAAAGCACTTGTGAGCCAGCAGTTTTGTTCCTAAATATTGAGACAGTTGAATAAAATTCTACGTGTTAGCAAAGGATACGCCGGAGAAAGGTTTCTTGGATAAGGATTGGTGGAAATCCCCACGTTATAAAAGAAACCGGATTAGAAGTATCGCTGCTGAACCGTCTCGTTGTTGCCACGTCTTAAGGATGTCTTGTGAAGGCCAGAGCACAGAATTTGCATGACTGAACCGATGCAGAACTTGAGCTTATCTGTGGTGAAAAATTCTCCGTGATGCTCGAGAAATTCGAAACTGCTGAGCGCCTCAGTGAGCGTCCACAGAAGTACAGCATTCCCAATGGATTGGCTTTTGTCTGCATGCAGTTGTTCCTGCCTTACGCAGAATGCTAGTCACTCCTCCTGTGGTGGCCTGCGTGTCACCCCTGTCTCCCTGGTTTTCCGTAGGTTCGTGCCGGAGCCCTGGTCAGTCTGCAGCACCACGTGCGGGCCGGGCGTTCAGGTCCGGGAGGTCAAGTGCCGCGTGCTCCTCACGTTCACGCAGACGGAGACCGAGCTGCCCGAGGAGGAGTGTGACGGCCCCACGCTGCCCACCGAGCGGCCCTGCCTCCTCCGAGCCTGTGAGGACAGCGCTGCCTCCCCCGAGCTGGACGTCTCCCTCCCCAAGAAGGACAGCGAGATGACCTACCAGTGGGAGTACGCCGGGTTCACCCCCTGCACAGCGACATGTTTGGGAGGTATTGGATCCTTTGCTTCAGGGGCAGTGGTGTTTGTGTTGCTGTTGGTTTGAGAAATGACGAAATTGGTTAGGCCAGCTGTGCCAATGAGCAAGAGTCTGAAGAAGGTAACTGAACAGCCCTGGCACTTTGCTGGGTCCACAGCCTATATTACCTTTTCCATCGCTGGGTGTTCACGGTAGTGCTCACCCTAGTATCCTGACTAATGAGCAGAGAGAGGAACATATACCAACTCTCCTTTCTCATCTGGCCCTGAGCATGTGTCTGTATAGTCTGTGCCTGTGTATATGGTGTGTGTGTTATATACAAGATGTCCCCCAAAAATGTGTACAGGGTGTCTGTAGATTCTGTTACATTTTGCAAATGGAATGTATTTTAATAAACACTGACTTTACCATTATTCCAAGTAGCATACACATTTCCTGGGACACCCTGTATTTCTGAAAAAGAGCGTCATCGTATATAGCACAGTGTTGTACAAGGCAACGACTACATGAGGTGTTTTTTTTTTTTCTTTGACGGAGTTATGGTAGTTTGTCAGATGAATTGGACTTCTTCCACACCTTTCAATAATCTTTAAAAAAAATGTTTGTTTTTTTTATTTATTGATTTTAGAGAGAGAGAAAGGGAGAGGGAGAGAGAGAGAAACATCGATGAGAGAGAGCATTGACTGGCTGCCTCCTGCATGCCCCCCGACTGGGGATCGGGCCCGCAACCTGGGCATGTGCCCTGGCCGGGAATCGAACCAGCTACCTCTTGGTGCTTGGGTCGACGCTCAAACACTGAGCCACACTGGCCGGTCACTTTCAATAATCTTTAATAGTGCGTATCATCTGTTTAAAACTTTTGCAAGAGCTGGTTGCTCCAACTGTCTAAATCCAGTTTTTCTTTTCCCTCCTGGGGGCAGCACTGAGGGGAAGGGTCATGGCCCCATGCTGACCATCATTTTCCAGGTTCCTCCCTCTTATTGTTATAGTCAATTCAAGTTCTTAATTCTTCAGTAAATCTCATCATTTAGATTCTCTTGGGGGAAAGAAAAGCAGCTGTTTCATGAAGATACTGCGATTATTCACCTCGTCTCAAGTTGCTTGAAGCCTTTCTCTTTTTTTCTTGCCACAACTAATGTATAATCTTTTCACTCCTTTGACCTTGGAGTTTTATAGGGAGTGACTTTCTAATGGTAGGATGGGGGAGGCAGTAATAGTCTGTTATTCATTTATAGTTGGACACTATCGTGGTCAGGAATGTTACAATGTCTAGCTTTTGGAGATTATTGTAGTTTCTTTATAGACTAATATAGGATCCGTTTTTGCTACTGTTCCATTAAGTGCTTAAAGAGGGTGTATTACATCTATTTCCAGGGCCCAAGGCTACTTGGTTATTAAATCAACATAATTTTTTAATTCAAATCCCTTTTCCATATTTATTTCACCATTTGATGTATTAAGTACTGGGTGGCATCTTAAAGGCTCTGGCAATAGATTTTTTTTCATTGCTCTGGCTGTGTGTGTGTGTGTGTGTGCGCTGCTTGGCATGTTGAATTAGTCAAGACTTTGTTTGCAAGAAACCCAACTCACACTAACCTTAAACCAAAAAAAGGGGGTGCATTAGCTCATTTATTGGCTCATTTATTGGCTTATCCTCCTAGAGTCTGTGTTTTTACCCTTTAATCACTCATTTCTTGGTGAAATCTTTGAATATCTTTTTGCCAAAAAAATAAATAAATAACCTTCTTTTTTATTTTTTTATTTTTTTATCCTCACCGGAGAACATCCCTCCATTTTTTGTTCAGGTAGAGTGGAGGGAGAGAGAGGAACAGAGAGAGAGAGAGAAAGATCGATGTGAAAGGAACACATCGAGTGGCTGCCACCCTCACGACCAACCAGGGCTGGGGACAAACTGCAACCGAGGTACGTGCCCTTAGCGGGAACTGAACCCGGGTCTCTCAGGACCGCAGGCCAACGCTCTAACCGCTGAGCCAAACTGGCCAGGGCAATAAATAACCTTCTTGTTATGATATTGCAGAGGTCAACTATGGAGTTGAGAGATGTTGCCTCGTGCTACCAAAGAGATTCGTTAGAGAGATTTACTAAAATGTCAACACATGATTTATTTCATATATTCTAATGCTTACTGCGTGAATTGTCGCTCAAAGTTTGTTAAGTCTAAAATGAAGTAAACCTGATTTTATGATGTTCGCTTTTTACTTGATCAAACTTCTTGAAGTGAAAAGTGTTAACATTGTGGTGAGGGCCCAGTAGTTGGGATGGAGATAGTCTTGTGGCCTCTTTGGAAAAAATCCACCCTATGTCAGTGAGTATCCTAAGTCATCTATTAAACTTTTTTTTTTAATCCTCACCTGAGGATTTTTTTCCATTTTTGTTCAGATAGAGTGAGGAGAGAGAGGATGAGAGAGAGAGAGAAACATCGACATGAAAGGGACACATTGAGTGGCTACCTCCCGCACAACCCAACCAGGGCCGGGGATGAATCGCAACTGAGGTACGTGCCCTTGACCAGAATCGAACCCGTAACTCATTGGTTCATGGGCCGATGCTCTAACCACTGAGCAAAACTGGCCAGGGCTCATCTATTAAACTTTTACATTATTTTGAGTAACTTGCTTGAAGACAGAAAAGTTTGCCAAGAGTGTTATAAACATTCAAAATGGTTAAAAAGAGGTAATAGTCGTCCTGCATTGGCCCCCAGACCTGAGGGACCCGGGTTTGGTTCCCGCTAAGAGCACATACCTCGGTTGCAGTTTGTCCCCAGCCCTGGCTGGGGTCATGTGGGTGGCAACCAGTGGATGTGTCTCTCTCACATCAATGTTTCTCTCTCTCTTCCTCTCCCTCCTGCTCTATCTGAAGATAAATGCAAAAATGTCCTTGGGTGAGGATAAAAAAGAGAGAGAGAGAGATAACTATGGTGCCTTCAGGCCCACCCACCTGAACTCCAGAAAACACTCCAAAATAGTCTCAGTATATTTCTTAAAGAATTTTAATTACAAAGAAAAATATATGTGAAAGGGTGCTTTATTTTTCTCAGGTTAAAAAGAAATAAAATCTACCCTGGCCGGTGTGGCTCAGCCATTAGAGCATCGGCCCGTGGACCAAAGAGTCATGGGTTTGATTCCGGTCAGGGGCATGTACCTCAGTTGTGGTTCGTCCCTGGCCCTGGTCAGGGTCATGTGGAAGGCAGCCAGTCGATGATGTCGATGTTTCTCTCTTTCTCTCCCTCTCCCCCTCCCGCCCTATCTGAACATAAAAGGAAAATATCCCCAGGTGAGAATTAAAAAAAAAAAAAAGAAATGAAACCTGCTAGAAAGTGGTCATGTATGTCCCTCTCGAGTCCCTACAGAGTTTGAAGTCAGAAGATAGGACGCAGCATTGCTAAGTGGTCAAAGTGTCTCCTTATACTCAGATTAGCCAGTGTCTTTTACAGTTTATGGAAGATGCTTGGAGACTTAAGACTGTATTCTGCCATGGTCAGGAACCTAAGATTACAGCCGAAGAAAGCAGAGGGGGAAAAATCACAGATATGTATTTTCTATATACTTTGGCCCATACCGCATCCTATAAAATACTATAAAATGGTTGGATTGAAACATGGCATTTGGAAAAAGAACCACATCTTATAACATAATGGAACCCACATTCTTGCATGAAACTGAACCATTTGCATATTTCCACTCGCGTAGTCGGTTACTGTTACGATTTTTATTAGTTTTTTTTATTTTTTTTCCATCAAAAGTTTGATTTATATTTTTGTTCGGTCCTGACTTCCCAATAATCCTTTGTATCGCCGTGGACAAAGAATAGCGGTCGAGACGTGGGCTCTGGGGTCAGACAGACCTGTCTGGCCTCGGAGGAAATGTTACGCCGGGGAGAGTTTATATTTGAGCCGGGAGGTGGTCACTGCTTTGGGGAGCCAGTTGGCAGGGGTGCCTTTTGGACTCCTTAGGGTACAAGAGGAACACGGCCGAACGAGGAAGCAGGAAATCTAATTTTTAGCTTTGAGTTGACCACGTTTTTGCTGTCTTCGTTTCTCTCTACACCTCTGTCTCCTTACTGTGACACCACCCGCATGGAGGTGACACCACCGTTCCTGGGCCCTCACACGATTGTGGTGGGCTCGCACAGTAGATGCGCCAGCACTTGGCACGCGGCACGGCCCTTCCCGATGGGAGGCTCAGCCATCGACCTGTTCCTGCTTCTGGTGCCAGTGAACAGGAACTCGGGCCACAGTGGAAACTGTAATGAAACTTGCACATCAAAGTCAGCACATGAGCAGGGAGGGAGAGAAAAGGTTCTCCAGCAGCTCATCCCGCAGTGCCTCTCGGGGAGCGATTGTATGTGTTTGGAAGGAACACGTGTGAGGGACCTCCTGGCTTGGCGCACATTTGAATGTAGATAGGTTTGAAGGCGGGGGGAGTCAGGGATGCTCCTTCGTGTTTCAGGGTGAGGGTCTTTGGGGCAGAGGGAGTAGAGGGGCTGAGGTAAAAGGTGACCGAGAGGAGGTCAAAGATTGGGGGAGCTTCAGAAAATGCAGAAGTACTTGCTCCCACGCATACCCTACATGTCGCCTGTAGCTCCGCAATGGAGTCCAAAGGGCAGTGACTTGCCCTTGAGGGTTTGGCTCAGCGGTGAGAGCGTCGGACTGAGCACCAAATGGTCCGGGGTTCGATTTCCGGTCAAGAGCATGTACCTGGGTTGCAGGTTCAATCGCTGGCCCTGGTCAGGTCTGTGTGGGATCAGCCAGTGGCTGGGTCTCTCTCACATCGATGTTTCTCTCTCTCTCTCTCTTCCCCTCCCTCCCTCCCTTCCACTCTTTCTAATAATCAGTGGGAAAAATATCCTCGGGTGAGGTTAACAAAAGTAGGCGGGGGCGGGGAGTGGGTTAAGCACCAGCCGTGCCAAGACGTGGTTTTGTTCTTCCCATCAGTCGCTTGCAATCTTTCTCTTTCCGACCCGCAGGCCACCAGGAAGCCATTGCCGTGTGCCTGCATGTCCAGACCCAGCAGACGGTCAACGACACACTGTGCGACACGGTCCACCGGCCTCCAGCCATGAGCCAGGCTTGTAACACGGAGCCCTGCCCGCCCAGGTACGTGCTGTCTTGTGCTCCTGGGACACGCGGTGTCTGGAAGTGACTCCCTTTCCCGCAGAGCAACGCACTTTAAACATGAGTGGCAGGGAAGTGGCCACACCCCGCGGGGAGCCGGCGGATGCTCTCTCTCCTCCCGTGTTCTCGGGGCTGCCTCTCCGCCTGAGGCCACACGGCAGCGCAGGACTGAGCAGGGGTAGCGCTGGCCCGACGTGTCGGACGGCCGAGCGGTCTGTCCCCAGAGCTCACACTGGTGTGTCCGCCCTTCCCACCCACTTGCTCTGGGTCTCAGGGATCCAGGCGCCGAAGGACACACTTCTTTCGGTCTCCTCGGTTGGAAAGGCGGACCCTTAAAGGTCATCGGCTTCCCTGCTTACGTCCTTATAAGGTCCTGGGGAATTTTATCGGGGGGAGGTCCCCGTTTCTCTGTCGCTGGTGCTGCTGGCCACAGAGGGTCGTAGCTCTTGGCTCCTCACACGAGACCTTCGGGGATCCAGCCCCAGCGCTCCGGCCTCCTCTCTCCTTTGCCTTCATCCTCTCGGTCGGTCTTCCACGATGATCGTGGCATTTTCTGGTTTCAGTTCCCCTCTGACGACACGAACGTGGCCTTCTTGACCGTCCCCGTCACAGTATTTCATCAGCCTGTCGCGCGTTCGAAACGCCCTTCCCCCCTCGTTCCGACGTGTGTGGTCTGAACCGTGTTCTGCTCTGATCCGTGTGGACACGTTTGATACGAAAGGCTTTTCTGAACTGCAGAGTGTGAACCCCCCACGTAAAACCCTCGCACTGTGGATTAAAACACAGTCTCGGCTTTGGCGTTAGGTCTTGCTTTCCCGGGGCTGCCAGAACAAAGTGTCACCGACCCAAGGACACGTTCTCTCTGTGTCTTCATACCACCCTCTGCCTGTGTCAGTGCCCAGAGCCCCCCTTTGACAAAGGTTGCCGCTTGCCCGGCTGGTGTGGCTCCGTGGATTGAGCGTCGCCCCCTGGACTGAGAGGGCCTAGTTCAATTACCGGTCAGGGCACATGCCCGGGTTGCAGGCTTGATCCCCAGTAGGGGGCGTGCAAGAGGCAGCTGATTAGTGTCTGTCTCTCACATCCATGTTTCTATCTCTCTCTCTCTAAAAAAATCAATCAAGACATGTTATTAAAAAATAAAAAAGGGTTGCCCTGGCCGGTTTGGCTCAGCGGTTAGAGCGTCGGCCTGCGGTCCAGAGAGACCCGGGTTTGGTTCCTGCTAAGGGCACGTACCTCGGTTGCAATTTGTCCCCGGCCCTGGTCGGTCGTGTGGGTGGCAGCCACTCAGTGTGTCCCATTCACGTCGATGTTTCTCTCTCTCTCTCTCTCTTCCTCTCTCTCCCTCCCACTCTATCTGAACAAAAAAAATGGAAGAATGTCCTCGGGTGAGGATAAAAAAAAAGGGTTGCCACTGATATTGATTAGAGCCCCCCCCCCCCCCCGTAATGACTCATGCCTTGATTATCTGCAAAGACCCCATTCCCAAATAAGGTCACATGTACACTTACCAGGGGTTAGGACATCAACATCTTTTGGGGGGGGGGGGACAATTCAACCCAAAACAGCATATAAAGTCCTTTGTGACCCTGGTTTTAGGTTTTTGAACATCTCCTGATACTACCTCCCTTGCCACACACATACACACACACACACTCTCTCTCTCTCTCTCTCTCTCCCCCCCTCCCCCATCCTAAGGAACTGCTCAGTGGCCACAGTGCATCTTTACCATGACCCACTCATGCTCCTTCATGGATTCTGGGCCTTTCTTCTCTGACAGGAAATAAGCTCCTTCTCTCCCATCGAAGTAAATCTTGGCTCATCTCTCGCGGTGTAGTGGAGTCCGGCCGAATGGGAAATGAGGCCTCACCTGAGGCCCTCGACAGAGGAAACTAATCTCAAAGTCCCGAGAGAGGTCGGAACGGCTCCGGGACGTGGGACAGACGCCCAGTCAGGTCCCCCTCTGTCCAGGAATCTCTGACAAGTCCTTAGGTGTCCGGGTCCAGCTTCTTAACCTGAGTATCGAGGAAAGAGACTAGGCTTCGAGATCGCCCAGGTTTCTCCCCGCTTCCACCTTTCCTGGCGGAGGAGAGTTTTCCGTTGACTGTCGCGCCGGCGTCTCCGGGACTGCGCCTGGTCTCGATGAGCTCATCCTCGCGGCTACTCGGGAGCGGTTCTAGATGCTCCGGGCTCCTTGTAGTTCTAAGAACAGCCTTTGCTTGGCTTGCCCAGGAGGTCAAGGCAGGGTTGAGGTTGGTTTGCTGTCCTTCCCCTGCTCAGCAGATCAGAGCCAGAGCCAGCAAGTCTAGAAACTCTCTCAGGCTGTGGAGGGAGGCCCTGGGTTACGGGCGCACCAGCCTTGGGCAGGACTCTCCCTCACCGCCGTGCCCAGCAGCAGCCATGCAACGTTATCTTCCAGCAACATCTTGCCCACAGAGCTCTCGAGCTCCAAATAATAGCACACACAGCCCGTCTTGGCCACTTTGCAAAGTGACGAGTCTGTTTTTTTGCGAAGGGAAACACTGTCCCTCGCTGCAAAGTTGCAGCTTTGGGAAACGTTTTGAAGGTTGAGAGTTCTATTGCGAAACAATCAGCAGAGACAAAGGGTCGATGCCAAAATAAAGGTAAGTTTACAAAAATGTTTTAAGTTCTAGAAACCAGCGGTGGAGGAATAACAGGAACAGGGTGCTGCGTAATATTTTCCGTACAAATATTTACGGACTCCAAGGGCAATAGCAGTAAAATAGCACCACAGGGTGAAGCTTACCACCGAGGCTGGGTTGGACACTCAGCGCATCTTTATTTACCCAAAGGCAAGTAATGTATTTGATGTATTAACCTGGCCTCTCCGAGGCAGGGTGTTGCGTGTTTATTTGCTCTTTGGGGTTACTCCCCTGGTCTGTCCTCTAACTGCTGAGTGTCTGCTATTTGTGGAGTTTGCTTTTTCCAGGGGAGAGCCAGACACATGCAAGGTTACATAATGGTCCCTCTACTCTCAGGAGAGCCTTTGTCTCTGACAGGATTCAGCACCAGTAGGGAGGGACGTGGGCAAGCCAGAGGCAAGAGTGATGTGATTTCCGGACCGATTCTTGAATTTAAAGAAAAAGTTCTTCATTTAGTCCGTCGTCCATTTATAAGAAATTGTGAACCCATTTCTTGGATAATAATGGTTCCGTTTCCAGTCCCTTGTGCCCCCAACAGATTGTTCTAACTTTCTTGAAAGGGGATCATCCTGATATCATTCCCAGTATCTTACTTAAGCTGAATTGTTTTCAGCTTCAACAGTGAAACAGAAACCTAGTCAGGCCCTGGCTGGGTACCCAGTGGTTAGAGCATCATCCCGATATGCCAAGGTTAGTTTCGATTCCCAGTCCGGACACAAATAGGAATCAACCAATGAATGCATAAATGAGTGGAACAACAGATCAATGTTTTGTTTTGTTTTTTTCCCCTCTCTCTCTCTTCCTAAAATCAATAATAGCCCTGGCTGGTTTGGCTCAGCAGTTAGAGCATCGGCCCATGGACCAAAGGATTGAAAGTTTGATTCCCGGTCAAGGGCACATACCTGGGTTGCAGGTTCAATCCCTGGCCCTGGTCAGGGTGGGTGGGGGAGGCAACCAGTCAATGATTATTTTCAGCCTTTCTTTTTAACATGCAGTGAAGGCTAGGGGTTCTCTTCTAATCATGACATTGCACCCCACAGATTTTGACATTTCCTATTTTTATTAACATGCATTTAAAAGTACCATCTAATTTTCATTGCGATGTCTTCCTTGGCCCATGAGTAATTTAGAAGATTATTGCATGATTTCTAACTATTTGGGGATTGTTTAATATAGTTCCACTGGGGTTCAGAAAACATACTCTCTTATCTCGGGTTGTGATAAAATATCATGGACTGGGTGGCTTAAACACAGACATTTATTTTCTCACTGTTCTGGAGGTTGGAAAGTCCAAGGTCAAGGTGCCATCAGGGTTCAGTTCCGGGAGTGGTCTCTTCTCGGCTGGTGGACAGTTGCCTTCTTCCTGTGTGGTCACAGTGGAGGGAGAGAGCAAGCTCTCTTCTTAGAAGGGCACTAATCCCATCACTGGGGCCCCACCCTCATGACCTCATCTAACCTCATTGCCTCCCAAAGGCCTGATCTCCCAATACCATCACACTGGGTGAGGGCTTCAATATACGACATTAACGAGGGACACTCAGTCCATAGCATGTACTGTGTATCGTTTTAACCTTTGATTAACTTGCTTTGGTTTTACTTTGAACTTATACTTCTCTTTTATTTAGGATTTAGAATATATAATCATCTATAAACTTTTTTTCCTTTCTTCATGTTTGTCATATTTTTGTGCTCAGGTTTTTTTCTACCGTCTCAGTATGCATTAAAATATTTAATCCTCTCTTTTTACTTTGGGACATTTTAAATAACATGGGAATTCACCTGCTTCTTGAAAACTTATAGGAATTCAGGCACAAAATTAGTGGGATCTAGTTTATTCTTAAATAGAAATTTTCATAGTTTCCTAAAAAGTTACCTATTTCGTCAAGATTTTCAAATATATTATTAAATTCTCTATATTCTTATTAAATTTGCATTCTTGATATTCCAGGGGCTTACAGAAATATTTTACAGCTTTCAAATCCTTTTTGTTATATATCTTTCTACTTTTCTTATAGCTGCTAGCTCCCACTTCATACATATTAATGCTTTTTATTCAGTTTCCGTACCTGTATAATTAATGTGTCTTCACTGTGAACTTTTGCCTTTATAAAGTAAAATTATCCTATTACATTTGTCTTGAATGTTGTTTTTATTTTTCCTCTTATTTGCACAATAGAACATTTATTATAGAAAATGAGAAAAACTGAAAACCAGCTTTAACACTAAGTTTTTTCAAAAGACTTATTTTCTTCTGAGAACGAGTTATTATTATGTGAAAAATCACTGGCAAGAATAGAGAAGATAAAAATTCTGTAACTTAAAGTTCATCACAGTTAACATTTAGGTGTATAATTATCTAGGCTTTTCCTGCATGCGTTTATAAATGCGTAAAACAATATGATTATACTCTCTAAGGTTTTTTATGACCTTTTTTTTTCCTAATAAAAGTATATTATGGATGTTTTTCATGTCAATAACTGTACATATACCTTATTATTATTCTTTTTAAAAATACGTGTTTTTTTTTATCCTCACCCGAGGATATTTTTCCATTTTTTGTACAGATAGAGTGGGAGGGAGAGAGAGAGAGAAACATCGACGTGAAGGGACACATCGAGTGGCTGCCACCCAGACGACCAACCAGGGCCGGGGACAAACTGCAACCGAAGTACGTGCCCTTAGCGGGAACCGAACCCGGGTCTCTCCGGACCGCAGGAGGACGCTCTAACCGCTGAGCCAAACTGGCCAGGGCTAAAAATACATTTTTATTGATTGTTTTAGAGAGAGAAACATTGATGTGAGGCAGAAACAGATCGGCTGCCTCCCAAACGCCCCCTACTGGGGATAGAGGGTGCAACCCAGGCTTCTGCTCTGACCGGGAATTGAGCCAGGACCTCTCAGTCCACGGGATGACGCTCAGTCCACTGAGCCACACTGGCTGGGCTGCTTTATTTTAATGACTGCTAGCATCGTGGGATACCAGTAGTCAGTTATTTACTGAGCTCTTCTCCTTCCTCCCATTTTGTAAAATTTAATGAATTCATTTCTCTTTATTTTCTGCTCTTTGCAAACAACCCTGGCACAGACATCCTGTTATGTACATGGTAAGCATTTTAGAAGTGTCTCCTCACGGTGTAGCTCCACAGTCCGCGAGTTAAGAATCTATGTTCGCTAATAAAATACCCACGAATGAAAATGACCACGGTGTTTACTTTCTCACCCCTCCGATGGCAGAGGCGCCGAGATGATGTTACCTGCTGTCGGTGTGGGTGTAGGAAACGGGGCGCTCGTGCTTCTGGGGGGAGCATGAACGAGAGTCGTCCTTGAAGGCAGAGTGGGAGTGGGTGCCAGAAGCAACAGCCCCAGCTTGTTCATTTCTACAGATGTTTCATGAGAAAACCCGATTTTTCCAAGATCTTACTGGAAGGGAGTCACGGTCTATATACATGTGTAGTAAATCCAATCCCAACATGAAAGAATTTTTCTGAGGGATATTCCAAATAATGAATCCAGGTGCCCTGAAAACGTCCTGAAGGGTACTTCTCAGCGTTTAAAACGTCTTCTGACACCTCTATAAATCATCCTTCGCCTTGAGCTCTATTGAAAACAAAACCCAGGTTTTGTTATTCCTGTGGGTTGGGTAGGTTAGGATGGGGAGAAATGGGCCGTGTTTTACTCTGGACTTTCCCCCCGATGGGTCAGATCTTTAACCCTGTCCCTGACTTTTCTTGCCTGTAAGCATCATCTTTCGTAAGGGAGCTGCAGGTACTGGGAGCGGGGTCCGCAGGTCCAGAGAACCTGAAGTTGTCCCCGTTTTGGTGGTTGAATGTGAGCTCATCCGACAGTCCCCACTTGTGTCTCGGTACAGGTGGCACACGGGCTCGTGGGGGCCCTGCTCAGCGACCTGCGGCGTTGGGATCCAGACCCGAGATGTTCACTGCCTGAACCCCGGGGAAGCCCCCGCCCCCGCCGAGGCGTGCAGGGAGGAAAAGCCCCACACCTTACGAGCGTGCAATCAGTTTGACTGCCCGCCTAGCTGGCACATTGAAGAATGGCAGCAGGTATGGCAGCCTGGTGGCCCCCCTGCCCCCCGCCGGCTCCTGCGGGTGAGAGCCCCGCCCTGACTCCCCTCCTCCCGGCTCCTCAGTGCTCCAGGACCTGTGGCGGGGGCACCCAGCACCGCAGGGTCACCTGTCGGCAGCTCCTGACCGACGGCAGCTTTCTGAGCCTCTCCGATGAATTGTGTCCAGGACCTAAGGCATCGGCTCACAAGTCCTGTGCCAGGACAGACTGCCCTCCACACTTAACCGTGGGCGACTGGTCGAAGGTGAGAGCTGTTCCCCGCTTCGCAGACCCTGCTCCGTGCCCCTCCTCTGTCTCAGCGCCGAGTCGTCCCTCCCCAGGACGAGAGCTGGGACTGGTCTCCTGAAATCCTACGGACGTCCCAGCTCTAACTCACAGCTGCCTGAATCGTTACTGCGTTTCCGTGGGGAGCCGCCTCCCGGGCGTCCTTGTAGCGTCTCCACCTGGCTTACAGTGTCTTTGAGGCCGTGGCTGGGAGATCAGACAGGTCCTGAGCTCCGAGCAGGTGGATGCTCACCTTCTTGGTGCAGTCGGAGGAAATGCCAAACGGTGTTGATTTAGTGATTTGTAGGAACGCTCGGAGCTGTAACGCAGGACAGGAAGATTATTCCGGGGGTGGGTTTTGCTGGGAAAGAGGAGACACAAGGGGTTACCTACGGAGCTGGTTGGACCTGAGGCTGGTCAGCGTCCCAGGAGACCATTCTTCGGGGCAAAAGCACGCTGGCCACCCGCACGAGGTCTGCCCAAGCACAGCCGAGCCCTCCTCCTGCCCCAGCCGGGCCACACCTCTGGGCAGCCCGGGGAACGGAGCAGGTGTGCCCCCTGCAGGACGGCAGACCCGCCTCGGCCTTTCGGCCCAACGGCCGCCCTTCAGACCCGGTCGGCTCAGGCACACCTGCTGCCCGGAGGTGTGGGTTTTCTACCGGGTTCATTTTTTTTCCCTGTTAGTTGAAATTCCCTCTCGTTTGAGAGTTGCTTTGTTTCGGCAGCGACTCTGCCACCAAATGGCCGCCCTCCCCGGAGCTTCCGGCCAGAGGAGTCCCTCTCCTTGTTCTAGACTCTGGAGCACACGACCAGGGTGTCCACCTTCGTCACTCTAACTTCGTGGCATCCCTTGGTCTTTTTTATGGTTTTCCGCTTACCTGACGGCTCTTTTCTCTCGGTTTGTCTTCTCCACCTCTCCCAGAGCCCACTCTGGGGCCCCTTCACCTCCGCCACGGCATTTCCCCCTGCAGCTGAGTCTGTGTCCTGACCTCTCCTCCGGCCTCTCCAGGTGACCCTCTGTTTCACACCGTGTCCCCAGCTCTCCCCCCAGGACATGCCCTCATCATGGGGAAGCGCAGGGGCCGCCTCTTCCTGTCATTCCCATCAGCCCCCGTCACACTCCTGTCCCCCTCCAACTGTCATCGCTGCGACCTCTCCTCCCCTCTCCACTTACCTGCCCCGCCAGCATTCCGTTCCTGAAACACGCCCACCCGCAAAGTGCAACAGAAAAGATCTCTACACGCGCGAGAGACAAAGCGCATAGAGCACCGGACAGGATTGCCAGGGGGGAGGGACAACACAGAAAACAGGTGGGACAGACGTGATGTGGGAGGAGAGGCCAGACTCGGCCGAGTAGCAGAATGGTGACTGCAGCAGGTGGCAGAGATGTACAGGAAGAGAGGAGACGGCCGTGGAGCACAGACCTCAACAAGGATTGGCGCTGGCGCTGGCCGCCTTGGTCGTGCGCTGTGTTTCACCCGTGGCCGACTTCCCTTGCAGTGCTCGGTCAGCTGCGGTGTCGGAACCCAGCGGAGGAAGCCGGTGTGCCAGAGGCTGACGGCCAAGGGCCGGCGCATCCCCCTCAGCGAGACCTCGTGCAGGGATCTTCCGGGGCCCCCCCTCCTGAGATCCTGCCAGATGCCCCCGTGCAGCAGTAAGTATGTGGAGATTCTGTGCGTCTTGTTCCGATGGCTTCATCTTCCGAACATCAGCTGATTTTTTCACTGATGTTTAGGGCGAGCGAGGAAGGGAGACAGAAACTTCAGCTTGTTGTTTCATTTATCTGTGTGTTCATTGGTTGGTGGTTGTATGTGGGGATCAAACCCCCAACCTTCCAGTAGCTAGACAATGCTCTGAGCAACTGAGCCAGCCTGCCAGGGTTCAACTAAATATATCGACTCTGTAGGTCAAGCAAACCAAGCAGAAGTTAGAATTGGGTGGTTTTTGTTGTTGTTGTTAATCCTCACCCGAGGATGTTTTTCCATTGATTTTTAGATAGAGTGGAAGGTAGGGAGGGAGGGAGGGAGGGAGGGAGAGAGAAACATCAGTGTGAGAGAGAGACCGATTGGTTGCCTCCCACAGGACCCTGACTGGGACTGGGGACTGAACCAGCAGCCCGGGTATGTGCCCTTGACCGGGAATCAGACCTGAGACCCTTCGGTCTGCAAGCTGATGATGTTCTAACCACTGAGAAACCCGGCCAGGGCTAGAATTATTTTAAGCAGCAAACAATAGAATGTTGAAGACTAAGATAACGTTCTAAGAAAAGTCAGTCTTAAGGACTGTCCCCCAAGGAACAGAGGTCTTTTAGGGCTCCTCGCCTGGATTGCTACTGCCTTAGATCCTCCACCGGCCACGGTTTCTCCTCTGAGGATTCAGGAGTGTTCCTGGGAAGTTAAGCCGAAATACTTGCTGGGTTTTGTTTTCTCGTTTGTTTAGTTTTTTGCTCATGATGTATTTGGACTCATTCTGTAAGAGTATAAGCAATAAGCATTTTTAAGTATCCAAGTATCACCCTAGCTGGTTTGGCTCAGCGGTTAGAGCATCAGCCCGCAGACCAATGAGTCTCGGGTTCAATTCCAGTCAAGGGCACGTAGCTCAGTTGGGGTTCATCCCTGACCCTGGTCGGGGTCGTGTGGGAGGCAACCAGTCGATGTGTGTGTGTGTGAGTGTGTGTGTCCCCCTCTCTCTGTCTCCCTCCCACTCTGTCTGAACAAAAATGGAAAAATGTCCTCGTGTGAGGATTAAAAAAATAATAATTATTAAGTATCCAAGTCTCTCTTCTTGTGTATAATCTAAAAACAGCAAGGGTGAGAACTTGAAATAGCTTTGGTTTTTAAAAATGGCCATTTGGATACTTCTTCAGTTACTTAGGTTATAATTAATTATAATTAGTTATAACTTACATGAGCTTGGTATAAAGAGTTCATATGATGGCTTCATGATATCCCAAAGCCGATACGTATGTAGCAGTTGTCTGTATTTTCAGTGTACATGAGAGAACATATGTTTACATGTGCATATGTATGTTTTATGCAGGAGGGGGACAAGAAAGGAGTTGAAAATAAAGCAGAGAACACAGAGGGAGGAGGGTAGGGAGGTCGGGACCAGCCACACTGGAAACACACAGCTTCTGGGTCCATTTTTTTAGCTTTATCTTTCACTGTCTTCAATGATTCACCTGTAAAATAACATTAATTGCCGCAGGTACTCTCCTGAGCTTATGGTAAGGAAAAAAATCAGAAATTACCTATTATGTTAATGCTGCTTAGGGGAAAAAAATATAAATTTTTTTAGGCATAAATGTAAGTTTGCCAACAACGTCCCTGGAGAAACTCACAAAACAAAGTAAGAAAGATAATAATAACCTTTTAAAAAGTAGTAGCATCCCTGGCTGTCATTGCTCAGTGGTTAGACCGTCGGCCTAAGCACCAGAGGGTCACGGGTTTGATTCCCGGTCAAGGGCACATACCTGGGTTGCTGGTTTGATTTCTGGTCCCTGGTCCAGGCTCACGTGGGAGGCAACCAATTGATGTGTGTCTCTCACATCGATGGTTTTCTCTCTTTCTCTCTCTCCCCTTCTGTCCCTCCCTTCCACTCTCTCAAAAAAAAAAAAAAAAAATCAATGGAAAAATATCCTTAGGTGAGGATGAACAAGAAATCAAAAAATAAAAGTAATAGCATATACTGAGCACTTATTATGTGGAATTCCTTTCATGCATTAACCCATTTAGTCCCACAACGTTTCGAGACAAATATAACCCCGTGTAGAGACCAGGAACCCAAGATCAGAGAAGGTCTGAGACCTGACCAGGGATCCGCGGCTGCCAGTTGGCCCCTGGGCCCGTTGACCACACGTCTGTCTGACTGCGGAGCCCACGCTCTCAGCCACCCCTTCGTGCTGATTCACGGGCCACGTTAACGTTCTCCCCCGCTCCCGGGAACACATTTTTAAAATCTTGAGCTTCCAAGAATTTGAGATCCCAAGTTTTACAGGGTCCTGGAATTCGGCACTGTCTGTGGCACAGGGCAGACTGTCGTGTCTCGGGCTGCTTATCGACCTAATTTGTATTAATTGTGGGTGGTTTTATAGCCGTGTGGCTAGACCATAAACTGCCTGAGAGGAGAGTGAAATTCAAGTCACACTGGCAGCTGCCTCTAAAATAACAGAATAACATGTGGGAAGACATCGTGGTTAGGAGGGCATGCCATGTGGTACCAGATGAAATTATAAATTATGATGGCACGCAGCGGAGAGCGGAGGAAAATGATAAGTCTTACGGAAACAAGAAAAAGACAGGACTATTTCTTCGGCCCCCACCCCGTTCTCCGGCTTGCCAAGGAGTAGGTCATGGAAGCAGACAGGAGACAGGAATGCACACTCAGCACCGCCAGCTCGCCCTCGCCGGGCCTCCCCTCCAGCTGCAGCCTGGCCGCAGGCCACCACCTTTGCTCGGGGCCCTTGCCTCCCGCGTGCGGCTTCTCCCCCACAGGCTCGAGGGCGTCCCCTCTCCCCACCGTGTCACAGAGCCAAGCCAGCAGCTCCCGTCCACCCGTCCTCCCGACCCTTGTGTCTGCACCATCTCCCTGACGTTGTCCTTGTCACCCCTTCAGATGTGTCGTGTGCAGACCTACAAGACACTTTCTGCCTTCCCAGGATGCACCGCCACCAGGTCCATTCTTTGTCTCCAGCCTCTGCCAGCATCCTTACTGATGGCCTTCCCAACCCCCTGAGATCCCGGTCTCCCATCACCATCAGTATCACCACCCCCACCGCCTGGCGTGGGACACCGAGACCTTCTCATTTCTGGGCTCAGAAAGAGCTGCCTGCTCTTGCACCTGCCCCCCCCCCCCATGTCATTCTGCTTATTTGGTTAATGCCCCACCTTGAGCTGGGTTCTTCCAGACCTCCCTCGTGTCCCCAGACTTCCTCCTGTTGCGTTGGAAACCCTCCTCTTAGCTGACATTTCCCAGTGAACCGCTTCTGAATCTTTCTCCCTGGGTCACCCTGCCCACCTTCAGCCTGTTAATACCTTCCAGGTGAGTTTTGTTTGGCTGGTTTTTGGTTCCCTGGCGTGAGCTACTGGGATTTGCTAGAGGAAATAACATCACCAGGCCCATTAGACATACTTCATATTCATGCTGTCTGAATCCAGCTAGGCAATCATGTGTTGTTTTCTTCCTATTTCCTAAGAATTCCCCTCAAAAGTCACCACGCCCACCTGTGCTGGGATCTTTATTCCACTCCTAGATACCTATCCTAATCGGTGCTTTGGGTTTAAGTAAAAACCATGCTCCTTGCAGGAGTGAATTGTCTAGATCTTTGTTTTGACCATTTTTTTTTTTCATTTTTTTTTTTTGTTCAGGTAGAGTGGGAGGGAGAGAGGGGAAGATAGAGAGAAACATCGATGTGAAAGGAACACATCGAGTGGCTGCCACCCGCACAACCGACCAGGTCTGGGGACAAACTGCAACCGAGGGTACGCGCCCTTAGCGGGAACCGAACCCGGGTCTCTCAGGACCGCAGGCCGACGCTCCAACCGCTGAGCCAAACCGGCCAGGGCCGTTTTGACCATTTTGATGTGAGTCAGGGGACCAGCAGGTGGGACCGGTGTCCTGAGCTCCCCCTAGAGGCCAGTGGTGCACCATACAGTCCGATTGCATCACCTGCCCACTTCCCCAGAAACTTCCCTGTGTTCTCCCATCTCCCGCATTCATTCCTTGCTCACCAGGGACAAACGGCAACCGAGGTACGTGCCGTTAGCGGGAACCGAACCCGGGTCTCTCTGGACCGCAGGCCGCCGCTCTAACCGCTGAGCCAAACCGGCCAGGGCGTCTTCCCATTTTTGAAGGACAACACAAAGCGTACTCTCCGCCATGGTCTTTCTCAGTTGCACTTCGTTTCTGAAAGGAAATGTGACATTGTGGTTAATCTCCTCCCTTGAGTTCAAATCCCACTGGTTCTGGTGCCTCCGGAGGCTGCCCTTGGTACCTGGTCACACTCTGCAGGTGGAAGACACCTCGTCCTAATCAGACTTGGCCAGGGTTGCAGTTTGGGGACATGTTCAGATGCAGAAGGAGATGCCCTGGCTGGTTTGGCTCAGTGGTTGGAGCATCGGCCCCTGGACCAGAGAGTCCCGGGTTCGGTCCCCGCTAAGGGCACGTACTTCGGTTGTAGTTTGTCCCCGGCTGGGGCCAAGTGGGTAGCAACCACTCGATGTGTCTCACTCACATCGATGTTTCTCTCTTTTCCTCCCTCTCTCCCTCCTGCTTTATCTGAAGATAAATGCAAAAATAAAAATAAAAATGTCCTTGGGTGAGGATAAAAAACAAAAAATAGATGCAGAAGGAGGGAGTCACCCCAAAGCAGACCAGTTCCTTGCCCAGGAACAGTGTCTGATGGCTCCACACTCCAGGCTTTGCTCTGCAGAAGCTCACAGCAGCCCCAGGAGAGGGACTGGCCCAGCTGTGCAACCCCCAGCCCGGCAGAACTTGGCTCCCAGGTCACCCCCATACCATCTGCTAGCAGAACCACTGTGCCCAGCGTGAGCGGTGCCGGAGCGGGGTCGGTCATGCAGACAGCGGAGGCCACGGGCCAACCTTCCAACAAGTGGACACGCGGCCAGAGGGGGCAGGTGGGCTTCGGATGTGGCTCACCAGCCACCTGGGTAGATTCTTCACGAAGGCTGAACCCTGCCCGCCACCCTCCAACCACCCGGTGGCCACATCACACCTCTCTCTGCAGAGTCCCCTCTGAATGGGGGAGAGCGCTCCTCCCCTTGGGGGCGGGGCTTGAGAACGGTCCTCTCTGGCCCTCACCCATCGGACCTGATGCCCAGGAACAAGTGAGCCAGCCCGTCTCTGATTCCCTCTCCGATGGCCCGATGCTGCTGGCTGTGTCCGCGGATGGTCCAGCTCACTGTCACATCCCTCTCACGAAGGCACGCGCATGGCCCGCGTTTCAAAGGCAGGGAAACAGGCTCAGGGAGATGAAATGGCTCATCCAAATGGCAGAGCTGAGTCAAACTCAGGTTTGTCTGGCCTCAAAGTACCCCTTGTGCCTTTGCTTCGTCAAGCGCCCTGCCTGGGTTTCCTGCTATATTCGCCAGCCTGTCGTTTCAGATCTCAGATGTGTTCACCATGCCCCCCCCTTCCTCCCGCCCCCCCCCCCGGCTGGCACGCCCATGGCTCAGCAGAGCAGCTCCCTGGTCCTTTCAGAAGGGGAGACCCAACGTATAACACAGCCCTTCTTTTATCCTCACCAAGGACGTGTTTTTTTTTGGGGGGGGGGTGTTGATTTTAGAGAGAGAGAGAAACATGAATGTGAGAGAGAAGCATCCATCGGTTGCCTCAGGTACGCACCCTGACCAGGAATTGGACCTGCCCCCTCTTGGTGTCCAGGATCACACTCTAACCAACTGCGTTCCTCAGCCAGGGCAGACATCCATTCTTTTTTTTGTTTTTTTTAATCCTCACCCGAGGACATTTTTCCATCTTTTGTACAGATAGAGTGGGAGGGAGAGAGAGGAAGAGAGAGAGAGAGAGAGAAACATCGACGTGAAAGGGACACATCGAGTGGCTGCCACCCGCACGACCAACCAGGGCCGGGGACAAACTGCAACCGAGGTACGTACCCTTAGCGGGAACCGAACCCAGGTCTCTCCGGACCGCAGGCCGACGCTCTAACCGCTGAGCCAAACTGGCCAGGGCCAGACATCCATTCTTGATGGGAACATTTCCCGTTGAACTTCACGCCTCCCCTGACCGGGGCTTTGCAAAATAACGGACACGTTTTCCTGCGTTTCATTCAACGTTGCATTCTTTGCTGCTCAAGTCCTCGGTACCGGTGCGACTTGCCCCACTCTACGGTGTCTGCCTTTATCCGCGTTTTAATCCGCAGGTGTTTTCGAAGAGGAAGAAAGGACGCTTTCGTTGGCTTGTATCAGCCTCGGAAGATTACCGTCGAAAAATGTATATTATTGAGATATTTACAGGTGTTCTCTTCTTTGTTTTCCCGCAGAAACGAAAGCAGAGGGGAAGACGAAGCCTGGCGAGCAGGGTCCTCAGATCCTGGGTGTCCAGCGAGTGTACATTCAGACGAGGGAAGAAAAGCGTATCAACCTGACCGTTGGTAGCAGGGCCTATTTGCTGCCCAACACGTCCGTGATCATCAAATGCCCGGTGCGCCGATTCCAGAAGTCCCTGATCCGGTGGGAGAAGGATGGCCGCTGTCTGCAGAACTCCAAACGCCTGGGCGTCACCAAGTCAGGCTCCCTGAAAATCCACAGCCTCGCGGCCCCCGACAGCGGCGTGTACCGCTGCGTCGCGGGCCCTGCCCAGGACACCGTGGTCCTCAAGCTCATTGGGACGAACAACCGGCTCATCGCACCCCCGGCCCTCGGAGAGCGCCCCAGGGGACTCCCGGGGCTGGACCACAGCAAGGCCGACAGTTTGGGAGCCACGTGGCATAAGATGAGGCAGATGTGGAATAACAAAAACGAGCTTTATCGGGACGACGGCCAAATGAATAACCAGCCTTTCTTCAGGGCTCTGCTGGGCCACTGCCACAATTCCGCCGGAAACCCCGGCTCCTGGGGGCTGAAGAATAAGCAGTTTGAAGCGGCCGTGAAGCAGGGCGCGTATAGCATGGACACGGCCCAGTTTGACGAGCTGATAAGAAACATGAGTCAGCTCATGGAGACCGGGGAGGTCAGCGATGACCTGGCGTCCCAGGTGATCTATCAGCTGGTGGCTGAGTTAGCGAAGGCGCAGCCGGGACACCTGCCGTGGAGGGCCACCCAGGAGGAGGTGCCTCCCGAGGCTCAGCTAAGAGGGGACACAGGACATGTACCCCAAAGCTCGAGGGTCAAAAACTCGGGCAAGCTGACATTCAAGCCTAAGGGGCCAGTTCTTGTGAGACAAAGCCAACCCTCCTCGATTTCATTCAATAAAACGGTGACTGCGAGGATCGGAAATACAGTGTACATCACAAAAGGGACGGCGGCCATCGATATCCTGTGTGAGCTAGCTACCCCCAGCGAGGTCACGTATGCGTGGACCAAGGATGGAGCGCCGCTACAGCCCTCAGAAAAGTAAGTAGAATCAGAACCCGGGGTCCCCTTTTGCATGACCTTGTTAATGGTTATTCCAGTTTTCTTGAAAATGCTTTCGCATTCCTTCTCCTAAGAATGTGTTTCCAGCAGGATTCTTTAGGAAAGAAACTCAAGAAGTGTTAGGATGTGTTTTTTTCGCATATGCCTTGGGATTTTAAAAATGAAACGGCGTTATTCCCCATCACCTGCGTGTAGGTGTGATACAACACCGGATTCGTGAGACTGAGTCGAAGCAGGTTGGGTATGTGCCCTGACTGGGAATCGAACCTGCAACCTTTCCGTGCATGGGATAACACGCAGCCGTCGGAGCCGCTCCGGCCAGGCTGCCGTCATCCTGTTTGGTGTAGGAGCTGCAAATCAGAACTGACAGTGTTCTTGCATCTCTCGGACACGTGGGACCTCATTCGAGCTGACGTCAGCCCTGGAGCTTGGCAGGGCAGGTGTTAATAGTCTTCTGTGACGTCACTGAGAAACAGCATCCCGTGACCGATTCACGGCCAATCAGAACCAGGGACCCTATCTTCTGAATGCCTCCAGCGATGCTTGATGATCACACACATCATAGCCTTGGCGGAAAGATGGGGCATCTGAATTCGTTTTCTGTATCGTGCAGCTTTTTATGCCGTAAGATCCAAAACTATAGGAAACTATGGTGCAGAGTATTTTTGAGCTGTTCAAAACAAAACATTAAGTCCTGTGTTATTATTATTATTTTTTGAATCCTCACCCAAGGATATTTTTACATTTATCATTAGATAGAGTGGGAAGGAGGGAGGGAGAGAGAGAAACATTGATGTGAGAGATACACTGACTGGTTGCCTCCTGCATGACCATGACCAGGGCCAGGGACAAACCGCAACCGAGGTCCGTGCCCTTGACCGGAATCGAACCCGTGACTCTTTGGTCCACGGTCTGACACTCTAACTGCTCAGCCAAACCGGCCAGGGCGAGTCCTGTGTTTTTTTATTGTGCTCTGTCAGTGCAACAATGTCACAGTTTGTTCACTTTACCTAAAGTAACAGGGAATGACAGACATGTTCCTGTTGCATTCTTTGCTGTCTCCAAATCTTGCTATTTGTACATTTAAGACTGTAGACATTTTGTTTTTTTTAAATTTGCATTGAAGAGCTCAAGCTGCACCTTATCAGCCTCTGGGGACTGTTCAGAGACGCAAACAAAACAGCAGATGTTAAACGCGTTTGCAGAACATACGGCATGTTAAAAAGGCAAGTTTTATTTTTATCACATCTTTTGTGTATTGAGCCTAATATGTGATCCATCAGAAGAAAACTAGGTAAAAAAAAAAAAATCATTTTTTTTATAATGACATACTAAGCTATGTCTTAGAAGGAAAAGGTAGAACAAGTTTAATTTTAAAAAATTGTTGTTTGCCCTGGCGTGAAATGAAATTTATAAATTTCAGACCAACTAGCTTAGCAGTTCTCAAATCTTCTAGTCTTCAAACCTCTTTCAATGATTGAGAAGCCCAAAGGGCCTTTGTTCATGTGAGTTATATCTCTTGCTGTTTACTATGTTGGAAATTAAAACCAAAACACATTTAAAACATCTGTGTATTCATCCATTTAGAAATAACAGCAATCAGCCCGACAGGTTCCCATAAATAACATCATTTTTGAAAGGCAACATGGTCAAAAAATTTACTGGGAACAATGACATCGTTTTACATCTTTGCAAATTATTGTCTAGATTAATAAAATACATCTGGATTCTCATACATGCTCCTGCGTTCAATCTGTTGGGATATGTTGTTTGAATTGCAGCTTCTAGAGAAAATTTGGCCTCGTGCAGAGATGTTAGTTGGAAAAAGGAGGAATAATTTAATAGCCTTTTCAGATGATTTTTACCCTTAAAGGCAAGTTGGAATGTGGAACCTAGTGAAAGTTTGGTACTCTGTTACAATGAAATCTATTGGTTCATCTTGCACTTTAAATGGATCTTTACCTGCACAAGATTTTATACCCTCACACATTGGTCATTTGGAAAATATTGGCTCACTGAGCTATAGAGGTCTTCCAAACATTGCTGTGTTCATGAAAAATGTTAAAAATACGCATGGTCTCTAATATCACTACTCATCTCATCAGGAAGGTCTTTGAGCTTTTGGAAAGTCTTTGCATTCTCTTATCAAGCTCACACGGTGGGGATAGGATTTTCTGAAATTCTAACCTTCACTTGAAAGTTTGAAGTTTATCGTTGGCAGCAAATTCTGCCAGTTGTGTTCCTTGAGTCGGCCAGCTCATTTTTGTTCATTAAAAAAATATATATTTACTGCCCAGGCTGGTGTAACTCGGTTGGTTGGGCATTGTCCTGTGCACTAGAAGGTTGCCAGTTCGATTCCCAGTCAGGGCACATTCGAGGGTTTCGGGCTCGATCCCCAGTAGGGGGCGTGCAGGAGGCAGCTGATGGGTGTTTCACTCTCACATCAATGTTTCTCTCTCTCTCACAAATCAATAAAAACCTATTTTTTTAAAAAGAGATTTTTGCCAGATGCCCCAGTCCAAATAATCATAGTTTGTCAGTCTCTGAAGAAAAAATGGTTTTCTGTGACCAAAGCAGCGAGTTCAGCTAGCCGCTCAGACCCTCGCACCCGCGTACTGCATCAGGGAGCAGACACGTGCTGTGTGGACTTCCCCTTGGGACATGCAGAATATGCAAATCATATGTGCGCAAGGGTTGTCACATTCACGAGTGTTACTGCTTCAGTAAGGACATTCTCACGGGAAACTGGCATTTTTGCTTTTCTGCACGTGTGTGGAAATGAAGAACACAGCGACTACTGTTTGTGCTATCCGTGCACTGGTGGACACAGGAAAAAGGCAAAAGGATGCTTGCTGTTGTCATGACAACCGTTTTGACCTCACGGACCCCAGGGGTCCATAGACCGCCCTTTGGGGACTGCTCAGCAATTTCATTTTAGAAACTGTAAGGACTCAGAGGCTGAGGAAGTTGAATTGATTGTTGCCTGGTGGATGGGCATAGAAGTCCTGCAGGGATAGATTAAAGCAGGTGAGTTTAAGCAAGTATTTGTTGAATTGAGTTGACTTGGAATAGTTTAACTTGATCAAATGGAATTAACATTAGTTTCAGAGGCTGAGACTCCTGGAGGTCATCATGTAAAGAAGAGGGGTGTGTGTGTGTTCAGATACACTGGGAGGGGCAGAGAGAGAGAAACATCGACATGAGAGAGACACATCGACTGGTTGCCTCCCACATGACCCCACCAGGGCCGGGGACCAAACTGCAACCAAGGTACTGCCCTTGGCTGGAATCAAACTCAGGACTCTGGTCCGCAGGCTGACACTCTAACCGCTGAGCCAAACTAGCCAGGGCAAGAAGAGGTTTCAACATAATACTTCCTACTCTGTGGGTGTTTCTGAAGTAACTTAAGAACACTGTGGCCCTGCCCCAGCCGGTTTGGCTCAGCGGTTAGAGCATCGGCCTGTGGTCAGGAGAGATCTGGGTTCGGTTCCCGCTAAGGGCACGTACCTCTGTTGCAGTTTGTCCCCGGCCCTGGTTGGGTCATGTGAGTGGCAGCCACTCGATGTGTCCCTTTCACGTTGATGTTTCTCTCTCCCTCCCACTCTATCTGAACAAAATATCGAAAAATGTCCTCGAGCAAGGATAAAAAAAAAGAAAGAAAACTGTGTAGTATACTTTTTCTTTTTAAAATTTTTAATTGATTTTTAAAGAGAAAGGGAGGAGGGGGGAGAGAAACATTGACGTGAGAGTGTAACATCGATTGACCGCCTCTTGTACGCCTTCTACTGGGGATCAAGCCCGCAACCCCGGCGTGTGCCCTGACTGGGAATTAAACCAACGACATTTTGGTGCACGGGGCAATGCTCCAACCAACTGAGCCACACCAGCCAGGGCTGTAGTATACTTACTTTTCAAGTATAGTTACTAGTCATCCTTTTGTTCTTAATCAACTATTCCTTCATAGGGATTTGAAAGTGCGCATCTAGCCCTACTCATAGCTGGGTCTGCCATGCTCCTGCCTTTTTCCAGGGAAATCCAGCTGTTTCGATTTTCCACGTTTGTATATTTCCTATGTCTGGGGGGTGGGGGTTGCGTCTTCCTGGTACATCCGCCCTGTGCCACTCTCCTGTTGTGTTCTTTCGTCGTCTAAGGTTTTTGCGAACTCGCTGTGTCAAAGTTGCTGAGAACACACAGCTGTGAATAAAACTGGGTGCTCTCGACAAGACCCCAACTAGTGGGAAAAAATAGACATGTCATCAGATAAATACATGAACCAGAACCAAAGGGGCCCAGAGGGAGCCGAAGATAAAACTCTGGGAGGAGTATTGGGAAAAGCTGTAGGGGAAATGACTCGGTGGGTTGGGGGAGTTTGCCAGAGGGGGCGGGGAGGGAGATTCCAAATAAAGTGAACAACATATGCAAAAGCTCAGGGTGATGAAAGGTTATGGAATGTTCTGGAAACTGTTAGAAGTTCGTTCTGGCAGGAGCATAGGGCAAGCCACGTGAAGTGACAGGAAGTGAAGATGTGGCCCCGCTCACAGGGGGAGACACAGTCTTTAGTAGCCAGAACAGCCCCCGTATTGCTAAGATCTGTGAAGTGGTCTGGGTGGGGCGAGACAGGAGTGGATGGGCTGACCCAGGTGGTCTAGCAGCAGCTTCTAATTATTAAGAAAAAGATAGAAAGCTGCCCAGCCGGTGTGGCTCAGCGGATTGAGCGTCGTCCCATGGACTGAGAGGTCCTGGTTTGATTCCCACTCAGGGCACATGCCTGGGTTGCATGCTCGATCCCCAGTAGGGGGCGTGCAGGAGGCAGCCAAGGGATGTTTCTCTCTCACATTGATGTTTCTCCCCCCCCCATCCCTCCTTCCCTTTCTTCTACTCTCTAAAAAAATAAATACATGGAAAGAAATATCTTTGGGTGAGGATTAACCAAACAAACAAATGTGGAAGATAAAGCCTTGAGTCCATCCTGAAAAGTCTACTGTCATGCAAAGTGACATGCGACACGGGATCCGGAAGCTCTGTCCAGCTCGGTCTACCCTTTTGACACGTTTAAGCCGAGTGGGACGGCTCTCCCACCCTCTGCTGTGTCTTTTCCGCCCATGGGCAGGATGCTGGACGCGGTCCTCTCCCGGGGTCCCTGCTAGCCCGAAGTCTGTAGCTGCCGGCTTCTTTCTCTGTGGTCCCTGGCACAGTGAAATGTGTAGCATCACTACATCTCTTTCTCACTGTCCTACAGAATAATGTTGTCTGGAACGGGGAGATTGCAGATACGGAACCCTACAAAGAAAGAACAGGGACTGTACGGGTGCTCCGTGGCCAGTCGTCTCGGTTCCGACTCGGAAAGTTCTCCGGTGCTGTACGCAGGTAACGCCCGCTGTCGAAACCCAGAGCACCTGGGTTTGGGGGTTAACGAACCCTAGAGCAGTACTCCCCGAACTTCAGAATGGCCTGCTGGGGTGAGGGTGGCACCAGTGCTGATGGCCATGCTCCAAACACAGCTTTTCCAGAGCTCGATTTCTGAGAGTTGGGAGTGAATGAGACGGTTTAATGGGTGGTGGTTTTGTGTTTAAAGTGCCACCAGCCACGGAAAGAGAGTAAGTATCCTTCCAAGTCTGCTGTATACCTCCCAGCGGCAAACTTCCTGAACCTTAGACACAATGCAAGGGAGTTGCAACTATGTATCTTCCCAGCAATGCCGCTGCGGTACTGAAATGTGCTGTTAACAGGAAGGAACATTTTTGAGGCAAACTTCCTGAACCTTAGACACAATGCAAGGGAGTTGCAACTATGTATCTTCCCAGTAATGCCGCTGCGGTACTGAAATGTGCTGTTAACACGAGGAGCGTTTCTGGGTGGTAACGTGGCCAGCAGTGCTTCCTTGTGGTTAGCTCCTGTTCTGGGATTGAAAGGAGTGGTTCCCCCACTCCCCACTCTGGTCGGTGACTGCAGTAGACGAGGGATGAGCAGAGGGACGGGGTCGGGGATTGGAATCCAGCACGTAGACAAGTACGTGCTGAGCTGTGTCGCAGGAAATGAAGACGTGGCCCAGGTCACAGGAGAGACAGATGGCCTCCAGCAGCCGGAACGGTCTATGAAGCGAAGAGGTCGGGCCGGTCGAGTCCGTATGGCCTCTCCGCCCCTCCCCTGGCTGCGTTCCCGAGGTGCAGCCTTCCGGCCTTAATCATCCGCCTGGGTTGTTCTCTGCTATGAGCATCACCCCCTTTCCAGAGAACATCTGTTCTGAGGCTCTGAAGTTCCTGGGAGGAATAGACGTCTCCCCCTTGCAACTCACAAGTCTCTTAGAACAATCCACATTCCCCGCAGAGCTGATGCAAGGTCCCATGGGGGCCAGGGGTCCTGCTGAGACAGCCCCAGCCCTCGTCCAACCCAGGACCCCCCGGCGTTTCAAATATCAGAACTTTCCGCCACCCCAGGTCCTCCAGGAGGGGGGGAAATATATGTTGGGCCTGACCTGGAAATGGGAAAAAGAGTTGAAAAGTACTCATTCTTTAAAAAAAATTTTTATTTAAAAAATTAAATTATTTTTAAATTAAAATTAATATATTTTTGTTACAGATGTTTCTTCTTTTCCCTCCATGGTGGTTCCTCAGTTCCCTTCCCCAGAATACACAGTAACCAAACAGCTGCCTGGCGTTGCTCATATGTGCCCTTTGCATAGGTGATCGATCACACAGGATAAGGAGATGGTCCCATTCTCTTGGTGGAGTGGGTGCTGCTCTGTCAATACCCTCCCTGACCCCCACATGCGTCTGAGCGGCCCTGGTAACCAGACCTTTTTCTGTCTCGTGCCCACCACCCTGTATGGTCACAGTGTCCCCCAGGAGCTGTCCACAAGTTGCCTGAGGGCAAGAATGGGTACTTCCCACTTAATAGCTGAGTGGATAAAAGAGCTGTGGTACATGTACACAATGGAGTACTATGCAGCTGTAAGAAAGAAAGATCTCTTATCCTTTGAGACGACATGGAGGGACCTGGAGAGCATTACGCTAAGTGAAACAAGCCAGTCAGAGAAAGACAAATACCACATGATCTCACTTATTTGAGGACTATAAGGAACAAAATAAGCTGATGAACAAAATAGACCCAGAGACATAGAAATAGGGTTCAGACTGAGAAACCTCAGAGAAGGGGGTGGGGGTAGGGAAAAGATAAACCAAGGAACTTATATGCATGTATGCATGACCAATGGGCATAGACGACAATGCTGGGGGTGGGGGAGGGGGGTGTCAATGGAGGGAAAAGGAGAAACATCTGGAACAAAAATATATTAATTTTAATTTAAAAATAAAAATTTTTTTAAATTAAAAAAAAAATTTAAAAGAATGAGTACTTTTCGCCCTGGCCGGTTTGGCTCAGCGGTTAGAGCATCGGCCTGCGGTCCTGAGAGACCCAGGTTCGGTTTCCGCTAAGGGCACGTACCTCGGTTGCGGTTTGTCCCCGGCCCTGGTTGGTCGTGCGGGTGGCAGCCACTCGATGTGTCCCTTTCACGTCGATGTTTCTCTCTCTCTCTCGGTTCCTCTCTCTCTGTCCCACTCTACCTGAACAAAAGTGGAAAAATGTCCTCGGGCGAGGATAAAAAAAAAAAAAAAAAAAAAAGAATGAGTACTTTTCAACTCTTTTTCCCATTTCCGGGTCAGGTCCAACATATACTTCCTGAGTTAATGAATCAGTGTGTGAAAAGTACCTAGTTCTCAGAAGCCCAGGGAGGCGCGAGCCTGGACTGGTCCCTGATCTTGGCGACCTTGTTTGCATCATTTTTGCTTTGCAAGCTTTAGGCAGGTTCCCCTTTTCAACTTTCCTTCCGGAGACGGAGTCCCGTTTGGTCCCACTTCCGCTCGCCCGAGGCTGTGCTGCGGAGATGCTCTCTGCACCGCGACGTCCACTTCTGACTTCCTTCCTTTCCGCGTATCCAATTTATCAAAGAGGGATTCGCTTGTAACACCAGAAGCCTCCCGCAGCCCATCTCTGGTTGTCGCGATGCAGCTCTGTAGCTATCTCCGACTGTACCATCTGTCCATCCGTCCATCGGTCTGTCCACTGAGCACCCCAGGCTGGGCGTATCCCTGCCGTGAGGGTACAGAGAGGGCCGGGACTCCCCCTGCTCTCGGGAGCTGAAGCCCACACCTAACCATGTTCTGTTCCCTCGGAATTAAGAGGCGCCTGTCATCTTGTTCGCGGAGAGAAACATCTCCAGACCGGAGCACGGCCCTCTGTCCGCCGTGGTTGGAAGCACCGTGATAGCAGCCCTGGGAGCAAACGTGACCATCCAGTGTCCTGTAAGAGGTAAGTGTGGTCTCTCCCCGTGGGAGGGCAGATGGCCCGTGGCCGGGAGACACCTAGACCTCAGCCCGACCGTCTTAAAACTCTCATTTTCCAGCAAGTGACAGTGGGTCTGTCTCCCGGGGGTGAGCTCCCACGCTCATGGGACCACTGTGTGAAACAGAAGGGCCCCTTCATTCATTTCCGGTGAGGGCTGCAGCCGCCCGGCCCGCTGGCAGGTTCATGCTGGCGAGACCAGGACGCTCTCCCGAGACAAAGTTATCCTGGTCTGTCTCCCAGCCTCATGGGGCGCCGGTAGCTGCAGCCACTTCAAATGGACCTTCTAGTCAGGCGGCTGCTGGTGACTGTGCAGTTTGAGCAGTGAGCTGACGTGTGGGGAATCGTTGGACGTGTCCTCCGGCTAGGCTGAGCCTGCGCTGGGCAGGGCCGGGGCAGGGAGGGGGAACCTCAAGCGCCCCGGCCTCGCCTCTGTCCTGGACCGTCCGCGGTGAAGCTCACCTGTGTGGGCATCAGGATCTCTTTCTGCTTTGTTTACAACAGCAGATAAAACTCTTTTCTACTGGACTTGTTCTTTCCATGATACATGTAACACTTTCAGTCCGCCTTAATCTCGAGCCGTTCACCTCTTTAAGATACAATTTCTTTTTTTAAATTTATCTTTATTGTGGAAAGTGTTACCGATGCCCCCCCCCCCCTTTATTCCCCTATTGACACCCTGCACCCTGCTCCCACCCCACCTCTTGGCCTTCATCCCAGTGTTGTCTGTGTCCATGGGTTATGCACATACGCATATAGATTCTTCTGTTAATCCCCCCCACTTCCCTTTGAGATTTGTCATTCTGCTTCCTGTTTCCACGACTCTGAGTCAATTTTGTTCATCGATTTATTTTGTTCATTAGATATCACATATATAAGTGAGATCATGTGGTACTTATCTTTCTCTGACTGGCTTATTTTGCTTAGCATAATAATCTCCAGGTCTCTCCATGCTGTCTCAGAGGGGAAGAAATCCTTCTTTTTTACAGCTGCATAGTACTCCATTGTGTATATATATCACAGCTTTTTTTATCCACTCATCTACTGATGGGCTCTCGGGCTGTTTCTAGATCTTAGCTATTGTACATAGTGCTGCTATGAACATAGGGGTGCAAATATTCTTTCTAACTGGTGTTTCAGGCTTCTTAGGATATAGTCCTAGAAGTGGGCTCACTGGGTCAAATGGCAGTTTCCATTTTTTTGAGGAACTTCCATACTGTTTTCCATAGAGGCTGCACCGTCTTCTGTCCCACTAGCAGCGTACGAGGTTCCCTTTCCTTCACATCCTCGCCCAGATTCTTAAGTCTTAACCTGGACCCCTGTGTGCACCAAACTGAAGTCAGGGTTACAGACTGCGCATGTGTCCGTTGTGTGGGGGGCAGAGGGAGGGGACTGTGTGAACAGCTTTGGTCTGTTTCTCAGAGACATTGTGAACTCAAAACGAAGATCCACTCTATACAGGTGACCCTGCAGGTGCCCCTGAGTTGCTGTGCACTGATTTAATTCTCTGCACAACTATATTTTCCTGGTCCCCAAGTGCTGATGGGGCAGTTGCTGTAGTTGTAGCTACTTAGGAGGAGTCTTGCCTGGGCCGTGACCCACAGATCCCTGAACTAGAGGTGCCTCCGCTGCTTTTCCCCGGCACACAGCGAAGATGTACCTAGTTGGAGGCTCCCAGGACACAGGCTCCAGTTTTCAAGCCCCCCTCCCCCCACTGGCCAGTCGCCTTTTTCCCCCGAACTGCACCTCTGGCTCCACAAACAGTGGAAATTTGCTAACCCCCAAGGTATAAGTTTTCACCCCTTGGAAGTCCCTGCAGTGTTTGGCCTACACAGATTTTTGAGGGGGGAAAAAAAAAATCCCTCCGGCTTCCCAACTGACTCCACCCACAAGTATGTGAGTTTTCTGGCAAACGCCTACCATTACCGAAGGGGCCGGCGCTCTGGCCCGCGGAGGGAGGCAGGACGGGCCTTCGCCCTTGCCAAGCCGCAGATGTCTGGAGTTCCGACAGCCCTACACCTGCAGAGGACTCTGCAGAATAGATCTGACTTCTATTAGGAGAAACCTCAACGTTTAACATTATTTCTAAATTTCTTACTTCCACGATGGTTTGAAACCAGGCTTTTGGGGGGTCAGCCACCGGAAGGGCTGTGGTGTGTTATTTGCCGTCGTGAGTCAGGGAAGGAGTGGAGCCTCCAGCCCTCGGCGTGGGGCCACCTCTGCCCTGTGCTGGGGTCCCCCCTCCCCCCACATTCGGCTCTTACTAGAAATGGTCCCATGTGGTCTTTTTTTTACCTGGCAGGCGTCCCCTGTGGACGGACCCCAAGATCACATCAGGAGTCCTTTCCTTTGCAAAATAAACCCGCTCCGTTCTGAGTTCTGGGCCATTTCAAATAAACCTGTAGTGAACTGCTCTGCGTTCTCATGGGCCGAAGCCATAGCTAACTTAGCCTTTTATGGAGATACCTCCTTTTAAAGACAGATGGGGAAGCCGATGGAGGGAAAGAATACTTGTGTTTCCCACACAGTTCTGTCACCAGCTTGTACGTGGCCACAGGTGAGTCAGGGGTCCTTCTGTGCTCACCTCTGAAACAGGAAATGTGTCATGAGTGGATGAAGACACTTTGCATTTTATAGATGAGGCCATTGTCACATTGACAGAGTTGAATTTTGCTTTATGGAATTATATTTTCATATTGCAAATTGGGGCATTTTTGGTCAATCAGTGGCATGCGTACATTTTTCTTTCCTTTTCCAGTTGTCCTTTTCAGACATTTTCACTGCTAATGATAATGAGCTCATCTATTCCTACCCTGCAGACAGATTCATAGTTCTTTGCCGTAGTCAAATCCAGTTTATTTAACCCAAGTGATACAGAGATGAATAGTGATTGTCTCTAGGAACCCTGGGATGATGATACCGGTGTGTGCAGATCTATTTCTAAAGGTTAAAAGTTCTAAAAAAATGTAACTGCACCCGCTACGCCACCTTCTGGCGAGAAAGGCAAGTTTCATCTGAGAACTGGTAAATATCAGGAGTTGTATTTTTTTCTGCCTTGTGTCAGTGCTTAGTAAGAATATTGTCCTAAAATGCCCGGTTATGTGTGTTTTCTCTGTTGGTTGTTTTTTCTCCCTCGTTACGCTAAAAGATTCTTGTCGTATCAAACTGAATTATTAGCTTTCTTTGCCGGGTTTAATAATTCCCCTTACAGGGGAGGGTTGGGAGAACATTTTTGTGGTGCAGCAAGATTATGTGGTTAAATTCCTAACCGGAGCCTCATCTCTGACAATTATTTTCCCCCTTCGAAGGAATATTGGTTTATATTATATAGTGTGGAATTTAGTGGTAGTGATTTCAGATCTTTGTCATAAATCCCTTTGACCATCCTCCCCCTGAAAAAGGACCATCTCTCTAGAAAAATACATTTACTCATAATGCTTTGCATATAATTTTCATTTTATTTATTTTTTTATTCTCATCCAAGGACATTTTTCCATTTTTTGTTCAGAGAGAGTGGGAGGGAGAGAGAGGAGGAGAGGGAGAGAGAGAAACATCGACGTGAAAGGGACACATCGAGTGGCTGCCTCCTGCACAACCCCAACCAGGGCCGGGGACAAACTGCAACCGAGGTACATGCCCTTAGCGGGAACCGAACCTGGGTCTCCCTGGACCATGGGCCAATGCTCTAACCGCTGAGCCAAACCGGCCAGGCCTGCATATAATTTTCGGAGCACTTAAAAGGAAAAGCCGAGAAGAGTCAGCTTCGTACTGTTGTGTGAACTGAACGTGTGCTCTCAGCCGTAATCCACATGGAAGCTCATTTGTTTCCTGAATCCGTGGTTTTTGAAATGTGTCCCCTCTGCGATTGTTTATCTCTTTTAAAAAACCATACAAAAGTCTTCGAAAGAACTGAAATTATTTTCTTAAACCTTTATTTTTATTTTAAAATTTTTTTATTGATTTTTTTTTTTTTTTGAGAGAGAGGAAGGGAGAGAGAGAAACATTGATGTGAGAGTGACATCTATCGGCTGCCTCCTGCACGCCCCCTACTGGGGATCAAGCCCGCAACCCAGGCATGTCCCCTGATTGAGACTTGAACCAGGACCTCTTAGTCCATGGGATGATGCTCAATCCACTGAGCCACACCAGCCGGGCTAAAATTATTTTTAAAGTATGTTTCAAACCTCTTCTTCCACTCAGAAAGGCTGTAGCCCCCACCCTGTTCTCCCTACGTTTGTCCCTAGTACTGAAACCTTCCAACAACCGCCTGTCTGAGCCCTCCATTCAGTCAATCAATCAATCAATCACTGGTGGCTGGAAATCCCACCCATCCATTCAGCTCGCATTCCCTAAGCCCGGTCTAATTTCTTTCTTTCTTTTTTTCTTTCTTTTCTTTTTTTTTTTGTAGTGTACAGAGTTCACTAAAATCTGGCTTCTGTAACTGTATAAAAAAGGAAACTATGATATAACGAATGCAAAAGTGTAAGTGTTTGCAAAGTACCTCGGCCCCACGAAGGCAGGAATGGTTAAGGCTTCTGGAGGATGAGAGAGGACGTTTTCGTCAGGACACTTGCAGCCAAGGACGTGGCGCCTGTGCACGAGGGCTGGACACGGGAGCGCCCGCTGGTTTGCAAACCACAGGCAGATCTGTGCGACTTGAAACAGGGTGTGAGGCCGTGGCCGGTTTGGCTCAGCGGTTAGAGCGTCAGCCGCTGGACCGGGGAGTCCAGGTTTGATTCCTCTCCATCTCTCAAATCGATAAACAATATTTTTATAAACGACAATTCTAACTTGACTTCAGGACTCATTGATTGCGTTGCTGGGCCGGTCACTCCGGATTAAACCCCAATTCCATGCCTCTGGTTCATCTGAGAGCACGCAGCCATGTCTGGGATTTGTCAATGGACGTGCCATTCATGGAGGGCCCCGGACACAGGCTGTTCCCAGGCTGGAGCTGGTGTTGGCACCCAGAGGTTGAATTAAACATGGAAAGAAACTATGTTGCTAAGAGCTGAGCTTAGTGTGTGTGTGGACAGGCAGCATCTCAGTAAGGAATCTGTTGACAAACCGTCGAAAATACCAATACCTGGAGTAGCTGGTACGTGTCCGTTTGGACAGCCTATGTGGAGGAGACGTGTGTCCTCCGCTGACGAGTAACTGTGTTCAGATGTGTGCAGGGTTTGGCCCGTCTCTACAGGGTGGGCAAGAGTAGGTTTTCGGTTGTGAGTGCGCAGAACACAGTTTATTCTGGTGTTATCATTTATGAATTACCTTTTTTTGCCATGCGAACAACTGTAAACCTGTTTTTGCCCCGCCCTGTACACTTAAGATTTTATCCCAAATCGGTGTGACCCCAAAGGAACTGGATGGAGAAGACTTGGGCTTGAGACACCAGAATGGGGACCCCGGAGGTCCAACCAGAGAGGAGAGTCAGCGGGCTGAGGAAGGGCTTGGGCGGTGCCTGAGCCTGGGGAAAAGGGTCCGAGGCTCGGTGCAGGCGGCAGCCAGGGCCCATCTCCCCCGGAGAACGGCCCCGCGGGGCGAGACCTGGGATCCGGCCTGCGGGACGGCAGCCAGTGTTAGGTCGGCCCGACGGACTGCTCGTTCAGTCCCCAAGCTGATGGGCATCCTTGTTTTTCTTCCCACAAGTTGACCTCCCCCGCCAGGTATGTATTTGATACATAACATACTAAAGCCATTTTAAAAACATTTTTTTCCTTTATTGATTTTTAGAGAGAGAGAGGAAGGGAGAAGGAGAGAGAGATAGAAACATCGATGAGAGAGAACATCGACCGGCCGCCTCCTGCATGCCCCCCGCTGGGGATTGGGCCCACAACCTGGGCATGTGCCCTGACTGGGAATCAAACCGGAGACCTCTTGGTGCAGGGTCGACGCTCAACCACTGAGCCACACCGGCCGGGCCATTTTATTATGATGGATAGTGTCTGTTTAGGCCTGAGGTCAGCTCCACCCCACATCCCTCCCCACCGGAGAGTCTGCTCTCACGTATCTGCCACGTGGCCTGCGACGGGGCTTTTCAAGCCCCAGGATGGTCTAATGTGTGGCCAAGAAGCACTGCTTTCTCTAGCGAATGGGGCTAAAGAGTCTCCGGGGACTTAGCTCGACTGTTAATCTCAAAAGGAGAGACTCTTCCTGGGGAAACAGGATGGGGGTGAGCCAGACGCTGGGGCCGAATGGCAGGTGCGGGTCTCGGCAGGTGCGGGTCTAGGCAGGTGCGGGTCTAGGCAGGTGCGGGTCTAGGCAGGTGCGGGTCTAGGCAGGTGCGGGTCTAGGCTCTGGGCTCTTTCCGAGGGGGAATCAGGTGCGTCAGCATCTGGTCGCTCGGTGAACTGAGGTCCAGAGAGGAGGGTCCTTCCGTGCCAGAGAGGGTTATGGAAGCGAGGCCTGAAGATGGACCGTTAAGGACGAGGGGGAATTCTCCAGGGAGTAAAAGAGAACACAGCACAGGCCCTGTGGAGGGAGCAGGACCTAGGAAATCAGTGTCACTCCCAGCGAGCTTCCTGGGGCTGGGGGGCGGGCTGCTGCTGAGCAGAGGTGCCCCTAGGCCGTGAGGCTTCATGCTTCCCCTCCGAGGCGGGCACGAGCTGGGCCCTGGGGACCCTGACCCTCCCTCCCCGCCATTCCGAAGGGGAGAGGGACCATGAGGTGGAGTAAGTGAGGGCAGGTCAGGGAGACAAGGGAGGGGTCAGGGAGACAAGGGAGGGGTCAGGGAGACAAGAGAGGGGTCCATGCTTGAGGGAGGAAGAAAGGGTGCCATGGGCGGCAGCCCAGCGTGGAGATGTCACCTCAGGAGCTCACAGGTAGATCTGTCTCTAGGGTGTGATGGGGACAGTAAGCAGGACCAACTTGAAGACCAAGGAGATAGAACGTAGAGCAGATATCATGGGCTCTTCCCGGGCTATCACGAGACCGCAGAGGACAGTCCAGGAGTGAACTGCGTAGGGAGAACGGCTCCGTCCCAGGCAAAGCCGGAGTCCAGGGTCCTGAGAAGTGAGGGGTGACCCCCGGGAAGAGAGAGGAACCCTGTTTTCAAGCCTTCGAGGAAACACTTGATAACACAGAACTGGAGATAGATGCTATGCCTGATCGTTTCTAAGACCTCAGATCAAAGGGCTGGGGGCCTGCGTCGGCCAGTCTGGTCACATCGTTTTGCCAGAGAAGAGAAAGAACTTCACAGCTGGTCAAGAGCCTTTTGCAAATGGTAAAAGCCACAGCCTTGTATGCGGGGGGAGTTCTGTGTGCAGCGCCACTGATGGATAGTCTTTGATATCCACAAAGGACAAGAGGGCCCTGGTTGGCATGGCCCAGTGGTTAGAGCGTTGGGTCGCAGGTTTGATTCCCGGTCAAGGGTACATACCTGAGTTGCAGGTTCAATCCCTGGCTCCGATCCAGGCACGTGGGAGAGGCAGCCGATCGATGTGTCTCTCACCCTCCTCTTCTCCCTTTCAGTGTCTCTAAAAATCAGTGGAAAAAAAATCCTCGGATGAGGATCAGCCAAAAGAACAAGAGGGTATGCCGTTAACTCAAAAGAGAAGAAGTCCTTGCAGAATTTCCTACATCACGCAGCTGGGCCTGCCGCGGAGAAGGCGACCCTCTCTGTGCTGGGCTTTGAGATATTTTCCCTGACACTGAAACTGTGAACTGTTGTTGATTCGTTTCATCTATCAGTCATGACTTCCTCAGTGGTTTGTCTACTGTGTATTCACTTTCCCTCTTGTCTGCTGCCTGGGGACATCATTTCTTCCTAAGCCCTTGAGGCAGCTAATTGCAGCTGATACTTTGAGTTGTCACACGTGAAAAAGATACAAACTATCCCACAAGTGTTGTGTGGCTGGAGGAAACAACAAACTCTGACAGGTAGGAGCCGGGTGACACATTATATAAAAATGTAGCATGTAGCGCCGTCTGAGTGAGCCAAGGATTTTACAGTGCGGAATATTTCATGGGCCTTTCAAGGATGAAGGAAATTTGTTTTAAAACAGTGACAATTGTAAAGACACCCCAGAGGTGTGGACTTCTCGCAACACATGTTTTTACAGCCCCTGCAGATCTGAACTCTTCCCCCCACCGCGTCCGCCTTCCAAAAACAATCTCAGCGTTGTGGAAACAGAACGCTGGCTCCTTCTGAGCTGTATGCCTTGGGGGAAATGGCTTGTCGTTGAGGTTAGATAAATACGTCTAAACCGTTTCTGACGTTTTATGGCTGTTTCCACAGAGCAAACGTTTGTAGCTTTGAAGGTCCGTGAAGCGCAGGGGTCTGGGTCTCCTCTGGCTCTTCCGATGCTTTGAAAAGGTTCACACGGGCCACGACACTTCTCCGTGCTCAGTCTGGGGGTCCACTTCCTTCCTCAGCCCGGGAGACCTTTGTGTGCGTCTCCGTTTGCATCTAAAAACCCACCGGGCTTAGTTCTGTCTTCTGCTGTCCCTGCACAGGAGGCATGTCACCGTCTGGGTAAACGCAGTGACGCAGCTTTGCCATTCTCAGGTTTAGGTTCCAGTGGGGTTATCTCTGGCCCCTGTGGGTTCCAGAGTTTGGAAATTGCAAAGCCTCCGGGGACCCCCTTGCGCCCGTTCTGGGGGCTACCCTGCCGGGGCCCTCGCCCCTGGCTGCCCCTCTCTCTTGCCCTTCAGAAACCACGGAGGAGCATCGTTACTTGTGTACGGCTTGTCGTGGTGACAGGTCCTTTTTACCCAGAAGTCTTGCTGTACCTGCTTCCCTGCGGGAGGAGAGGGCACCTCGAAACCACTTGCCTGCTCGACCACAGGCTCAATGGTTAGCGCGTCAGCCCACAGAGCAGAGAGTCGCGGGTTTGATTCCGGTCAAGGGCACGTACCTCATGCGGTTCAGTCCCCGATCCCAGCTGGGGTCGTGCAGGAGGCAACCAGTCAATCTCTCTCTCTCACATCGATGTTTCTCTCTCCCACTCTCTCTGAAGATAAAGGTGGGAAAAAGTATTCTCAGGTGAGGATTTAAAAACAACACAAAACCAAAAAAAAAACACAAATGAGATTCCTTCGAGTCTCACACCCCGCAAAACGCTGAGACTTCTCCAGATTTGGGGGAAGAAATTCTTTCAATTTCACACGTTCCCCTCTGTGTTCAGAGATGCTGCCGACCTTCCCTCTACCTCGCGACATCGACCCAGACTTGACACTCGACACTTCCTTTTCCTCTCTGAAATGTTTCTCTTCTACGGAAGCGTTAAGGAGCAAAATCTATTTCCCGGAAGCATTTCTGTTCCTCCCGAAGGGAGAACACGTAAGCGTGCGCACAGTGAGCGATGCAAAGATCCGGTCTGGGTATTTTTGTTGTCCAAGGACTTCTTTGTGACCGCCCAGCACTGGGTCTTCTGTCTCTGCCTCCACGCTCACCTGGCTTTTCCAGCTCCTTGACCGCGGTCCCGACAGCCCCACTCAGGTTCAGAATTCCCTGTCTCCCCCGTGCAGAGCAACGAGCCACTGTGTGCTCCGTGGCCCACAGACCTTTCTGCAGCAGGTGGAGAAGCTGTAGGAACGGAAGTCGCCGTTTTTCCTCTTGTGTGTGATTAAACCCACTTGCTGCTTTGTGGTCAGCATCCTCTGTGGCATTTGTCCTGTGGTTCCGTGGCCCTGTTCCTAAAGGAATCTGCCTCTGTCTATTTGTTTTCGCCCCAAAGGTGTCCCTCGGCCCACGGTGCGGTGGGTGAAGAGAGGAGGGTCTCTGAGTGACAGTGTCTCCCTGCTTTCCGATGGGTCCCTGCTGCTGCGGAACGTTTCCCTCGAAAACAAAGGAAGCTACGTCTGCAGAGCCAGCAACGCGCTCGGAAAGGCAGCGGCGACGTCCGTGCTGCACCTGCTGGGTGAGCGCCCGTCTGGGTTCTTCGCGTGCTTCTCGCCGCCGTGGGGCTTGGAGTGTGGGTTCTGGCGCCGAGGAGCCAACGAGATGGACGCGAAGGGGGGTTAACGGTTAACCAGCAGTCGCTCTTCTCTTAGAAGGCTGTAACTTGCTGCCTAAGAACCGGCTCTGGGATCTAAACTTTTCCTGCCCGGAATCAAGACCCTTCGTGTTCCGCTCCGGCACCTGCCTCGCTCCTGACCCCAGCTCCGCCCGAGCCTGCCTTGGCCTGCTGGCCGGGAAGCCCTGGCCGAGTCCCCCCTCCTGCCCTCCGCCCTCCTCAGCCCCTCGCCCCTCGCTCTTCTGTGCTTCCGCTTGGCCCCTCCATATTGAATCATTTGGGGAACAGGAAGTCACCCCTGACCAAGCCCACAGCGTTCGTGTCCCGAGAGGACATCGCTGTCTGTGCTAACACAGGTATCCGTCCTCCAGTTTCAGAGTGGTTGCCCCTGTCAATAGAGGGAAGATTGGCTAAGAATTCTGGAATCGGTTCTGTTTTCTCTTCCCACAAATGTCATTTTCTGGACATGCCGACGTAGGTGTGCATCCGTGCCCGGTGAGGAGAACCTAGTCTAAGTACTTCAAGCTTGCAAAATTCTGCGGGAGGACAGGGGAGAGGCAGTGTTAAGAAAATCGGCAATTCTGCCCTGGCCGGTTTTGCTCAGTGGTTAGAGCGTCGGCCTGTGATCCAGAGAGACCCGGGTTCGGTTCCCGCTAAGGGCACGTACCTCGGTTGCAGTTTGTCCCCAGCCCTGGTTGGTCGTGCGGGTGGCAGCCACTCGATGTGTCTCTTTCACGTCGATGTTTCTCTCTCTCTCTCTCCCTTCCTCTCTCTCCCTCCCGCTCTATCTGAACAAAAAATAGAAAATGTCCTCGGGTGAGGATAAAAAAACAAACAAACAAAAAAAAATCAGGAGGAAAAACTGAAAAACAAGTTAAACGGCTCGGTTACGTAAAGGAGCCTGTGGACACAGCGGGTAGCTATCAATTACTCGTGATTATTACAAGAAAACCTGGCCCCTGCTGTGTCCATACACACATCTGTTCGCGTCACACTGGAGCTCATCTCGTTACCGGGGGTCAGAGGGACGGGAAAGGCCCTTCGCCATGGGGACGGACTCGAGAAAACTGTGACTGCTGACGTGCTCAGCTGCCACTCTCCCGGAGGGGACGCCCATCCTTACCTTCCAGGTGCCTTCAGGGAGAATTACCTGTGCCGTGGCAGGACTCACCTGAAGCCTGGCGTGAGCATGAGTGGAAACATTAACAACAGGAGGGACATGCCTCTTGCACCTTCCTGCGCAAGCCCCGGCCTTTGCTGAGTCATCTTTCATGTCTCCGCCTGATCCGCTGTGGGGACCTTGACCCCCGTGGAGCGCCCTGGAGAGGCCGTCCTGTCCTGTCCTTGTGGCTCGGCAGGAGAACGCCCAGGAGGCTCCCTCGTGCCTCCTCCCTCTGGCTGGGATGTTTCTGGCAGGTCTAGTTGGCCTACACCAGCCCCTCTCAGGCTGTGGTCCAAGGGCCCCATTCTGGCCAGTTATTACAATAAGTTCATTGAGGGAAAATGAGACTTAAAAGCCCCCCTTGGGCTCTATGTTGGCTCACTCCCTGCGTACTCCTCAAAGAGACAGACGGACGGCCCAGCAGAAAACAGCTCGTGGTGGTCTTTGGCCGTGTCCTGTCCAGCCCGGCATCATTTCTCACTCGGGGCTGTCATGACATCTCATTTCCTTCCTGCAGAGCCTTTTTGGAAGCTTGGTAACTGGACACCATGCTCTGCCACCTGCGGCCGCTGGGGAGCCCGAGTTCAGAGACCCCAGTGCGTGATGGCCAACGGGCAGGAAGTGAGCGAGGCCCTCTGCGGTCACCTCCAGAAGCCGCTGGCGGCGTCGCAGCCCTGTCACATCCGGGACTGCCCCTCGAGGTACGTGGCCACTCTTCTGATCTCGTCAGTGCCGGGCTCTTGCTGGTCTTCAGGGCACCGTCGCTCGGACTTCCTGGCTCCATCGCTAAGGTTATTTAGCAAGGACTGTGCCCCCGGCGTGTGGCGAGGTGCTTTCTGTGGGTGGGGAACTCCCCTGGGTCTGAGTTCAAGTCAAGACAGTCTGATCTCAGAGCCTCTGCTCTGAGCCTCTCCCCGAAGTTGGCTGCCTGTTCCTCACGACGGAGCTGAATTTGTGGGTTCGGGTGGGCCGGGGGTCACTGCAGACACTAGTTAAAGGCACAGCTCCCCAGACTCCCATCCTGCAGGTAAAAACCACAAACAACCTTTCTGTGTAATAGATGATACAAATCAATCTTTTTTATATATATATAATTCCTCACCTGAGGATATTTTTCTATTTCTCATTAGATAGAGTGGAAGGGCGGGAGGGAGGGAGAGAGAGAGAGAAACATTGATGGGATAGAGCCACATCGACTGGTTGCCTCCTGCACCACCCGACCAGGGCCGGGGACGAACGGCAAGTGAGGTACGTGCTCTTGGCCGGAATCAAACCTGAGACTCGTTGGTCCGTGGGCTGACGCTCTAACCGCTGACCCAAACTGGCCAGGGCAATCTTTATTTTTTAAATGTCCAAAATCAAATCCCTGTGGCTCCCACACCGGATCTGTCCTCGGAGCCTCCTGGACACTCCTCCCTCACGTCCGTCCCTTCTCGTCCGTTTCCACTGTCGCCCCGGGGTCCAAGCACCAGCGTTCCTCATGTGGGCTGTTCCAGGACCCTCCTGATTCTCGTCTCCCTCCCCAGGGAGCTTTTCCACTCTGTGAGCAGAATCATCTTTTAGGCTATAATTGTTTTTTTTTTTTTATCCTCACCCGAGAACATTTTTCCATTCTTTGTTCAGATAGAGTGGGAGGGAGAGAGAGGAAGAGAGAGAGAGAAACATCGATGTGAAAGGGACACATCGAGTGGCTGCCACCCACACGACCAACCAGGGCCGGGGACAAACTGCAACCGAGGTACATGCCCTTAGCGGGAACCGAACCCGGGACCGCAGGCCGACGCTCTAACCGCTGAGCCAAACCAGCCAGAACCGGAATCATCTTTTAAAGCCCACTTCCGTCATGCTGTTAACGCCCTGTGTGTAAAATAGCGCCTGGCACACAATAGGTGCTCAGTAAACACTTGCTGCCTGATGGAAGAAATGAGGGAGTGATGCGAGGTCCCTCCGCGCTTGGGCCTCAGGCTGTCGCTCTGTCTGGTTGCTTCTCTCTTCCAGCCTGTGGTGCGGTCCGTGTAGCAAGACGCTGGCCTGACATACCAGGCCTCCCTAAGCCCCCGTGGTTGTCGCCCCCAGGTGGTTCACGAGCCCGTGGTCACAGTGCTCTGTGTCGTGCGGGGAAGGGTTCCGAGTTCGGCGAGTGACCTGTAAACGCACGAAAGCCAGTGGCACGGCGGGGGTGCTGCCTGCAGGAGCCTGCGACCCCAAAGGCCGGCCTCTGGGAAGAGGACCGTGTTCCAGCCACCCCTGCACCGCCGAGCCGGCGGCCCAGGTACAGCTCCAGAGGCTTGTGCTTTGACAGCATGATGGTCCCCTTGCTTCTGATGGATTTTGAAAGCGCTTATTTTTCGGTTGCCCTTGACATTCAGTGTTGTCGTATTTTTTAAATTCTTTTTTCTTTATTGATTTTTAGAAAGGAAGGGAGAGGGAGAGAGAGATAGAAGCATCAATGACAGAGAAAATGATTGGCCGCCTCTTGCACGCCCCCCACTGGGGATCGGGCCCACAACCTGGGCATGTGCCCTGACCGGGAGTCCAACTGGCGACCTCTTGGTGCAGGGTTGATGTTCAACCACTGAGCCACACTGACCGGGCCAGTGTTGTTTTTATAGTCATTTCAGATGTACAGCATAGTGCTTAGACAGTCGTATTCTTTATAAAGTGATCCCCGATATTCTCAGCACCCGCCTGGCACCATGCATGGTTATGACGGTGTTACTGACTACACGCCCCCTGCTGTACTTTACCTCCCGGACTGTCCCGTAGCCACCAATTGTACTTCTTGATTCCTTCTCCGCTCTGGAGGCCGGAAGTCTAAGATCCAGGTGCTGTCAGGGCGGCTGGTGACACCCCTCCTTCCGGCCTGTAGACAGGACGCAGGCGCTCACGAGGTTGTCACTCACTGTGCTTCTTTCCAGTGTCCCGGACGCTGCCTGGGGCGCACCGTGAGATTGCAGCAGCACCCCCTCGCGTGTCCGCACAACAGCTCCGACTCCGGCTGTGACGACGGCAGGAGGTACGCCCCCCCCCCCCCCGACTGTTCCTGGAAACTGACGTCCCGCAGTCCATCCTCAAGAGTATACATTGTACCGAGACGGGAATTAACGTGGACCGATAATGACACATTATTTGGATGCTGAACATACAGAGAGACACACCCCAAAGAGAAAAAAACACAGTAGTATTGAGAATAGACTTATTTGTTCCATCGATGAAGGGGGCCAAGCCCAGTAATGCTTCATGTAGGGTTGCAGATTCGGTCCGCGGATGTTTTCAATGGACTGCTTCACTGCTGTCTGCGAACCGGTGTGAGGAGGAGATTGGCACGGTAGTTTAGCAGAGGATGAAGTGAGCGTCTCTTGTTGAGGGCTCAAACAAAGATGGGAGTTTGCTTTCCGCTTGTGTAAAAGTCTGAGCTGGTCAATGGTTTGGGGGCAAAGAGCTTTGCTCCAGGAAGTTGCCCCGAGACCCAGGCTCCTGTCGGGTGTGGCCTTCTCAGAGAGTATGCCCAGCCAGCCGAGCCCGAGGAGAGAGCCCACAGGTGCACTAAGAAGGCAGTTTAGAGTTCTTTTCTTTCTTTATCTTTTTTTTTATAATCCTCACCTGAGACATTTTTGCATTTATCTTCAGATAGAGCAGGAGGGAGAGAGGGAGGAAGAGAGAGAGAGAAACATCTATGTGAGAGAGACACATTGACTGGCTACCACCCACACGACCCCATCTGGGGCCAGGGACCAAAGTGCAATCGAGCCCTGGCCGGTTTGGCTCAGCGGTTAGAGCGTCGGCCTACGGTCCGGAGAGACCCGGGTTCGGTTCCCGCTAAGGGCACGTACTTCGGTTGCAGTTTGTCCCCGGCCCTGGTTGGTCGTGTGGGTGGCAGCCACTCGATGTGTCCCTTTCACGTCGATGTTTCTCTCTCTCTCTTTCTCCCTCCCACTCTATCTGTATAAAAATTGTAAAAATGTCCTCGGGTGAGGATAAAAATAAATAAATAAATAAACAAAGTGCAATCGAGGTACGTGCCCTTGACTGCAATCAAACCCGTGATTCTTTGGGCTGAGGGCTAACACTCTAACCTCTGAGCCAAACTGGCCAGGGCTTTATCTTATTTTTTAAATTGATTTTTAGAGAGAGAGAGAGAAGCATCAATTGGTTACCTCCACAGATGCTCTGACCAGGAATCGAACCTGCCACCTTTTGGTTTACGGGATAATGCTCCAACCAATTGAGCCACACCAGCCAGGGCTGGAGTTCCATCTTTGTCCTGTTGTGTGACCTTGGACTGCCTCCCTCCTATTCTGCAAAATGGGGGACTATGTGAAATCAGGGTTGGGAGGTCGTGATCCCTTAGCTTCAGCAGCCTGGGTCACAGCAGGTGCTCAGGATGCTGCCCTCTCCCTCCCCCACACCCCAAGTCTTGCTGGAGAAGATGACACGACCTTGAGAGTCCGTTGTTACCTTCCCGAGCCTTCAGCAAGGTTTGGCAGTGTCCGGTCAGCTGCACTTCCTCCCCCACCACAGTTCGAGCCAGAGTCTCTCTCGTCGAACGGAAAATGTTTGGAACAGCTGCCTTTAGTCTCAGCAGACAGCCTCCTCTCTCATGCTGCCGAGAAGATGGAGACCACACGCAGACTGAGGCGTGCCAGGGACATGTTTTTTGTGGCATTCTCCAAGGTGCATTTGTAACACAAACCTATGCCCGAGTTGACCTTTCTTTTGAACATACTGGGCATATTTTTCGGAAACTTGCCATGTGTCTACTTATACGTTATAGACATTTCCCCCACCTTAATCCATAAGATTCAGTTTATTATTATTTTTTAAATGTGTTTATTGATTTTTGAGAGAGAGGGAGAGATAGAAACATCGATGTGAGAGAGAAACATCAATAGGTTGCCTCCTGCACGTCCCCTACTGGGGATCGAGCCCACAATGCAGGTGTGCACCCCGACTGGGAATCGAACCAGGACCTCTCTGTCCATGGGATGATGCTCAACCCACTAAGCCACACTAGTCGGACTCAGTTTATTATTTTTAACTGTGGCTAACAACACCTCACTCTATTGCTGTGGACATTTGATTGTGTGAAATGTTTTGCTATTATAAACAAATGTAAACATCTGGAACATATATCTTTATGCACAAAGGCTAATGTTCTTACAGGATCGATTTCAGATATGGACATGAATTGACTGGCATGTTCATTTTGATACTAAATTACCATCAAAATGTCTATACCACCCTGGTCAGTTTAGATCAACAGTTAGTGTCAGCCCTCGAACTGAAGGGTCACGGGTTCAGTTCCTGGCCCCAGTTGGGGTTGTGCGGAAGGCAATCCATCAATGTGTCTCTGTCACATCGATGTTTCTTTCTCTCTCTCTTTCCCTCCCTTCCTTCCACTTTATCTAAAAATCAATGGAAATAATATCCTCAGGTGAACATTAACAAAAACTGTACCAACAGCATATAAGAGCCCCCATTATATATGTCATCAATATAATATAGGTTTTTGGTCTTATAAAAATTTTGCCAGTCTGCCCTGACTGATTTGGCTCAGCAGTTAGAGCATTGGCCCACAGACTGATGAGTCGAGGGTTTGATTCCAGACAAGGTACGTACCTCGGTTGTGGTTCGTCCCCTGCCCTGGTCGGGGTCATGCGGGAGGCAGCCAGTCAATGTGTCCCTCTCACATGGATGTTTCTCTCTCTCTCCCTCCCTCCCTCCCACTCTATCTGAAGATAAATGGAGAAATGTCCTGGGATGAGGATTTAAAAAAAAATTTTTTGCCAGTCTGATGGGTGAAAAAGTATGTCTTATTGTAATTTGTAAATTTCTGATTACTTTTTATATCCTTTTGGCTGTCTGTATTTTGTTTTTCTGGAACTCATCCACTTTTTTCCATCTCTGTGACCATTACCCTCGGCCAAGCCATCCGACTGGTCTCTGTCCATCCACCCCATCCTTTCCAGCCCCGTCTCCCCCCTGCAGCCAGAATCATCTTTCCCAAAATGCAGATCTGATCCTTCCACCCTGCACCCCCTCTTCCTGTAGATTAAAATGACGTGAGATGGACCAGAGTCCATAACTGGCCGATGAAAGTCTGCACGGTCCGCCTCCCTTCACAGCCTCATCCAAGACCTCGCTGTCTCTCACCTTGGTGCTCAGCCGTATCACCTTCGGTTCCTTGGTGATACTTTTTTCCCCCTTCATATATATTAGAGAGACAGAGGAAGGGAGAGAGAGAGAGAGACATGGATGAGAGAGAACATCCTTTGCCGCCTCCTGCACGCCCCCACTGGGGATCGGGCCCACAACCTGGGCATGTGCCCTGACCGGGAATCGAACCGGCGACCTCTTGGTGCAGGGTCGACGCTCAACCACTGAGCCACACCGGCCGGGCCGCCGTGCACTTTGTAAACAAGGGCGGCAGAAACAAGTAGAAAATACGATACAGTGGATGAAAGGCATGGAGGGATCTATCAGGGGGTTAAATATCTGATGAAGTGGGGTTTTAGAAGAAGAAGATACGGAAATGGACATTTTTAAAAAGAAATCGTAGAAGAAAAATGCCTAGAGCGGAGGTGGAGGGGGGGAAAGTCGTCAAGTGGCCCTTCATTTCCCCTGTTATTTCTGCTTTCTCCAAGGCTGGCTGTTCTCTTGGGATATCCTGGGGATTTCTTCCATGCTGCTAGTTGTCCTCAAATACCTGGAGGTGTATCCCCCTTCCCTGCCACCACCCTTATAAATCCCACCGTGGGTGGTGACAGTGTAAACTCTTGGGTGGAGTCTCCCCCTCCTGGCTGATCCAGGTATTGCTGCCAAATGATCCTTTCCCAAGAGAAGTTGAGAGCATCATCATTTTCTCTATCTTACTACAGTTCTGGTGTAGTGTCAGCACCTTATAGAATATGTGCCCTGACAAGGACTCTTTTATACCAATACAGAGAGTCGAAAGGGAGATGCTGTCAGACTTCGGGAAGGGGACAGTCACCAAGACGGGAACAGGCGGGGTGGGTTTTTTCTCTCCTCATGTTCCCAGCTCTGTGTGTTTCTGCTTCATTCTTTTTTTTTTCTCACCCGAGGACATTTTTCCTTTTTTTTGCACAGATAGAGTAGGAGGGAGAGAGAGAGAAACATCGATGTGAAAGGGACACATCGAGTGGCTGCCACCCGCACGACCAACCAGGGCCGGGGACAAACTGCAACCGAGGTACGTGCCCTTAGCGGGAACCGAACCCGGGTCTCTCTGGACCGCAGGCGGACGCTCTAACCGCTGAGCCAAACCGGCCAGGGCTCTGCTTCATTCTTTGTTCTTTCTGAATACTGTTTCGTGGTGTTCTACCTCTCTGGCCCGTGTGGCAGAATATGGCCACCACTGCCCCGGACCCCAGCAACTTCCAAATTCTTGGGAGAAAGACAGTTACTGAACCAGCTCAAGTGAGGTTGCTTTCTAGTCTCCTTTGCGTGGGGAGACATTGTCATGGCATGCAAATACATTATTATCCAGGAGCCCCTAGGGGACAAAGGCACATACCCCACAGGGGCCCCACTAAGGTAGCTCCAGGGTAAATACCCTTTTCAAAACTCAGAGGGCATTCATTAACGTCCTGTTCTGTTTCCAACAGTAAGGGACCATAGTCTCCCCTTCCCGAGTGGTCTTTGCCAGGTCCGATGATGACGAGTTGCGTCATGGCCTGAATGTACACAGGAGAGCATCCCTCTTAGTAGACAGGATGGCTCAGGTGCTTCTATAAACAACACTGAAAGTGTGCGAACAGATGTGAAGTGTTTTGCAACCATTCTTCTCGGGCAAGTGCGTCTTGGGAGGTGTGTGCCTCGACTTGGTGCTGGAAGTTGGCAGAAGTACCCTGTGTGCCACCTTTACTGCGGCCACATCAGCCCACCACTTTGCCTGAGAGCCGTCCACGAATCACGCACACCCGTTTCCGGACAGACGGGGTCCCAGTGGTCCACCCTGTAACGCGTTGAACACGTAGTGTGGTGAAAGGCTTGGTCCCGGCAAGAAATGATGTCCACTGTCCCCCCTTTCCATCTCCTGTTCTTTCCCCTTCAGGGCCACCTTCGGGAGGAACTGCTCGTCGGGGGCCTGTGACGTGTGCTGGCACGCGGGCCCCTGGAGGCCCTGCTCGACCGCCTGCGGCAAGGGCTTCCAGTCCCGGAGGGTGGACTGTGTCCACACCAGGAGCTGCAGGCCGGTGGCCGAGAGGCACTGTCTGCAGAGGAAAAAACCAGCTTCCTGGCAGCACTGTGTCGGGCCCTCCTGTGACAGTATGTACCCCTCCCAGGTATCACGACCACCCCCGAAAACGTGTTCGAACCAGACCCTCATGGTGCCTACTTTGTCACTGTCTTGTCTGCGGGCTCAGTCAGAACGGATGTGGTTTCTGGGGACATCGGGAGATGAGCTGCTTTGATGTGGGTGCAACTCAGGGATCTTTAGAGATAAAACATTTGGGTCAGGAGGGCACCGGGCACTGGTTGGTGCCTGCTCACCAGCACGGGCAGCTGCGCCCCAGACTCTGCCTGGGAGAGCCGTCCCGTGGACGGGGATTTGTGGATGGGACAGAGCAGGAGCAAACATCCTGAGGTTATACGGAGAAGTTAATCATAATGTATTTTTTTTGTTGGGGGGGGCAATGTCCATAACTTCCCTAAGTGTTACATGGGGTCCATGACCCTCCCAGAGCTAAGCACTGCTTCTCGGGGCCCAGCCAGAAGGGCTGCGAGGTCCCCGGGGACCAGTGAGAAGCCGCCTGGCCCGGCGGGGACGCGGGTTCAATGTGCTTCGGACTCTGTGCCGAGCGGGGGCCCTGAGCCAACGAGGTCTCGTCACTCCGCGATCTCGGCATCCACCCTTCGGGAAATCGGGTGGTTTGGACTAGGCCTCTGATGAGCGTGCTCCACGCACACTCGGGTGGTTTGGACTAGGCCTCTGATGAGCGTGCCCCACGCACACTCGGGTGGTTCGGACCAGGCCCCTGATGAGCGTGCCCCACGCACACTCGGGTGGTTCGGACCAGGCCTCTGATGAGCGTGCTCCACGCACACTCGGGTGGTTTGGACCAGGCCCCTGATGAGCGTGCCCCACGCACACTCGGGTGGTTCGGACCAGGCCTCTGAGGAGCGTGCCCCACGCACACTCGGGTGGTTTGGACCAGGCCTCTGATGAGCGTGCCCCACGCACACTCGGGTGGTTTGGACCAGGCCTCTGATGAGCGTGCCCCACGCACACTCGGGTGGTTTGGACCAGGCCTCTGATGAGCGTGCCCCACGCACACTCGGGTGGTTCGGACCAGGCCTCTGAGGAGCGTGCCCCACGCACACTCGGGTGGTTTGGACCAGGCCCCTGATGAGCGTGCCCCACGCACACGGCTGTTCTGTGTTGTCGTTGACAGGGAACTGCACAGACACAACTTACTACTGTGCGTTTGTAAAGCATCTTCACCTCTGCTCGCTGGACCTCTACGGACAAAGGTGCTGCCGATCTTGCCACGCGGGATGAGCCTCGGCAGGGGTCAGAGCGCGGCTGTGAAGAGAAAACAGAAATGTGAAAGCCCCCCCTCCCGCCCCCGTGTCGCTGGTCCACACACGTGTGTTTCTTCAGAACGAAACCGAGGAACGCGCGATCCTGCCGTCCCACGCCCGTTGGCGTGCCGCCACATCGGTGTGCCGGCCCACGTTTGCCGGGGGCTCTCCCGGTGTGCCGCCCAGACTCCCATCGGTGATACGGTCCAGGACTGACCGGAGCACCGCCGCGGGCTGGCCACGGCACCTGGGACCTCGTCTGTCCTCCTGATCGGGCGCTCACCATGGCCACCCGCAGCGATGTCACCTGCTCCTTCCTGAGATGTAGGCTCGTGTAGCCCAGGACAGTCCTGGAGGCTTGGGAAACACAGTGACGGGGCCTCCCTCTTCTCCCCGGTTTTAGCAGGTGGATAAGGCGTGTACGTGTCCGCGGCTCTCTGGCCAGTCACCGCGCACAGGCCGACGCTAACGGCATTCTTACGGAGCCTTAGGGTTAGTCTGTGAACGAGAGACCGTCACTCTGGCCAGGGGTGGACGGAAGCAACAGTGTTGCTGCCATTCTCACAACCTTGGAGATCTGTCTGTGACCCACGAGGCACCTTGGAAATCAGAGGAGAGGGGGGTTAACCTTGGCTGCTGGGGCTGAAGTCAGTCTGACCCCTTGAGAACCGTGAATGAGATTCCCCCCCAGCACCATTTTCTTGCACGTGCTCCGAAAAGCCTTATGAGACCTAATTTATGCATAAAGTGGCATTCCTAAGGATTTGTATTTTGGAAAAGTGATGAGAAAGTAATCCAAGTAGGAAACACGGTCGTTGGGGGGAAAAATCATTTCTAGTAAATCATTGTTTTCATTTGAATTGATGTTTCAGGACATTCAGAGTGAATTCGGGTTGGGCTGGACGTTGTAGTTGGGACACGGGGGTCAGAGTTAGGGTTTGGTGGCCACGGTTAGGGTTAGTTTTAGTTTTGGGACGGGGTTGGGTGAGAAGGGTCGGTAAGTTAGGGTGAAGGCTGGAGTTGGCTTTGGGACTTAGGCGAGGGCCAGGGTAGGTCGGAGGGGCTGAGTTTAGATCGAAGCCAGTGCCGGTGTCCGTGATGTCGGCAGGCTGGACACTGGGTTTCCAGTCAGTGTTGCTGCTGAAGTAGTTTGGGACTAGCATTAAATTGTAAGTTCTAAAGCTGATGTTTTGTGTGTTAATCCTCACCCAAGGATATGTTTATTGATTTTAATGAGAGGGGAGAGAGAGAAACCTGGATGTGAGAGATAAACAGCAGTCGGTTACCTCTTGCACGTACCCCAACCTGGGACCGAACCCCCCCACGTGGGTATGTGCCCTGACTAGGAACCGAACCCACGACCTTTCGGTGTATGGGACGATGCTCCAACCAACTGAGCCACCCGGCCAGGGCTACAGCCGATTTTGTAAGGGGCTCTTTCCTTTTCGTCCCACCAATTACGGCTTAGATGTCCCTCAGCCCGAAGTAAGTGGCCCTGCCTCTTCATTCGCTGTCCCAGCTGCCTGGACCCCCGCTGTCTCCGGCTGGCAGCAAAGTTCCGTGAAGTGGGCTGTGCGGGACCTTGTCCCTGGTCACTCGTAAACAATTGGTGAGCTTGGCTCTGTCTGTGGACGTGCTCACTAGGTCTCTCTACCGTCTCCCGAGCACCGGGTCTCCTGTCGAACTTGAGCCTCGCAGACGCTGGGGTGAGCACTACTGTACGCGGAGGGGGCGGCAGCTGGGAAGGGACGGGGCATGTGCAGGGGACACACCAGCCCACGAGGGACCGGTCATCAGTCAACACTTGAGTGTTGATGGTTCTTAAATTAAAAGAGAGGTCATTTGTAAAAAAAAAACAAAAAAAAACTCTTTGTATATACTTCTAGGACATAAAGCTGCAATATTTTATTTTGTACAGTATGTAATAAAGACATGGGGCATATATTTTTCTTGTTAACAAGATTTCTTATTGACTCACCTTTGTATTTAAAGTTGCTCTTTTGCATTGGCTATTGTACTTTGTCTCATCATTCAGAGGACGTTCCTGTGTACTGTATTTTACTACTGTTTCTACAACAGAAGAGTAATGTTTCTCTTTCACGATCCTGAAGTAATTCAGAAATAAATCGACTGTGGTTATTCAGTGGCATCCTTATAAAGGCGGTGGCTTATTTGCGTCACGTTTTTTGTGTGGCCTTGGATTTGGTCACCTTGGCTGCCTCCGTGTGACTCCAGGACCAACCTTGATGGGTCTGATGTCCTGCACTGTCCTTTGTCCTTTGTCATGTGGGTGACAAGATTCAAGGCGGATCACACAGAGACTCCGCTAACTCCCTTGTCCCCGTCATGTATGTCCTGCGACTCAGGGTTAAAAGAATGTCCAAGGAAGAAGGGGTGGAGAGAAGGTCCGAATGGACATCCTGAAACAGGTCTCGGAACAGGTGGCAGTCGGGAGGACGGGAGGTGCTAACACCCTTTCATTCTGTCCACTGTGAGGAGTTTAGGGACTGACGGGAGGGGTCTGCACTGAGAGATGGCGACCAGCAGTCGGTGAGTGACCCTTTGTCCACCCCCAGTCTCCTGTGTCGTGCTGGGGGATTAGTAGTGAGTCCGACAGACAGCAGGCACGGTCTTGGAACTGAGATTCCCCTTCGTTTGCCCGGGGCCTTGGAGATTCCAACGTCACTTAACTGCAAAAAGAAAGCGATCGTTTTGCAGTCACTTTGAGACTATGTTAGCCTCGGGCGGAGGAGCCACACGGGAGATAAACTGGTGTAACTCAAGTATCTCAAACAGGATTTCTTTTTTCTTTTCTAATTTGAGAGAGAGAGAGAGAAACATCGATGAGAGAGAATGTCGATTGGCCACCTTCTTCATGCCCCGCACTGGGGATTGGGCCCACAACCTGGGCATGGAATCGAACCAGCAACCTCTTGGTGCATGGGTCAGTGCTCAACCACTGAGCCCCACCAGCCGGGCTTATTGATTGATTTTAGAGAGAGACAGTGAGGAAGGGGGAGAGCCAGGAGAGAGATAGAGTTGTTCCACTTCCGCTTATTGATGCATTCATTGGTTGACTCTTGTATGTGCCCCGACCGGGGATCAAACCCGCAACCTTCACGTATCTGGAAGATGCTCCTACCAGCGGAGCTACCCAGCTAGGCTCTTTGTTTTTTTCTTTCACTGAGGCCCACGTAGGTTCGAAGGAGCGGAGAGCACCATCAGGAGAGAGAGGGAAAGTTACCAACTCCGCTCCCCGTTCAGAGACATTTCCCTGATGACTAAGGATGCTGGAGTATCTTTTCATATGCTTATTTACCATCTTTTATCGGTAGACTTGTTTCCTCCTGACCCAAACTTTCTAACTGCCACAGTGAGAACTTATTTGGAAACAGGGTCCTTGCAGATGATTCAGTTAAGGTGTAATTATTAGGGTGAGTGCCGTTGGAGAGAGTCCTATGTCTGTGAATGCCAGTATGACTGATAGTTTTGTGCGTTTAGACACAGGTGTGTGTGTGCAAGGGAGCCAGCAAGACAGACTCCCCCTCACACCTGCAAAGGAGCCAGCTCTGCTGACACCTGGCTTCTGGCCTCCGCCACCGCGGGACGGGCTCCTTCTGTCTGAATCCACCCGGTTCTTGGTATTTGTTTCAGCAGCCTCCGCAATAATACCTACATCTGCATATGTTCTTGGGTGAATGATCTGTTTATGTAGTTTAGTTGTGTCTTCCTATTGTGGAGTTTTAAAAGCTCTCGGGACACGGGCTAGCTTTTGGGTGGTCCCAGGGTCTCTCACACTGGTGCAGAGATGACACCTCTGAGTCTGTGCTGGTCCCGCCTCCCTGCTTTGCCTGATTTGGCGAGTTCCTACTTACCTGTGGAGACTCAGCTCAGCTGTCCCCTCCTTAAGGAAGCCCGTCCTGAACGCCCAGCCACCTGTCCCATGAGCATGACACTCCAGTCTCTGTTCACACCTGTGGTATCGAGGGCTAGCTTCGGGGGTGACACCATTTATCGCTGTCCTCAGTCCAGGCCGACTGCTTCAGGAACACCAGTAGATGTCCCAGGGAGGAGACCACCCACAGCAGCTTTGGGGGGACCTGGACCCCCAGCACCAGGAAGTGGGCCTGGATGAGAGCACCCCAGTGTCCCCAGTTCTTCGTCTTCAGTACATTGTGACGTTTTCTGTTACAGAGGTAAGAACGTCAGATGATGTACAGATTAGCCTGGGTAAGACTTTCTTAAAAGCTCTATTTCCCGGAGAAAATTGGGTACAGAAACTACTCCACAAAAATTCCTTCCTTTTATTGATGCTTGATTGATGTTGCCGAGAAATACAGAATCTTACATAATTTTAATAAGTACAAATGTGAATTAGAACAAACTACTTTCAAATCATTAGAAACATTTTAACCACATGGACTTAGTCTTCATTAAGTATATGGTTTGAAACAAATGAAAAGCAACAGAAGCCTCAACTTGATGATAAATCATATTCTCCCGTAATGCAGTCATTTATCCAAAAAACAAAGAAACAAAACACTACCACGCAATAAGGGCTTAATTCAGTGGGTGATGTTCAGCATTTATAGGTGCAGTCTGATCTTTCTACTTATGGAGACCGAGAAGGATCCGGTTATGCCCCATAGTGAGCCCAGTTTTTCGGAACTGTGACTCTGGGCGTGGCATCCGGGGGCCTAATTACCTAAGGCGACCCTGAAGGTTTCTCTAGAGCTGCCCATCATTCCTGAAACTACTCTAGCGAGTGCTTTTTCCTATCTGGAAACACGACCGCCGTTCGAGCCCTGCCCCCGGGCCACGCTCTCCATCCTCTGTAACAATTTCCCAGGGGCGCGCGAAGCTTTAGTCGGAAGGCTTCTCCGAAATCGTACCATTAGTAAGCTTGACCCAAGTTAGGGTGTTTGACTACAATCCTTGCTTAGCCCAGAGAGTGATTGCCGAGAAGGTGGTTATCCTGATTCGGGAAAGGAGAAAACAGGAGCAGGAAGGGACGAAGTGACTTACGGACCGTCCCTGATGTTTGTTTGGCACTTTGACTCTCTGGATGATGCTGCACAGAACGGTTTGGGGGAGGCAGGCAGGGCAGATACCATTTTACAGAGGAAGATACTGAGGCTCGAAGACATGAGTCCCTTGTCCAGGGTGGCAGGGGTAGAGTCCGACGTCCTCAGAATTTCAACTCGGAGCCTTTGACTTTCGGCCTGCAGGGCCCCCCTTGTCACACCACGGGGGCTCTTCCTCGAACCCAGTGATGCCTGAAGTCAGGGAAATGGACCTGGTGTGTGGAAGAGGGACCCGTGCGTCATTTCCAGGGGTGCTGTAGACAGTCCTAAAGTGCTTGGGACGTGACGGCCGGCAAGGGCCCCCATCCACTTGCCGTGGCTGGAAACACAAGTAGAAACGGCAGGAGAGCGGAGACAGGCTCCTGAGCAGCGTCTTGGAGATGGAAGTAGTTCCGATGGGAATGTGCCACCCTCAATGGTCAGAAATGGATATTTAAGCACAGTCTTGGTTTCATTATCAAAACAGTGGATTTTAAGATCCCAATTTCCTTTGATACATTTTTTTCCTCGATTAAAAATGTGAAGATGATTTTTTTTGACTCTCTCATAATCTATTCTCTAACTGGAAGCAATCGGTTCTGCCCTCGGAGAGCCAACACCGTCTGGGTGAGCCTCCTTTTCCGCAGGACCCGCGGGCTCCGCGGCCTCCACGCGGGGTGTGATCCTGCGGAAGAATTTGTGACCTTGGGGGTTTGTGTTTTCGAAGACGTAGCCTGGGGGCGAAGGGAAGCTGGCAGGGCAGACTCCCAGCTTCTTCGGGGTGTACGCGGTGGAGTACACGGTCACGTCATCGAACGGGCTGGGGCTGTGCAGGGGAGCACGGGCAGGCTTGCAGCTCTCCGCGGGCACCGGCTGGTGCGGCACGTAGTGAGATCTGAAGGTGCTCAGACCGTCGAACTTCCCGGCGGGGCTGTGGATCTGCGGCTGCGGTTTGATGAGCCCTGGGCGGCAGCTCTCCCATGCCGGGAAATCCTCCTGCGTGGTGCTTTTCCCTTGGAAAGGGAACCTGTTACTTCTCCTCTGAGGCACGGGCCTGATGGGGGCGGCGCGGGTGGCCGGGTAGGACACGTAGTCCAGGTGGCTGGTGCTGTGTAGCTGCATGGTCCCCGCAGGGGGGACGTACTCCTGTGCTCTCCTGACTTCGGGGGGTGGGATTTCCCAGGGTTGAAAACTGTCGCGGAATTCAGTGCTTCCTTCAAACTGAGCGTCCGAGGTGGTTCTGGCCTGGGCGGGTCGGCAGGTCCTGGCAGTTTCGCCAGCGAGCCCCTGGAAGGCACATCGGTGAGTGGTGAGACCCTCGAAGGGCTGGGAGGTTGGCCTGTACACTTCTTTTGGCCGAGCGGACTTGGGTTCCAGCCGATGCGGCACGTAATCCAGGCGGTGGCTCGTGTCACCGTTGAAAGGGACGGTGGGGCGTTGGGCCCCGGCACTGGGCTTGAAGCTGTGCCTGGGCTGCGTCTCCCGGGGAACGTAGTCTTCCTGAAACGTAGTCGAATTTCCAAATTTCACGGTAGGGGGACAGTAAGCCTGTTCTGGTTTATAGAGTTCACTTTTCTGAACGTCCCAAGCTCTGTAGTCATCTGGGGAGGGAGGGGGAGAAGAGAGCAGTTTTAAATACTGAAGGAAACTGTGACCTTGCCGAAATCATGACCTGATTCTCAGCGCCGAACATCCTCGCGTTTCCTTTAGAAATCTGAGCACGCGTCAAGTAGGCAGTGCTTCCGATTTCCACCGGGTCTGCTCTTCTCGTTTCTACCTGGCTCCTCCTATCCCCACCTTTTTTTGATCCTTACCTGAGGGTATTTTTCCACTCAGATAGAGAGGGAGGGAGAGAGAGACACACACATCCATCTAGGTGAGAGAGACACATTATTGGTTGCCTCCCTCACGCCCCAAACTGCAACCGATAGGTACATGCCCTTAGCGGGAACCGAACCCGGGTCTCTCTGGACCGCAGGCCGATGCTCTAACCGCTGAGCCAAACCGGCCAGGGCTTATCTTTAATACTTGAAACACTCCACTTCTAGATTCATCCAACCACACCTCGGGGGGAGGAACTTCAGAACCTGACTGCCGATCGGTTTTGAAAGCCCAGCCCGGTGTGTTTTGGGTGGAGACCGCTGAGGAGGTATGGCTGTGTTCCCAGGAGCTGGTTGGGATTCTGGCCGTAACTCACAGGATGCTGAAGTAAACCATGAAATCTAGGATTGACGTAAAAAGCAAGGGCCCTGCTGTGTGAGCAAAGTGACGTGGGTATTACTCCTTGCTCTGGAGGGGCCCCTCGAAGCAGAGGGAGCCCCAGCTCCTTTATCTGAACAGAGAGACGGGGTAGCTCGTACTGTCCCAGGAAGACCACCGGCTTCCATTTTCCTCCGCGGAAACGGACTCAGGCGCACCCAGCACGCGGAGGGCCGCTGAGGCCAGGGACCTGCCCTGTGTGCTTTCAGAAGTGGGAGGAATTGTGCACACACTTTAGAAGTGACACACACGCGCTCAGTGTGGGGTCTGGCGTTACATACCGACTCCACCTCTTGCTGCTTACTGAGACCCTGGAAGACGGAGGTGCGCACACTTCAACTGGGGGCTACTGGCGTTTCCCGCTTTCTAGATCGGAAGGCAGAACGCCGAGAACAGCTACAGAACTGACATCCCCTGGCAGGTGGGTTCCCAAAAGACCAGAAGTTAACTTTGTAAGGGGGAGAAGTTACACACGGTGAAGGGGGAGAGTCTAGACGAGAGTCCGCGGCTGTGTTTATTGGAAAGGCCAAGTCTCGGACGCTTGTTGTGATCCCTCCTTTGAAGAGAAAATTTCCTCATCCATAGACACGTCTGCCCAGACGGCCAAGTTCGGGGGCACACTATCGGCCCCGCCTCCAGCTACTGATGTTTGGGGGAGAGTGGACACCTGAGCCAAGAGCGGGCAATATTTCGGCCGGCAGGGGCCTAGGGAAAGCAACCTGGGAGAAAAGATGAGTTGGGTCAAGCACATTCTTGTTCTTGTGGGGAGTGTGGGGGGGAGAACACAGAGCTTTGAATCTTCTAATCCAGCATTCCTTGCTCTGAAGGCTACATTTTCTGATATTAATAGAGTCAGGCCAACAGCCTTCTCTGAATTAGACGTGGCATGGTATGCATTTTTCCATTCTTACTTTTATCCTACCTATAGATGTTTGGATTTAAGGTAGGTTTAACATAGACAGCACCTAGTTGGGGTTTTTTGTTGTTGTTGTTTTCACATACTATGACAATCCCTGTGTTTTAATCACCGTGGTTAGAGCGTTTACCTTAATGTCATTATGGATATGGTCGAATTAAAACCTATGCTCTTGTTGGTTTTGAAGGAGGTTGCTGGTGTGCTTGGTAGAGTTTAAACTCATCCTGGGATGGAGGGGCAGGAACGGTAACAACTGAATGTGATGACTGTGACATGTTTATTCCGCGGCATCCTTTGTGGTTTTATGTTTTGAGGTAGAGAAAACTAGGCTGGATTTGGACAGGAATCCAGGTCTCTCAACCCTCAATCAGGCAAATGTACACACACACACCACACACACACACGTTACCGACCACAGAGAAGAAAGAATTTTCCTAAACCATGAGAACAGAGTTTGGCGATGCACCAACACCAAACGCGGGGTTTGTGGTTGAGTGTCAGCCGGGAGGAAGTCCCCATTTCGGCCCGTCGTCTCTGAAGCGGCGTTACCTTGGTAGGTGGGGACCGTGTCGACCTTCCCTTTCCTGACCCGCCGTCTCTCCAGGGGCCGGACTCTGGCCACAGGCTGCACGTTGTAGGAGTTGAAATCCCGCCTGTAGGTCGTGTGAAGGTCAAGGTCCCCCTGCTTTGGTTTGTATTCTTCCGGCACGCGGCGAGGCGGCTGGGCTATTTCGTAAGGACGATAGTCTGATCTGAAATACATAAATGTGAGACACAGACTCACAGATTCTTGTATTTCTAACTGTTTCTGGGCGGTATCAGAATTTCCAAAGGAAAGTTTGAGCGGATGCTAAAATGGTGATAGTTGATAAACGACTTGAGAGAAGTCGCCTGAACTCCGGTGTGCCCTGTGCAGGGACCGAATACCTCAAGGAACAGCTACGTCCAAAGTCCTAGTCTTCAAGACATCATTGGACCTTAGTTCTCTAGATCTTACATAAATGACATCTTCCCGTAATTATATTTCTTGCTAACCTGGAAGTTTCAGGTGACAAGTTTAATGAATCCGAAAAAACTTTTTTTTTTTTTTAAATGAATCCCTTGGATCTACTTTGTCAAAATGCTTATTCATCCTTCCAGACGCTTGTCGATGTTGGGACATGCTTTCATCTTGGGGCCGCGCCTTCTGGCTCACTGTTCAGGAACAGACTTTCGACATAAATCAGTCACAGTATGGGCGTGAGTCTCTCTCACCCTTGGGTCCCCCCGGAAGCCCTTGCCATGAGTGGGGCCACGTGGCAGTCCAGCCCCGGGGGGCCTCGTGTAACCCTGTGAGGCAGAGCCAGGACCACAACCGAGGCTGCCTGGTGGGGTGGAGGAGACCACCGTCTGAGGGATCGCACTGCCTGGGTCCAAATCCTGGTGTCATTCCCTAGATGCACGACCTTGACGTCTTCACCGCCTATGCCCCAGTTCCCTTATATATAAAATAGGACAATATCATCTACCTCCTGGGGCTGTTTTTAAAGATACACACACACACACTCATACACATGTGCTTGGTACATAGTAAGGGCAGGATGTCACCTACTATTCTTAGTACCACACGTTTTCAAAATTGCCCCCCCCTTCTGGACTCTACTGACTGTCATTCATTTTGTGGCTTGTTTAAACCATCCTGAATCAGTCATGCTTTCTGTGTATGTCCATAAGCTCCGAACAACAAAACCAAACTCACTGAACCCTTGGTCCTGTTCCCACTATGACGTCTGGGACGTGACTTCATCCCCACTGCCCCGCTGTCCCCCTGCACCCGGCTCCCAGCAGGGTCCCTCTCTGACCCAGCTTGAGCACTTGCGAGGGCTCTGCGGTGAAGCCCATCGGGCAGCTGCAGCCCTCACCGTGCGTAGCCTGTGGGGCAGTGCTTGGCGTTGCTGCCTCCGTTTCCTGGGAATTCCCCTCGTCCTCCTCTCTGCCCCTCTCGCCAGCGTCCACTCCCAGGACCACTGCTCTGCTCCCACCGTCCACTCCCAGGACCACTGCTCTGCTCCCAGCGTCCACTCCCAGGACCACTGCTCTGCGCCCAGCGTCCACTCCCAGGACCACTGCTCTGCTCCCCCCGTCCACTCCCAGGACCACTGCTCTGCCCCCAGCGTCCACTCCCAGGACCACTGCTCTGCTCCCCCCGTCCACTCCCAGGACCACTGCTCTGCTCCCAGCGTCCACTCCCAGGACCACTGCTCTGCTCCCAGCGTCCACTCCCAGGACCACTGCTCTGCTCCCCCCGTCCACTCCCAGGACCACTGCTCTGCTCCCCCCGTCCACTCCCAGGACCACTGCTCTGCTCCCAGCGTCCACTCCCAGGACCACTGCTCTGCTCCCACCGTCCACTCCCAGGACCACTGCTCTGCTCCCAGCGTCCACTCCCAGGACCACTGCTCTGCTCCCAGCGTCCACTCCCAGGACCACTGCTGTGCTCCCAGCGTCCACTCCCAGGACCACTGCTCTGCTCCCAGCGTCCACTCCCAGGACCACTGCTCTGCTCCCAGCGTCCACTCCCAGGACCACTGCTCTGCTCCCAGCGTCCACTCCCAGGACCACTGCTCTGCGCCCACCGCTCTCCCAGGACCACTGCTCTATTCCCACCGCTCCGTCCACCACGTGCATAGAAGCAGCGGCTCCCATTTCTCTCGGCCAGACCTCTCTTCTGAGCCCCGTCGCAGCATTTACAAGGGCCTCTTGGATATTCAGTGGTACCTCAAAACTTAAACTGCCCCTCATCAAGGTCACTATTCCCCCCCGAGAAATGTGCTGCTTGGGGCTCGTTCCCATTTTAGTAGGCGGCACAGCCAGAAACCGAAGACTCACCCTTCAAGCCTCACTTCCCTCCTGGGTCTAGCGCCTCATCAACTCCGGTTTTGCCCCCAGAACATCGCTCACCTCTGACCGCTTTCCCTCCTCTCTTCGCCACCATCGTAGCCCAGGCTTTCGAGTCAGTCCTGTGGCTTCCTGAGCTGTTCCCTGCGCCCGCTCTGGTCTCTCCCCCACCTTTCTCCACATTGCCCCAACACCCCTTCCCCGTGTGCACGTGAGCAGGCCATTCTTGCTCTCGTCTCCCTGGTCTCTCCCCTACCCCCTTCCCCCCTCCCCAATAAACACACAAAAGCAAGCAAGGCCCCGTGGTGGCCTTCACCAGCTCGGGCACCTGTGCTCCCCCTGCCCAGCTGGCCCGTACAGTGTCCTGCTTTCTAGGCTCCTCCCTGCGACCTGTGCTCCCTTCCGGGAATGCGGGGCCTTGCCCGCGGAATCCGGTCAGCTGCTGCCCATCGTCCAGCCTGAGCTCGTTCTCCGCGTGTCCCCGACACAGTCAAACCTCTGATTCTGGCTCTCCGGCTACGTTGTGCTCGCCTTTGTAGATGCCATCGTTTGTTGTTGCACTTTGATACTTATTTCAAGGGATGTGTTTAATTGCTGCCTTCACTAGATGCAACATCTGTGAGCACAGAGAGGCTGTGACCACAGAGAGATCACGACCGTTTCGTTTGTGCTCATCTCTGGATCCCAGGTGCCTGCCACTGAACAGATGCTTAATCAGTATTATCGAGCGGATGAATGGCAGGAGAAACCACATACCTCTGCCTCTTCAGACTTGCAGGTTGCTCTTTGCTCTCTTCCTAAACACCAGCTAGAAGGGTACAGGCTGAACACAATGGGGGAGCAGGAGAATTGGGGAGGACAGAGAAAGCTTAGAGGTCCGAGTTTCTCTCGTCAGATAAGGTGACTGTTAGAAAGTATACCTCCGAACCCAAAGCAACTTTCTAGAAAGAAGCAGTAAAGGGTAAGTGTGTTTGTATTCATCTGACCTCTCCGGAGGACATTTGACACGTCCAGGGTCCTGCCTTCAGGGCAGGCTTCCTGCCGACTGGCCGTCACCTGGGCCACAGAAGCACAATGAGCTCTATCGGAAATGAGATGAAAACGGATGACACTAAATATGAAAGTTGTTGAGCATTTTTCCAAACCCCGAATTACAGAAACCTGACGTGTTCCTTGAGAGCAGGCACCTTTCATTGCTGCCTTTGTACTTATTGCCTAAGGCTGTGCCTTGGATACAGGGTACACATTCGCAGAATAAAGGAAATCAACCTATTGTATTGACAGATGCACAGAGAGATTAAAAAAAAAAAAAAGCTAAGTCCAAATAAAAAGTGTAGGCTTAGGGGGCCTTTTTAATCACCCGCTGAACAAACACTGAGAGTCTACTATGTGCTGGCAGGCATTGCACTAGGCGTCTGGAAACAATGCTGAGATGAGACTAGACCTCGTTTCTGCACACGGAACAGAGACGGATCCATCGATCCATTGAAGAGGCTTGGAGAGCTGACACGGGGACTTGAACCCAGCCCGGCAACGGGGCGGTGTCAGAGGCCTTCCAGAGTGGTAACTGAGTTGAGATGTACAGGCTGGAGGGGCATCAACAAGGGTAAGGAGGAGGACAATTTTCAGGCAGGTGAAATAGTATCTTGGAAGGCTCTGTGGTAAGTTAAACTTGACACTTTCAAGAAATGAAAAATGTCCTACGGGATGTAAGTGCAAGAGTACAAAGGGCATTGCAGTGAAAATAAATCAGAGAGGCGAGTGGCGATCAAGCCATGAAGGGATTTTGGTAAGGATGTTGGTGTATATTAAATCCAATAAATTCAATTTAAAAAATTGCAACCTGAAAAAAAAAATAGCACTTGATTTTTCTTCAAGAAAGAAAGAAAGAAAAAGAACTACAAGGGGAAAGTACAAGTATTTTAAGCAGGGAGGTGAAAGGATTAGATCTGCATTTCTAAAAGATTTTGTCGGCAGGCTGAAGTATAGAAAACAGATCAGAGATGCAAACTCCAGAGGAGATACAGATACGACAGTGAGGAAACCACTACGTTCTGGGTCGAGAAGATAGTAGAAAGCAGATTAATACAAGAGATTTTAGCAGGTAAAAACATATCAATAAAGCTTTTTATTTCCTTTTTCATTGTTTGTCATTCAAACTTAATTCTCATTTTTCTTTTTCTCAAGTTGTGATTCAGCTAGTATTTTGCTTCTTGGATATGGTTCAACTTAAATCCACGGAAGAGTTCAATGTAAAGAGTGAAACAACTTTATTAAGACCAGAAGAGTTGGGAGAAAAATAAGTAAAGAAAATAATTTCTCAATATTTACTTAAATGTTGTTATTCCTTCCATTTTCCCACGGTATGCTCGAAATTCCTGCTTGGGTTTAAGACTCTGAGCTGGGAGAACACTGCCATATGTAGGATATTTTTCCAAATATTCAGTGGTTGGGCAATACACGCCAGAATTTTCGTAAATCTTTGTGGCTCCATGTGGACAATGATGTCGCCTGTGCAAACAAACAAACCGGAAGGTTAGTTTCACCGTCAGACATTTTCCTTTGATGCACACATTACAATCAGACCTGCAGTAAACTCAGCATCTCTAAATTCAAGAGCGACTTTACTAAAAAACAAAGCGAAAACCTTCCATTGCCCTGGCTGCTGTGGCTCAGTCGGCTGAGCGTCATCCCTGCACCATAAGGTCACTGGTTCGGTTCCCAGTCAGCGCACATGTCCAGGCTGAGGGTTCGATCCCCGGCTGGGGTGAGTACAAGAGGCAACCGATTGATGTCTCCCTCTCACATCCATTTTTCTCTCTCACATTGATGTTTCTCTCTCTTTCTCTCTAAAAATCAATAAAATCTTATTTGAAAACAACAAAACGCCTTCACCTTCTCTGCAGGGCGTGTGTGGAAGCCGCGAGTAAGGGACGAGTAAGGGACGGCACATCCTCGGACGGTGAGAACGCCGGCTTTGCTCTGACAAGGCAGAGTGTCTTCTCCTGCCGGTGCTGAAACGCGGATACCGCAGGCCCCTGGCAGGCAGGTTCCAGGACTGAGGTCTCACCTACCAGACGTGCTCGTGACACTGACTCCGAGAGCCCCGGGACGCCCACTGGGCCTGGGCGTGGTGAGGCGCAGGGCGCAGCCAGCGGCGGGAGGCGGCGTGCTGGTTTGCAGGGTGGCTTCCGGACGGCAGCGCCCCACCTTGGCAGTGAGCAGAGGTCCCGGGCCCAGGGCTCTGTTGCAGTGTCCTGGCTGCGGCACAGGCAGTGGCCCCCTGGGCAGCCCAGTTTCGCGGTGAGATTTTGGGGAATTTTTCCTGAAAGCTTAGTTCAAAACAGTTTCTTTCTCTAACAATTCTGTGAGCTACACGGACTCCTTAATAAATCCCTTTATGCCTAAACTAGCCAGAGTAGATTCCAGTGTCGGTGACCAAGAATCCTGGCCAACACACTGCTAACAGTGTGCGGTTGTTAAAGAGGTTGACCTCTATGCACAGTTATTGGGAGATGGAGAGGCGGTAAACCATGAAAAAGTGGGTTATAAAATAGTATGTGTAGTCTGCTATCCCTCCCTTCTTAAAGAAGGTGAATGTAAAACAAGTCTCAAAGAACATCTGTTATCTGTGGGGAATAGGATTACGAGGGGTTTGACTGTGACACATTGTTTATAGGTAGGCTTCTTCATAAGAGCAGGGAGAACATTTTCTACTCCGTGGCTTCAACACCATGACCCCAAGAGCATTCAAAGTAAAAGGGTCCTAGCTTCAAGATTAAATTGTCTTTTCTTTCATGCTCTCAACTTTTAATACTTTAAAAATCATTCTAAATTTGATGTCATATATGAACTTTAATTTTATTGTATAGCTTTTTTATTTTTCTAAAGTTTTTAGTACCTTTAATTCCTCTTAATTCTTTGCATTTTACATGCACTGGCAGTTTTCAGTCTCTCTATTGTACCATCTATTTTATTGAGTCCACTTTTTTCATGGTAGGTGTCCACAGTTGGAGTCTTAACTGTCCCTAGACACTCAATTTAAATTCCTTAAGGAATCATTCTTCCTCCCTTCCCTTGGTGGTAGGTATCAGCTGCCTGGGCTTCATTTGATGGTGGCTGACTGCAGGACATGGGAAGGCTAAGCAATATAGGTGTTTTGGATTCAACCCTCAAACTCTTTCTGTGTACACCCTACCCTTCTGTCCTCTGTTGACCCTGTGAACTTAGACTTGACTTGAGTCTGTTCAGGCCCTGTGTGACAGACAGACAGGCTCCCATGTCTACTCTAGAATATTTACTTCAATTTAACTGTTTTGTTTTTTGTGGGTTTTTTTTTTATCCTCACCCGAGGACATTTTGCATTTTTGTTCAGATAGAGTGGGAGGGAGAGAGAGGAAGGAAGAGAAAGAGAGAGAGAGACAGAGACATTGAGTGACTGCCTCCCACACGACCCAACCAGGGCCAGGGACAAATCACAACCGAGGTAGGGCCCCTTGACCAGAATTGAACCCACGACTCATTGGTCCACGAGCAGACGCTCTAACCACTGAGCCAAACCAGCCAGGGCTGTTTTGGTTTTATCTGTCAGTATTCCTATCATCTTTCTATATGCCAAAAATTTATTGAAATTTCATCTGTGAGTCCTCTTTCCATTCTCTTCAATAATACAGGTTTATTTCTACTCTGGTTTCTATCATTTTCTTTCAGTAGATCCTAGGGGTGTACTGAATGAAGAAATAGGCTCTTTTTCTCTTCCCTCAGGAACCTGAGACACAGACAAGTCAAATGATTTCCTGTCCTGTAAACATCATGCGTTCTCTCCTCTCTCCTCCAAATCTCATTCAGACCAGGTTTACAAGGACAGTTGGTTATTGTCACCAATTCTGTTTTTTTTTTTTTTCTAGCATCCCCCAACTTTGTTTTCCAATATAAAAGAACTCCATCACAGTTTCACTCGCATGAGCAATTGTATATATACACACTGCAGAGAAAATTAGATGGATGGTTTGCTTTGACTGATATAGTGAAAGAAATAGACTTTTGAAAATAGTTAGGCTAAATAGTATGAAAAATAAAAAAGATTCAAACAGCAAGATGAAAAAGTAGCAGAAGCAGGTCACAATTTCCCTGAGGAGGTCTCTGGACAAAGATCCTTCTAGAGAGAGATCATGTATTGACGTATTAATGTTCTCCTTTGTTTTTCTTCCCCCTCCTTTATTTCAAGCAGGTAGCCAGGGCCTTCACTGTTGACCCAGGGATTAGATCAATACTGGCTAAATAAATATTACGAATAGGTCACTCCCTTCGCATTGTGACCTCAGAGAATAGAAGCTGTCTGAAGTCAACACATTTCCCTGTCTTTCAAAAAAAAAAACAATCCATGGAAAAAATGAAATCGGGTGTCCCTCTAGAGATGAAAAGTAGTCGTTTCTTAGGGTCCCCAGGGGAAACAAATGGTCTTAGACTGAAAAAGAAGAAAGAGGGAAAGATTCTCCCAAAGAGAGGAAGGAGATAAAAGATTAGGGCAAAGGATTTATACAAAATCGGGGGGTGGGGTGGGGGGGTCTTTCTCCCAGCAGGTGGCCAGATTTCAAATAGAGCTGGCTAAAATGAGAAACCCTACAGCCCTGGCTCCCAGCTTTTAGAAAGATAATCCCAGCTTCACCCAACATACTTGTGCCCACACAACAACCCGAAGAAAGTGATGGTGATACCACTCGAAGGAGCATGTGAACTTCTGCAAGAGAGAGCCAGTGGGGAGCATCACCAATGCTCCAAGTCCAAAGGGAGCTTACACTGGCAACGCCTCGGCTCCCTGGGCCCCTGAGAGAAAGGGGCACCTCCCCAGTCATGAACACCGAGTTTCCTGACAGCTGCGTGGGAAAGCATGTTGGGCTGGATATAAAGGAAAGATTAGAAAAACATGTGACCAATTGTCGCACATCCCGGTTTTCTGATTCCTACCCCACCTGTTTATCTTTTCAGGTACATCCACTTATTCATGATAAACAACGTCTTATCATGAATCTGGGGTGGGGTGGGGGGCTGCTTTCCCTCACCATGCCAGTGATCTTCCTTTGGAGGGGGTCACAATGCGAAGGGGGTGCCCGAGGCGTACTATTCATTTAGCCGGTCTTGATCTAACCCTGGGTCAACAGTGAAGCCGAAGAAGGATGTCCACAGGGGTGGAGGGTTGTCAGGCAGGACCCAGACCAATCCTGGCCCTCGGGGTGGCGACTGCTACCGTCCTAGTCACCCAGACCCCAAAGGAGCGCTGCCTGGGGTGGGGGTGCGGTGGGGGGGCCGCGTACGTCGTGGTCACAAAGCCGGCGATGGAAAGATGCCCCAGGGGAGCTGACGACTCGGGGATCGCCCACCACTCTGCTCTATTCCTTCCCCTTCGAAAGGAAAACGTGGTTTTGGCGGGACGTGCAGCCTCCCAGGCGGTGCCGATCGCTCCACGGAGCCTTGCTCCGGCCGCACCGTCACGTCTACCGCCTGCCCGGCCGAGCGCGGGGCGCTGTGCACGCTGGACGGGGCGCCCGCAGCGGCGGCGTGTAGCCCGCGCCCTGCCCCCCGGCGGCCGCCCGCCGGCCCGCGTCTCACCCGCACGTGCAGATCTGACACAGGCACCGGGTCCTCATGCTCTCCGCGCGCAGGGTCCCCGGGCGGTGCGTCGGCGCGTCGGCTCCCGGCTGCACCGCGCGGGCGGTCGTCCAGGCAACGCGGGCTCCCGGGAGACGGACGCGGCGCCAGCTTCCGGTGACGTCAGCGCGCGCGGGTCAGAGGTCGTGCGTCCCAGCCCCGCCCGCGCGCTGCCGCTCTGCTGCCGCTCTGCTGCCGCCGGAGCTCCGCGTACCTCCGCCGCTCGTGGGCCACCGGGCGCGGGTCCGAGGGTGAGTGCGGCCGGCGCTGGGCTGCGGCGGCCCGTCGGCGGCCCCGAGCGGGGTGCGGACCGGGGGCGCGGCCGGGCCGAGCCGGGCCGGGCCCCGCGGGCTGAGGGGACGGGTGGGACCGCAGGTGTTCCCTTCTCCTTGGAAGCGGCGCCGGACCTTAGGAGGCACGTGACCCCAAACTTTTCCAGGCTCCTGGGCGGCCCTGAGCCGTGGACTTCGGCCTCCGGGGAGCGCGTGGGGGGCGGTCCCCGGTGTCCCCTCGAGCACCCCGCGCCCGGAGCTGCGGGTCCTCGCCGCCGCCGGGGGTGCGGCCTCGGGGAGCGCGTGGGGGGCGGTCCCCGGTGTCCCCTCGAGCACCCCGCGCCCGGAGCTGCGGGTCCTCGCCGCCGCCGGGGGTGCGGCCGGCCCGCGGGCGCCGCCGGGACCGGGCGTTGGCGTCCGCGCTGCGCCGGGCCCGGCTGGTGTCTCCCTTCGGGATCGTCCCGCGCCGGCTTCCGGGTGCAGGCACCTGCGCTGCGTGTTTACTCATCTGTGCGTTTCGTTGCCTGTCCCGCCCCTGCCCAGGTGCCCTGGTGCCCTTCCCAGCCGTCCGCCCGGGCAGCGCGTGGCCATGGGGCTCAGCAGCCTGGAGAAGATGGTTCAGCTGCAGAAGAACACCGCGAACATCAGGAACATCTGCGTCTTGGCTCACGTGGACCACGGTGAGGGTGCTTTGCCGTGGCCTCGTGGGCGAGGAGGGGCCCGGCGTGTCGGGGCGGGCGCGGCGCAGAGGCGGGTCGGTTTCGCTGAAAAGGGTCCGAGAAGCTCGCGGGTCCGACATTTGCGATCAAGGCAGCCGGCTGGCGGTTTGCATGCTGGGGTGTTACATTGTGTTCTGTTCTGTTTTGTTTTGTGTCTCCATTGAAACAAATTTTTGTGTATCCTCACCTGAGGATATGTTTCTATCCATCTGCAGGTAGAGTGGGAGGGAGGGAGGGAGGAAGAGGGCTGTGTGGATGGGTTGCTGGGTTGCCTCCCGCAGGACCCCGACCAGGGCGGGGGGATTGAACTGCAGGCACAGCCGAGGTGCGTGCCCTTGACCGGAATCAAACCCGAGACTCTGGTCCGTAGGCCGATGCTCCCATGCTGAGCCAAACCGGCCAGGACAGATTTTTATTATTACTATTTTATATTTTAAAGGGGATCCGGGCATTGCTTGTATTTAAGGAGTGTTTTATCTGATAGTAGGTTAAACGAGAACTGAAGTGGTCCAAGTATGAAGAATTTTTGGAATGACCCAGGGTATAGCATTCAGAGAAAGAAACAATAACAGCGAAAACATTGCTGTGCTACGTTTTTGTCCTTGTGAGCTATTGAAAGTTTCCGTGCATAGCCATAGCCATAGTTTCCGTGCACCGCTACAGGTACCGGGTGATCTGTGCGATGATCAGGATGAACTTGATCAGAGTCACCGAGGACAGATCGTGGTGACTGGGCGAAGTCGTTTTCGGCGTGTTTTGATCTGCAGGGCAGGTTGTCTCCTCACTGGAGAGCCTGAGCGTGTGTGTACATGACTCCTTGATGCAGAAAAGAAGGCTGCGTTTAAAAGACAAGTCTCTGGGCAGCTTTTCGGTTTGATCGATCGATGGATGAGATCTCCAGAGTTGGAGAAACACAGATTCTAGTGCTATAGAGAGAACTCTGTGTCCTTCCAGAGGATATTCTGTTTAAAACCGTATTCAGACTTTTTCTTTTTGTTAATCCTCACTCGAGGATATTTTTGCATTGATTTTTAGAGAGATTGGAAGGGAGGGAGAGAGAGAAAGAAACATCAGTGTGAGAGAGAGACACCGATTGGTTGTCTCCCGTGTGAGTACCTGCCCTTGGCCAGGAATCAAACCTGTGACTCTCTGGTCCCTGGGTTGACGCTTTCGATGCTGAGCCAAACCGGCCAGGGCTGTAATTAAACTCTTTAAAGTGCCTCCTTGTCTGCCTCACTCAGTATAGGTGAATAGGAAATCTTTGCTGAACCAGTTCTTACGGTTAGATGTTAAAGCTGTAGAGATGTAACACGCCTCCACTTGAAAAAAAGAAATAGAGACTTGGCTGCTGTGACTCAGTTGGTTAGAGTGTCATCCCGTGCACTGAATGGTCTTCTCAGGTTCAGTTCCTGGTCAGGGCACATACCGAGGTTTCCAGTTTGATCCCCGGTTAGGTGCCTATGGGAGGCAACCTGTCGATGTTACTCGCTCCCCCTCCCCCTTCCTTTCTCTCTAGAATCAATGCAAAAAGCGTATTCTTGGGTGAGGATTAAAAAAATAAATAAATAAGAATACATATATATAAAAATAAAATAAGCAGATTTGCATTAATACTGTTATTTCAACAGGAAAAACTACTCTGGCTGACTGTCTCATTTCTAGCAATGGAATCATCTCCAGCCGCCTGGCAGGCAAGGTATGTTGTTACATTTGGTAAATAACTTGGCTGCATTTCAGGAAGTGTCAGCTGTCTACAGTGTGATGAACCATTTGTCGTGTTCTTCGGGATCCTGTAAGTGCAACAAGTCAGGTGATGTCCTGGCACAGTTGTGGAAGTTTGCACAGAGGAAGAGATTCTTCCCAGGTGGAGGAGTTGGGTGGTTTGAGAAGTCAGAGAAACCATCAGCTGGAGGAAAGTAACATGGACAAAGTGGGGAAAGGCTCATTTGTGAGGTGTGCTTGGTTTGAGTGGAAGTTTTGTATATAAGCTACTGAGAGAGAACACGCACTGGTAGAGAGCATGTATTATCAGATTATCAGAGACTTTGAAGGCTGAACTAAGTACCACAGGAAGGTTTCTGGAACCTGTGAGTCATGATAAAAATTGTGTTTTAGGAAATGAAGTTAAAGAGATCTTCATTTCCAGCTGTACTTCGAAAGGACTTGGAGTAATTTACTTGCAGTATAGAAATAGAGATGTTCCTCCTCGTAGTGAATTTGGAATATGAACAGCAGGATTTGTCAGGTGACTGTGCACAGAGAGAAAAAATGGAGAAGCAAATTTGAATCCAAAAAGTATACGTAGGAGACTGAAGAAGAAGCATACACATATAGAATCACAAGAGACAGACTCTTCAGAGGAAGGCCTTTGAGAGGTTGGAGAGGTGAAGAGGAGCCTAGGGTGGGGGCTAAGGAGAGGCAGAAAGGAAACTAGGAGATTTTCACGGGCATGAGCACACACATACACAGACGGTAGTTAACTAGGTGTGTCTAATGCCACACTGCTCAAGAAGAGTGAGGATCAAAAAGGATTATTATGTTTGGCCAGAGGTCATTGGTAGCTTTTAAGAGTTTGGTTTGCCAGAGCTGTGAGAAATGAAGCTTTTCTGAAAATTAAAGAATGAATGCCGGATGAATAAATGTGGGAATCCCATGACAATAAATTGCTCTCAAGGCTTTTAAATGAAAAAAAATTAGTAAGTGTAAAGGTTAAGAAGTTTTCCAAAGTTTGACAGTGGAGGGAAGTAGGGCAGGGAACAGACCATTCTGCAGAGGGAGGAGGGAGGTTAGCGAGGTACTTAGGGCTGAGGAGCTGGAGAAGGGTGGATTCTGCAGCTAAGTGAAGCTACAATCAGTGCTGATGCTCTGCAAGGCCCAGAGAATGGATGCAGGCCCTTATCTGTGGCATTTACGCTTAATGAAAGCCATCAGCTAAGTGGCAATGTTGGAAATATCTTCTACCCTATCATTCTTTTTTTTTAATGTGTATAAAATTTAATTTAGGAAATGGAGTGAAGGCTTCTCTTGCTTCTAGAGACCTTCTGTTTGAATCTCTGTTCAGACTTTATCAACGAGTCTGTGAATAGGAAAGAATGGCTGTGTTCTTGATGAAGGGAAGAAAATTCCCCAAATACTACCTTCTGTGAATTGTTCATGGATGACCAGTCATTCATGGGCTGCCATCTGAACGAGCAGCTCTCTGGGGAGGGTGTGTGGTGTGTGAATACATTTGGAAAGTGGTAATGTCTTGCAGTTTATCTGTGTTCTCTTCCCCATGACAACTTCCATTCTCCATCCCCTCCCCCCTTAAAAAAATAGAAACGACATTTAGTTTAAAGGGTAAGCATTTAAAACCAAAGTCCAAATTATTCCATTTTAATGTTACATTTTAATTCATTGGGAAGTAAGGATGCATATATTGCGTTTTTACAGTTACGGTACATGGACAGCAGAGAAGACGAACAGGTCCGAGGCATCACCATGAAATCCAGTGCCATTTCACTGCATTATGCAAAAGGTGAATCGATCTGTCTATTAAAGAAAAATAGTTTTGAACCTTCTGTGTGTGTTAATTGCATGCCTTAGTTTCTTTGCTTTATATTTCCACAATTGGCATCCTGGCCTCTCCAAATAATTTGTTGTCAGAATCAGACTCTCTGGGCTTAGATGCAGTTGAGGACCTCTAGTTGTCTTGCAGGCAGAAAAACTGGCTGTTCACACCTGGCCTCCATCCACCCAGGTGACTGTGTGGATTTCTTCAGAAGGAAGGTCAGGAGTCCTAGGACCTTGCAGGCTTAGCCTTCGTGTTCCATTTCCTGGCTGGATCCTTGTCCTGTCCTGCGGCCTGTGTGTTGTGTTTAGAGTCTTATTTACGGTACAGTGGGTTGCCATGATCATTACAGCTTGCTATCCTCAAATAAGGATGTCATTTTGACAGTAACTCTAGGAATTGAAAAGGATTATTATGTTTGGCCAGAGGACATTGGTAGGTGGCCACAGCTATGGGAATGGAAGCCTTTCTGGAAATTAAGGAATTTGTGTGGGATGCATACATGTGACCTTCCCATGACAATATGTTATTCTCAAGGCCCCAGTGCACTTTGGAATCCTTAACCTAGTGTTCGGCAGCCACTACCAGTGAAATCTTACTTTGCGGCATGAAATGCGTGCCGTCTCGAGTACAGTGGTCGAAGGCGTGTCTTTGGAGTTAGGTGGGCTTGAACTTCCGCTCTACCATTTTGCAGTATTTGGTCTTAGATAGTGTACCTCAGTGTCGCATTCTAGCTGCATGTCCTGCAGAAAGACATTCAACTTTTTGTGCCCCTGTGTTCTGCTCTGTGAAATTGGGCTAATGGTAGTAACTGCCACAAAGGGTTGTTGTAGGTAGATATTAATAATGTCTGTAAAATGCGTGTAACAGTGCCAGGCACAGATGTGAGCTCTGGCCTTGGTTATTGTTGTTGTTTTATCAGTATCGGTATCACTTAGGGCAGAGGCCAAGTCATCAAGTTGTTAGCATCACGCTGGGGACCCTTCCCGGCTCGTGACGACGCGCAGCCGTGGCAGTTCTGGGGCCGCGGAGCTGAGGAGCAGAGCTGGGAGGGAGCAGCGGTCGAGTGTATCGGTATCACTTAGGGCAGAGGCCAAGTCATCGAGTTGTTAGCATCACGCTGGGGAACCTTCCCGGCTCGTGACAACGCGCAGCCGTGGCAGTTCTGGGGCCGCGGGAGCTGAGGAGCAGAGCTGGGAGGGAGCAGCGGTCAAGTGCATGTGCAGTGCTGGAGCCTTCGGATTATTTTGCCTTTAGAAGAGAATTATGTCAAATTAGTAATAAATGGGGAGTAAGGATAGAATTCTAATGAATTACTGTTTTTCTGCATGGGTTACTTACGTTTTAATGTTAAATCTCTGTAACTTGGATGGCCAGTTGTTCTAGTTTGCCTGGGGCTGACGTAGGGTTAGTGGGATGTGACACTTGGTGCTAAAACAGGGCAAGTCAGCATGTGTGGTCACCCTGCTGTAAGCTTAATGCTTTTATTGTGAGGATTGCAGGAGATAGTATATGTGAGGACACTTAGAACACTGCTTGGCACATGGTAACTGCTCCTTACATTTTTGTAGAATTCACTGAATTTTTTTTTTTTTTTTTTTAATCCTCACCTGAGGGTATTTTTCCATTTTTTGTACAGATAGAATGGGAGGGAGAGAGAGAAACATCGATGTGAAGGGACACATCGAGTGGCTGCCACCCGCACGACCAACCAGGGCCGGGGACAAACTGCAACTGAAGTACATGCCCTTAGCGGGAACCGAACCCGGGTCTCTCTGGACCGCAGGCCGACACTCTAACCGCTGAGCCAAACTGGCCAGGGCGAATTCACTGAATTTTGATTGAGCAGATTCATACCTGCTTTTTGAGATTTTGTAGGGAAGGAGTTGCCCAACTGCTTTGTGTCTTTTTAAGTTGGCATTTCCTGCCCTGGCTGGTTTTGCTCAGCGGTTAGAGCATCGGCCCGCGGACCAGAGAAACCCGTGTTCGGTTCCCACTAAGGGCACGTACCTCAGTTGCAGTTAGTCCCAGCCCCGGTTGGGGTCGTGTGAGTGGCAGCCAGTCGATGTGTCTCTCTCACATTCGATGTTTCTCTCTCTCCCTCCCTCCCTTTCTCCCTCCTGCTCTGTCTGAAGATAAATGCAAAAATGTCCTTGAGTGAGGATAAAAAGAAATAAGTTGACATTTCCTGCTTTGGCCCCTTTGAACAGCCTTCCTTCTCCGACATTGGTTTGTTTTAGTTTCAACTTCCCAATCAGTAAAATGAGTATAGTAATGTTTATCTAATAGGGTTACAGTAAGAATTCAATAATGTGTGATTAGCACATTAAAATTGTTTACTTAGCACAGTGCCTGGCTTACAGGAGGCTCTTAGTAAGTGGTAACTATTAGAATAAAGTCTTTGAATGTTTTATAATGATACTGTTTGGAATCAATATTCCATCAGTGGGAATTCTAGATTGGCACGACAGCTGTTGATTGAGCCTGTGCCATCTCTACCTTCACAGTCATCTCCAGATGCTTTCTTATTCCGGATGCCTGAGGAAGAGTGTGGTACCCTGCATGGCTGACAATGTCTGTCCTCACATTTCATTTCAGATAACGAGGAGTACCTGATTAATCTGATAGACTCTCCGGGACACGTGGATTTCTCCTCCGAAGTGTCGACGGCTGTTCGCATCTGTGATGGGTGCATCATTGTGGTCGATGCTGTGGAAGGAGTCTGTCCGCAGGTAGTGGGTTGGGAAGTGACAATACGTAACTGTTCAGGAAGGTGGGGAAAGAGGAGGAACTGACTGGTTGATTACTATGTGCACTTAGATTTCATTGAGAATCAGAAAGTTGGTTTTACGTTTTATAATTTGATAACGTTCTAGTCTGTTACGGAGTTAAATTTCCCAAGTTTTAAAGGGATGTTAGAGAGGATGACTTTAACTTAGGTACTTGAAGTGTCTCTGATATCTTCTTACAGAGGGACTCAGCAAAAGTGGGAGAAATGTTGAATTTTGGGATGCTATGGTGGTTTTACTCCCAATGGGAAAGGTTTCTGAACTGAGAGGTTATTGGGAGCAGACTCCTGAGCTAGTTCTCCCCTAGGTAAGAGAACTCCTCCTCTGTTGGCTTTGCAGTCTACAGTTGTGCCTCTGTCTCCCTCCACACACGCCGCCCTCTCTCCCTCCTTCCTCTCCTGCTCTTCCACATCCTCCATCTAGTGTTTGTCATCTTTTCCTTCGAAGTTGGAAAAGTTCACCCCTAAGGCTAGCTTGAAACATTTAGCTCTGGTGGGCATGGAATTCGAGAGTGTCTCTATTCTTAGTTATTTTTTTGTTTTGTTTTTGTGGGGGGTTTTTGTTTGTTAATCCTTACCCGAGGATATTTTCCCATTGATTTTCAGATTGAGTGGAAGGGAGAGAGGGTGGGGGGTGGGGAGAGGGAGAGAGAGAGACAGAGAGATAGAGACATTGATGCAAGACAGAAACATCGATGCAAGAGAGACACATCGATTGGTTGCCTCCCGCACGACCCCGACCAGGGCCAGGGATCGAACCTGCAAGCGAGGCACGTGAACTCTCGACCCTTCGGTCCAAGGTACGGGTTCGTGCGGGAGGCACTAATCGATGTGTCTCTCTTGCATCGATGTTTCTGTGTTGCATCAATGTCTCTCTCCCTCTTTCTTTCTCCCTCCCACTCTCCCTCCCTCTTTCCCTTCCACTCTATCTGAACATCTAACTGCTCTAACTGCTGAAGCAAACCTGCCAGGGCTAATCTCAGTTTTTTAAATAATTTTTTCTTGAAACCTTGTGTTTTATCTTATAAATGTTGTCACTTTATATCCTACCTCTTTTTTTTTTTTTTTCATCCTCACCTGAAGACTGTTTTTTTTTTGTTTTTTTTTACATTCATCTTCAGATAGAGCGGGAGGAAAAGAGGGGAGAAGAGAGAGAGAGAGAAAAACATTAATGTGAGAGAGACACATCGAGTGGTTGTCACCCACACGACCCCAACCGGGGCTGGGGACAAACTATAACCAAGGTACGTGCTCTTAGCGGGAACCAAACCCGGGACTCTCTGGTCCGCAGACCGACGCTCTAACCACTGAACCAAACCAGCCAGGGCATATCCTACTTCTTAATACACCCTTGTTTGTTCTAATGTTTAGTTACATTTTATAGAAAGAAGAACTAAAGGTTTAAATTAAGTGGAGGAAAGTTGATAATTCTAAGAGGTGCCCTAATTATCCTGTAGCTTCCCCTCTGATTTCCCTTAGGGCACAGGTAGCTCAGCTTGAGGAGCACAGACTTGGTCTGTGTGGTGCTTCAGGCATCCTGATAAGTGAGTGAGCAGACCTGGCCTCAGCAGAGTGGTGGTGAATGCCGGGAGACAGGATTATGCTCAGTGAGGTGCACATAGGGACTTTGGCAGAATGTTCTGCTCTTTCACCAATTTATTGGCAGCATAAGTGTTTGTTTTATATTTATTCAGTAAAATCTGTATGTGTGCGTGTAAAATTCCACCAAACTCCTCACTGTCTTTTACACAGTTTTACGTATCTTAGTCAGTTTCATGAAGGCAGGGACGATTTCTAGCCTGTAGTTCTTTGCTGATGTGTTCTGTACTTTGTGTATGTCTAGAGAGCACCTGTGTCTGCCTGGCATAGTCTGAGTTACAGTGAAGGAGTGTGGAGATGAGCTGATCATTGGTCCAGATTTTCGCTGTGTTCTGTTTCAATCACGAGCTTTGTTTCCTCTCTGCTGGATCAGACGCAGGCGGTTCTGCGGCAGGCCTGGCTCGAGAACATCCGCCCAGTCCTGGTGATTAATAAGCTAGACCGCTTGATCGTGGAGCTGAAGTTCACCCCGCAGGAGGCCTATTCTCACCTCAAGAATATTTTAGAACAGGTATTTTATTTTTTACTTCTGTCTTAAAAATCAGGGCTCAAAGAAGAGTTTTAAGGAGTTGCTAAGTTGAATACTAGGCATTGCTATGGAAAATTCACTTCGAATTTGTTCATTTAAGATGCACATGTGCTGGAATGACTGTACTTCAGCAGAGGTAGCAGGACACGCGCCCTCTCAGGAGTCCCCTCCTCCTGGAAGCACCCTTGTGCCTGAAACTTAGACAATAAGTTATAATGCTCTGTTGTTTATAATTTTGTAAGTTGGTTCCAACAGGAGACAATATTAGCAGGCCCTTTGGTTTTTCATGACCTGTCTTGAGATGAACTTTTACCCAAACATACATTCATTTTATTCAGCAGACATTTACATAGTTACATGTTGAATAATGAGTTCTTGGATGTCCATCAGGTGCGGGAGATTGTGACTATAATGACAGAAAGGTCAGAGTCCCTATTTTCAAAGATCTCACAGTGTGGAGGGAGAGACAGACAAGCAGTCGAGGTATCTGGAGAACGATGAGGTGAGCCCTGATGTGACTGGGATCACAGGTGAGGCCACCTCACTCGTCGGCTCCAGAGGGAAGAGAGGGAAAGTTTCACAACAGAAGCCGTGAGACTGAAGAAAGATAGTGTTTGCCAGGTAGAAGATTGTGGCGGGGCATTTGACAGAGAAGGAATAAATGTACAGTCAGTCGTAAAGGCAAGAAAAAGCATAGTACAGTGTTTTGTTCAAAGAACTGTATAGCTGTCACGTTACACAGTGACAAGAGGTGGGAGTAGAAAGGAATAGAGGGCTTACATGCGAACCTCGTGTGCCATGCGTGGAGGTTTGAACTTTCTTCTTCAAGCAAGGGAGCACCATGGTGAGACCAACTGGAGAATCTCGGAAGGGGGAACGTGGAGCAGCAGTGGACAAGAACGGCAGTGGGTCTGGCTCCCTGGAGACACACGGCAGCGGAGTGGGCACAGGGAGGCAGTCCTGCCTGCAGAGGAAGGGGACAGGCCGGCAGGGTTGCAAACGTGGACAGGCTGATGGGTTGGGGTGTGGGGGGCTTGCAGGAGTGTTGAAGAATAGGCTCCATTTTCTCTCTGAGATGGGAAATAAGACGACAGTTACAATGGTTGGGAGTTAGAGGTCAGAAAGAGGGCCTGCAGGGGGTGGGGAAAGTTCAGTTGACAGGAGAAATGGCCACGGAGTTGCCTGAGGTCGCAAGCGAGGATCGAGGGGTTGAGACCATGTGTTCCCAGGGACGCCAGGCCTCAGTGCTGAAAAACAAGGTGAGGCATGATATATTAGTGTTTGTATTCAAGTAATAATCTCAAAAATGACCTTTCCAGAGCCTTACAATTCAGTTTCGCTGCGTTCAGGAAGAATGGGTTGATAACATGGAAGTTATTTATTGTGGTAAGCGTCTATTTAACATGAGCCTAAACTGACTGATGGATGACTCTAGGCTTAACCAGTGTTAGTCACGGGGTCTTCTACCATGGGCACACTAATCATCTGATTGACATTCTGCCATTTTACCATCTCTCCTAGATTAATGCTCTCACGGGAACTCTTTTTACTTCTAAAGTCCTAGAAGAACGAGCAGAGAGAGAGAGCGAATCCCAGGGGAACCCAAATTCCGACCCAGGAGAGCAAGTGTATGACTGGAGCACTGGCCTGGAGGACACAGATGACTCTCACCTGTACTTCTCTCCAGACCAGGGGAACGTGGTGTTTGCAAGTGCGATAGATGGCTGGGGCTTTGGGTAGGTTCTTCTGCGTCTAATTAACTCTCTCTGTGGATTGTATACGCAACTGATATTTAAATTGAACTTTTTATTTTGAGACATTTATAGATGCACTACAGTTGTAAGAAAGAATACAGAGTTTTCTTTTTACTGATCCCTGGAGTAGGCAGCAAGCCAGGGCCTGTTTTCTTCTTGAGGCAATAACTGCACCAGTGGGTGCCCACCATGGCCCTCCTGTCCTCTCGAGTGGTGGCTGAGGTGGGGGAGACACAGGGCTGCTTCTGTCCGCCCTGTCGGGGAGGATGTGGGGCTGCGGAGAGGTGAGAGTGTGCAGAATGGTTCCCTCCTCCAGAAGGACGCAAGCACAGGTTAACAGTATAGTGATGACAATAAACAGCATCATTTATAGTCATATAAATTACTTCTTCTATGAATAAGTGGTATGTCATGTCTGTGTCATAAATATAAATAATATAATAGTAAAATATTGGAATTTTTTTTAAAGACCTCTGCTAAATAAGTAACTGTTGTATCAAATGGGAAATAAAGTTTCCCAGCGTGAACTGCTCTGAGAGTGAGGGACGCGTGAGGCCGGCTCCAGAACCTCGCACCTGTCTCTGTATCTGAGTCTTGATTCTCGGCTGGCTCTCTTCTGTCTCTGGCCTCTGAGAGGAGACCTGGACACTTACCTTAGTTGTTTCTCACAGTGTCTGCCTCTGCTTCTAGGCTACTGCCTGATGCTCTTCGCAGTCCGGGTCCGATCTGGTTATTAACTTCCACCCTCTCGCTTCGCATTGCTGTTGTCAGGCTGCCTGTGTCGGCTAATTAGGCCGAGTGCTTGTTGGCCGCCGGATTCCAAGCACTGCAGCTGGCTGGCATGTAAAGAATTGTCTGCAGTGTGTTAACTTTGGGTTTCTTTTAAGATGCTGCTACTTTGAGAGTTAGACTCAGACCTTAGGTTAAAAATAGTGTTCACTGCAGAAAAGAGGTTTTTCCTAGTCCATGATGCAGACAAGGCAGACAGTGCATAGCACTCTGACTTGCTGGGTGTCTGCTCTCACGCGGCCGGGAGCGCAGCTGAGGCTCAGGAGGGGAGAGGCCATTTGTGCGTGTGTTTCCTCTCTACCCCAGGATGCTAAACCCCTTTGCAGGTTCTGGCTGTGCAGTACATTTTCTTTAAGTTTTTTTTTCTTTATTGATTTTAGAGAGAGAAGAAGGGAGAGAGAGAGAGAAACATCGATGAGCGAGAACATCTGTTGGCCACCTCCTGCATGCCCCCCACTGGGGATCGGGCCCACAACCGGGGCATGTGCCCTGAGCGGGAATCGAACCAACAACCTCTTGGTGCAGGGTCGGTGCTCAAACACTGAACCACACCGGCCAGGCGAAGTTTGTTTTCTTTGTGAGCAGCAGGCACCCAGAGCAGGGAAGGCTGAAACAATTTTTGTTGGCATAGCTGCACTGGGCTACTGAAGCCTGTATTTCCTTGGCCACTGTCCCCCTATCCTGTTTTACATGCAGAATTAACAAAGGGAGCCCTGGCTGGGGGGGTTAGTTGGCACATTGTCCCACACACCAAAAAGGTTGTAGGTTTGATTTCCGGTTAGGACACATACCTAGGGTGCAGGTTATATCCCCCGTCGGGGTGTGTATGGGAGGCAATCAGTCGATGTTTCGCTGTCACGTCGGTGTTTCTGTAGCATGAATTCTGATTTATATAAAGGTGGAGAGAAGTCGCTAAGAACATGGGCTCTGGGGCCAGACTGCTTGGGGTGAACCCAACTTCACTATCACCTATGGAATATCTGTTCCTCTTTATCCTTTCTGTGAAAGTGGGAGATCATTAGGCCCTGCCTTGTAAGAGAGTAGGAATGATTACATTCAGTAATATATTTGAAGCACTGTGGATCGAATAGTGTCTGGCGCAGAAAATGTCAGGTGTTAGCTATACTCATTGTTTTTACTAATAACATAAACACTTGCTTTTCTTTCAGCATTGAGCATTTTGCCAAAATCTACAGTCAAAAAATTGGCATAAAGAAGGAAGTTCTTTTGAAAACATTATGGGGAGATTATTATATAAATATGAAGGCTAAGAAGATTATGAAGGTTGATCAGGTAATGTGGCATGTGTCCCTTTTGAATGTTGGTTCCCTGCTTTAAGGGAACCTGTACTGGAACACCTTTAATAGATGTAATTTGGCTTTGGCTTATTCGGTCAGTTCATGGAGGATTTTTCACTGTGGATATGTGGTTAAAGGTCATGAATCTTATATCCAAGTACTGCTCAGCTGGAGGACTTTACATACAGGGAACAAAGAATTGCTTTTTTCTTTCTTTAGAGGAGAAAAATCTCAGGTCCTGGTTACTTGAAGACACATACTGTACATCATGCATTTGTGTGTCCCCTTTACAATACACAGACATCTCTTTCGCACATCTCTGTGTGGCCCACGCTGCATGCCTAGTCTCAGCCAAGGCCTTCTCTGACCAGTGCCAGCCACCGTGAGTGCTCATGGGAGGGCAGGGCTCCCTGGAAGCCTGCCTTCTGTAGACTCGGGACTGCCGAGTCACATGACCTCAGAGTGGCCTTTCCTGAAGCTTTTTTCCTAAATGTAAAATTCAGGGGTTTATGAATTTATTCTCATTGAAAAGCGTGAATATTCTTTTTAGAAAGTACTCATAAAGGCACAGGAAAGAAACAGTTCAGAGACCAGCAGCCGCCAATGCTATGGTTTTAATTTCTTTCATTCTTTTTAAATAGATATGTACATCCCTCAGTTTAGATTATACTATTTATATCATGTGGCTGCTTTTTTGCTTAATAGTATGTCTAAAAAAACATGGTGAGCATCTTTTCTTTTCCATGAAATGCTTTTCATAAACAGTATATTTGAAAAGGAGCCAGTGCGGTGAAATGGGAAGGGCATGTTTGAGAGTCTGGTTGAATGTTGGCCCAGCACTCACCCTCCCTGTGACCTGTGTCTCAGTTTTTTCATCTGTAAAATGGAGGTGGTTATAACCCTATGAAGTCATCCAAGAAGAGCCTGGAGAACAGCTCCTGTCATTACTTTTTGTTGGTATTATAAGTACCCTGTTATTATTTTATGTTGTCAGTGCATCGTTTATGTAGTCACTCTCCTAATATTGGACATAGTTTCTATTTCTAGTTTTCAGTTGTGTTTATAAGAAAAGCTATGGTGGGCATCTTTGCTTAAATTTTTTGTCTTCATGGTGACTTTTTTTTAACCAAATATTCAAAGTTAATGACTTAATTTCCTGATACCTTGCCACCAGCTTCAGACAGGAGGTCTCAGTTCATAGTCTGCCTGACATGACATGAGAGTGTCCATCTCAAGCTCTTCAGACAGGAGGTCTCAGTTCATAGTCTGCCTGACATGACATGAGAGTGTCCATCTCAAGCTCTTCAGACAGGAGGTCTCAGTTCATAGTCTGCCTGACATGACGTGAGAGTGTCCATCTCAGGGGCTCTGGCTGTTTTATTATGCTGCATAGTTTGATAAGAGAAATGGTAGGTTTTAAAAATTCATTTCTCCTTCCTCGAAGTTGATTATTTTTTATGTTTAAGAACATCCTCATGCAGGGTCAAGTTTTCGGTTTCACCTTGGGTGTGAAATGGTTCTTTGACAACAGTAGTGGGGTAGCCGCAGTGATATATCATTTGTGAAGTCCATAGTTCCCGTAGGAAGAGAGCAGTGGCTTATTATAATCACTTTCCCCCACTTTGCTGTTTAATAAATATTTGCTAATAGAAATGTGACTTACTGATAATAAAACATGCCAGGAATGAATATTTAAGATACCTATTACATACTCGGAAACCTAAGCATATATGTTCTTTTTTACAGGCAAAAGGAAAGAAACCGTTATTTGTACAGTTAATCCTGGAAAATATATGGAGTTTGTATGATGCTGTCCTGAAAAAGTAAGACTATTATAAAACTGTTTATCTTCGGGCAGTATCATTTGCCTCAGTTTCCAGTTTGATGAGTCATACTCGGGAAAGCTGAGAGAGACGAGCAGGTGAAGCGAGCCCGTTCAGATGAGCCGACTACAGGGCTGGAGAGTGTGTGAAGGAACGTGTGCGACCCCGTCAGGGCTGACACCAGGAGGGGCAGAGCGGGCGGGCAGAGCGCTGAGCTGAGAGATAAGGGGTGGGAAGGAACACTGGACTCTGTTTTTACAGACCCCGTTGAAATAAAGTAGTCATTGTAGTAGAAAGGCACTTGCTGTCTAGGATCATTAATGGGGAACTTGGGCAAACAGTTGCTTGATACAAGTGAAAAAGAAAGTTTGCTTTAGTGAGTTTAGTTTCTAGGTTACTTCAGAGTTGGAGTAATGCCATTTTAGTGTGCATTTGTAAAATCGCTTCACTGGGTGACATAGCTTGTTTACAGAGGCTGTGGCACAGCACCCCATGCACAGTTCTGAAGAAGGTCCGTGTGACAGTGCGAGCGTGGAGACTGAGCAGTCCTCCACTGTGGTCGGGGCTCTTTCCAGTCGTTTCTAGTGGGGTTGTTTGTAGAAAAAGTAACACATTAGGAATACATGTTTCGAGTAATGTTGGGTGTCTTTTCCTTGCTGCTCCTTCATATCTCTATGTGACCTTCCCCTCCACCCCAAACCTGTGTGTTTTCTTGTAGGGACAAAGAAAAAATTGATAAAATCGTGACTTCTTTAGGATTAAAAGTTGGAGTCCGGGAAGCTCGACATTCGGATCCGAAAGTCCAGATCAGTGCCATTTGTGGGCAGTGGCTGCCCATATCCCATGCTGTCCTTGGTATCCTTACTGTGATGGTTGCAGTGGAACCTTGGTCCTGATAGAGCAAGAGGGCAGTTGTTGGCAACCAAGAAACCCTCCGGAAGTAATGCGTTCCAGTCCGAACTCAGTCTTCCGTGGTATTTTTGTGGTGTTCTACTATGAAACTGGATTTGTGCCTTAAAAATCATACTAATACCAAATATTTGTACTAATACCAGTCCAAACGAATGTTCTTCTAAGGACATATTTCTTTTATTTTTGTTTAATCTGTAAAAATAGAAACTTTTATTATACTAAGATTTATATGTTAAGTAGATAATTTAGGTGTTTGTGTTAGATCACTTTTATTTAGTACCATATTTTTTTAGTGTGTTGATATTTCCCATCATATTTGCGATTCCAAAAAGACTTAATTTTAAGTGACTTTCATTAACTGAGATAATTTTATAGATGGACTGAAACTCTCCTCATTGATTTGCGTGTACAGTAGTGCCCGTGTGGTGGGCAGGGCGCCGTGTCGTCTCGGCCCACCGCTCGGATGGACACCTGCCCTGCGCTGACACTGGCTCTAGAGGGGACTTTCCTCTGGCAGAGCTAGTGGTGGTGGTGGTTTTATTAAAGTTTATAGAGACTGAGACCATATGAAAACATTTTAGGATTTCACGGTCACAGGCAGATAACTTGTGAAGCGAGCGCTGTTTTCGCTTGTTCTCTAGGTCATCAGCACGTCAGAATATCTGCTGTAGTCCTTCCTGGGCGTCAGAGTCCAAGGAGTCCCTGGAGTTGCATCCATACTCTGAGATAGATGTAGAAAGTAATGCTGCCTGACAGCCCAGGCTGTTTTGTGGAGCGTACATTGTTACCTCAGTATTTAGTGTGTATCGTGTATCTCTTCCTTGGTGGGGTGCAGGTCCTCAAGTGTTTGAGTCCTTAACAACAGACTTCAGCTATGGTGTGTCAGAAACTTCCTAGTCCCCTTGAGATATCATCCGAGAGAGTGGAGAGGCTGATGTGCACAGGGTCGCAGACCTTTGACTCTCTTCCAGCAGAGACCCAGGCGCTGAAAGCAGGTGAGTAAGGGGAACCTGGCAGGCACCCTCGTTTCCTTTATATTCCTCACCGGAGGAAATGCTCTACCTGTTGTCAGACAAGAGTGGAAGGAAGGGAGAGAAAGAGACAGAGAAACATTGACATGATAGAGCCACATCGACTGGTTGTCTCCCGCACGACCTGACCAGGGCCAGGGACGAACCACAACCAAGGTACGTGCCCTTGACTGGAGTCGAACCCGAGACTCATTGGACCACGGGCCCACACTCTAACTGCAGAGCCAAACCGGCCAGGGCTGTGGTTCATGTTTAATTCTGACTTTGGAATATTTTTTTCTTGTTTGAATTTTACTGGTGGATTCTTTAACTTATCAATAAAATATTTTGATGTGGAGTGATTTTTTAAAAGCATTACTATTACCTCCAGTGTAGGCTAAGAAAAATGTCAATATGTGCTATGAATTGTATAAAATCTATAGATTTAGGCCCTTGCCGGGTGGCTCCATTGGTTGGAGCATCATCCCATACACCAAAAGGTTGTGGGTTTGATTTCCAGTCAAGGCACATACCTAGGTTGTGGGTTCGATCCCTGGTCAGGACATGTCCAGGAGGCAACCGATAGATGTTATCTCTCACATCAGTGTTTTTCTCTCTCTCTCTCTTCTCTCCATCCCGCAATGTTTTCTCTCTCTAAACATATCCTGGGGTGAGGATTAAAAGGAAAAATTTTTTTGTAGACTTAGGGAAAGCTGACATCTTTATAATAATGGATCTCAGTTTATTTCTAAGATTTGTCATTACTGTCATGATAGTATATTTTTGTCTGTTTTCTAACTTGTTATTGTGGGGATTGGTAGAAAAGCTATTGATTTTTATGTATTTTATCAGCAGGCTCCTTTGTTGACCTTTGGTAATATTCCTCAGTTCTGTGCCTTCTCCATTGGATAGAGAGAAACATTAATTAGGGCTTGTGGTGGGTGGTTAACCCATTTCCTGGTTTCAGTTCTGTATAGGAGTTGTCCCAGCCCTCCTCCCACCCTGTTAATTTTGCTTTTCTTTTCTTATTTTTGCCATTTCTACTTGTTCTTGCTCTACTTTTCCAGCAATTTTATAGTTTTCTAAGTGGAATTTTTATTGTAGTTATAAAAGATTATAGACTGCTAACATATTTAGATGATGCCATAGTCAAAACATCTTAATTATTCTTCAGAAAAATCTGGATTTTTAATAAGGGAAAAAATAATGACATGTTTGCTTTCTGTTTGTTTAGCTTTTATGAAATGTGGAAGTGAAGATACTGCTCCAGTTATTATATTTGTTTCCAAAATGTTTGCAGTTGATGCTAAGGCTTTGCCTCAGAATAAGCCAAGGTAAGGGTAAGGGGAGGTTGGGCTGGGGAAATGGTGTATGTTGGTGGAAGGATGGGTATCTGAGAAAGGTACATGCTACTATGAGGCTCTCTGTGGGAACATGGGCTCTTTTTTTTTTTTATCCTCACTTAAGGACGTTTTTGCATTTATCTTCAGATAGAGCGGAGGGAGAGAGGGAGGAAGACAAAGAGAGAAACATCGACATGAGAGAGAGACACATTGAGTGGTTGCCACCCACACAACCCCAACTGGGGCTGGGGACAAACTGCAACCGAGGTACGTGCCCTTAGTGGGAACCAAACCCGGGACTTTCTGGTCCGCAGGCCGGCGCTCTAACCGCTGAGCCAAACCAGCCAGGGCGGGACATGGGCTCTTGCATGTCAGCTCACAGGCTCAGAATAGCTGGGGACACAGCATTCGCAGAGAAAGCCCGATAGGCCTCCTCTCCTGTTGGTACAGCTCGGAGAGCACTTGGAGGGACCTTCTGCCTGGAAGGGACCTGGAGCCGGTGGTCACCCAGTCACATTAACACTTGTGTTTTCCTTCTGGAGCCGCCCGGGAGGTGCCGATGCTGACCTGTCTGTGCTGTCCCGCAGGCCTGTCACTCAGGAAGAGATGGCGCGGAGGCGCGAGCGCGCACGGCAAAGGCACGCGGAGAGGCTCGCAGCGGCGCGGGGCCAGGCGCCCGTGGGGCGCTCCTCCGACGGGGGTGCTCTCGAAGCAAGTCCGGAGGCAGAGGAGCCGCCAGGTGCAGCCCTCCTGAACAGGCCGTGGTGCAAAGTCTTTTTCTGCTTAATTTGGGACACTCATCCTTTAGCTCTTGAGCTTCTAGCTTGAATTGTAGCTTTTATCAGTATTCTGTTATTCCTGGTGTTTTCTTTCCCAAAACTGGGCCAAATGTACATCATCCTCACTGTCCCCTCTGTCTCCAGGCAGCGCCCAGAGAGCATTCCTGGCACTCATTGTCTTCTTGTTCCTGGCAGGGGAGCAGCAGGGGCAGAGTGAGACCCCCGACCCTGTGCCACAGGAAGAAAGCAACCAAGAGACTTTCATTGCGTTTGCTCGGGTGTTCAGTGGTGTGGCTCGAAGAGGCAAGAAAATTTTTGTTTTGGGGCCCAAATACAGTCCTGTGGAGTTTCTGCAGCGGGTAAGAATTAAAAGTAAAACATTAGTATATTGTTTCAAGGTTTTGATATCTTTTAGGTTGGTGAGATTGGTGATTACCTTATCGGTAGATTTATTGTCTCGAGAGAGGCACATTGGATGAATTCATATATCTCCTTTTGTGTTGCCTTGGTAACATTTGGTGAACCTGTCTCATGTAGTAGCATTTAGGAAACTGGTATACAAACCAAGTTTTCAGGCCTTAATAGTTACAAGGCTTTTCTCTTCAAGGCTGGAAGAAAGAACTGGTAAGAACAGATGTCATGCTAGAGCCAGGACAGATCTTCAGGAAATAGGGAGATCCAAAATCTTGGGTGCAGGGCCTGGACAGTGAGCTGGGACAAGCACTAGTCGCACACCAGGCAGTCTGTAAGCAGGTGAACAGCTCGCATCCAAATGTGCCTGAATCAAAGGGCAAAAGGAATGGCAAGCTGAACAGAACATTTAGGAATAGTAATTAAACACTGGAGCTCATGGGAGGGTGAAGTTGCCAGAGGTCCAGGGAGCCAGGCAGGATCAGCAAGAAGCAGACAGAACTTACTCGTCAGGTTACATGAAAAGCCTGCTAACCCTTTAAATCAGTACCTGCGTTTGTCATGAGTCAATATTTTGCAGTGTGTTGATTAGGTGTATCTGTTTATTCAGGTAATTTTAAATGTTTTTCATTTGAAGTTTTATAATTTTCTCCATAAAGATCTTTAATCACATTTATTAGACTTATTCTTAACTATCTTTTGTTGCTATTCTAAAAATTAGTATTTTTTAAAATATATATTTTCTATTGCTGATCTATAGATATACTTTTGTGTGTTGATCTTGTGTCTAGCAACCTTGCTAAACTGTCTTACTAATTATAATTTATCTGTGGTTTAGTGGACATTCATATTGCTTATGGGTCATTCTGTTCTTTCCTATTTAATCCTTCTGTTTAATAGTTCTTTCCAACCTATCTTTAGAGCTACCCTGCAGAGTTGTCATTGAGTCAGAACATGTACATTTAAAGTCCTTTAATAAACTTTTAATGTAATAGAGTTAAGAAAAATAAAATAAAATAAAAAATATATGGCACGTGCCTGCAAGGCCATCTTTTTTGTGGAGTTGCTGAGTTTAACCTAACATAATAGCTTCCCCTCCTCTGAGCTTCAGTGAATTATTTGCTGTCTTGCTTTTTTTGCACTCCATGTTTGTGACCTTAGTTATCTTTGTTTTATCCTAACCCTTTTTTCTCTCCTAGCACTTTCACAATGCCTCTGGCCTATAGATACAAAGATAAGTTGGTGATTGAAATGCTCTCAGGGTATTAGCATATATATGGAGGTCACTGAATAATTCAAGACAGTATCTTGAATACTCTTTAAGATGTTGAATAATTCTTTTTTTTATCCTCACCTGAGGACATTTTTCTATATTTTGTTCAGATAGAACGGGAGGGAGAGAGAGAGAGAGAGAGAGAGAGAGAGAGAGAAACATCGACGTGAAGGGACACATCGAGTGGCTGCCACCCACACAACCAACCAGGGCCGGGGACAAACTGCAACTGAGGTACATGCCCTTAGCGGGAACTGAACCCCGGTCTCTCTGGACCGTAGGCCGATGCTCTGACCACTGAGAAAACCAGCCAGGGCAAGATGTTTAATAATTCTTGACAAAACTTGAATAATTTGAGACGATATCTGCACAAGAATAAATATGATATAGGGGGAGCTCCTAAATCTGTTCTCCTTGCAGAATATTTACGTCTCAGAGTTACTCGTTCCTGTGTGTTCCCGAGCACTGGCGCCAGCCGTTGTTGGGTGCGTGAAGGGATGCAACAGTATCGAAACAGCAATAATGAGTGCTGAAGTAGTAGCACAGTCGTCCAGAACCGCTGTGACAGTGCTCACGTGAATATAGCAAGGGTTATGTATGGGGAGTTTTGTTTATAGCTTATGTGTTGCTACCAGGTTACAACATGATTTGTGGTAACTGAGCTATAAAGCTTATGATTATTTGGGATTAATGACTATTTTCGTATATTTATTTCTTTTAGTGTTGTTGTTTTTTTTGATCCTCACCCAATGATATGTTTATTGATTTTAGAGAGGAAGGGAAAGAGAGAGACAGACAGACAGACATCAGTGTGAGAGAGAAACATTTACCAGTTGCCTCCCATACACGTCCCAATGGAATTGAACCCACAACCTCAATATGGGTCCTGACCAGGAATTGAACTCAAGACCTTTCGGTTTATGGGGTGATACTCCAACCGAGCCACATTGGCCAGGGCTTGACCATTTTTATTTTTACTTACTTATTTATTTTTATCCTCACCTGAGGACATTTTTCCATTTTTGTTCAGATAGAGTGGGAAGAAGAGAGAGAGAGAGAAACATCGACATGAAAGGGACACACAGAGTGGTTGCCTTCCGCATGACCCCAACCAGGGCCGGGGACATATCGCAACCGAGGTAGGTGCCCTCGACTGGAATCGAACCCGTAACTCATTGGTCCGTGGGCTGACGCTTTAACTGCTGAGCCAAACCGGCCAGGGCAGGGCTTGACTATTTTTAAATATATGAGAGGTTTCACTATTTAGATCTTATTCATAAAGTGAGACTTATTTTTATATAACACCATTTCAGATTTGCATGTGTCAGATTTACATGAAATGTCACTGCACCACATCTTACTTATGAATGAAAATAACTTTATAGATGTCAACTAATGTTATCATTTAATGCTTCCTAACTTACATTCAATCATTTTTCTTCTTCCAGGTGCCATTGGGCTTCTCAGCTCCACTAGACGACCTGCCCCCTGTCCCCCACATGGCGCGCTGCACCCTGGAGCACCTGTATCTTCTGATGGGAAGGGAGCTGCAAGACCTCGAGGAGGTGCCTCCAGGAAACGTGCTAGGTAGGCTGGCGCCGTGCCCTGTGTGTCTGTGAGGGTCGCCTGACACATCACAAGACCTCGAGGAGGTGCCTCCAGGAAACGTGCTAGGTAGGCTGGCGCCGTGTCCTGTGTGTCTGTGAGGGTCGCCTGACACATCACAAGACCTCGAGGAGGTGCCTCCAGGAAACGTGCTAGGTAGGCTGGCGCCGTGCCCTGTGTGTCTGTGAGGGTCACCTGACACATCACAAGACCTCGAGGAGGTGCCTCCAGGAAACGTGCTAGGTAGGCTGGCGCCGTGTCCTGTGTGTCTCTGCTGAGGGTCACCTGACACATCACAAGCCAGCGAAATCTCTGACGGAAATGGCTGTGACCTCTTTCTCAGTTCGGTTCATTTTATTTTCTGGTGTGCTTAGACTTTCACTTCATACGTTTGAGTAATTAGCACAGAGATCAATAACTTGGTGTGAATTGTGGTAGTTCTATTTTTTTAAAAATGTACTGCTCTCGCCCTGGCCAGTTTTACTCAGCGGTTAGAGTGTCGGCCTGCGGTCCAGTGACCCGGGTTCGGTTCCTGCTAAGGGCACGTACCTCGGTTGCAGTTTGTCCCTGGCCCTGGTTGGTTGTGCGGGTGGCGGCCACTCGATGTGTCCCTTTCATGTCGATGTTTCTGTCCCTCTCTCTTCCTCTCTCTCCCTCCTACTCTATCTGAACATAAAATGGAAAAATGTCCTCGGGTGAGGATATAAAAAAAAAAAGTACTGCTCTCCTTGGCTGGTTTTGCTCAGTGGTTAGAGCTTTAGCCCATGGACCAGAGTCCAAAATGTCTAGGGTTTGATTCCTGGTCAAGGACATGTATCTGGGTTGCAGGTTTGATCCCCGGCCCTGGTTGGGGTTGTGTGGGAGGCAACCATTCAATGTGTCTCTCTCATGTCGATGTTTCTCTCTCTCTCTCTCCCCCCCCATTCCCTCCTTTCCACTGGGGCTAAAAAAAAAGTACTGCTCAAGTAGTCTGTGAATGCTCTAAGCTGGGGTTCCTTTCGTTTGGTACAAGAAGAATTCCTGCTCATGTCAGTCTAGATGACTGAGACTCTTTTGGTTCTAAATTATTGGACACTATTAAGGCTTGGGTTTCTTGGAGAACAATCTTACTTGGATAATTAGGGTATTTCCTTTCCCTAGTGTTCATTAGAATGAACAGTGAATTTTTAATTTGGTTCCTTGGTTGGGTTGGTAATGGCTCCATCAGAACATCTGGAACTAGTTACCAGCCTTACAATCAGAATTACTTTTTTTCACTTGTTCAGTGATTTGAAAACTTGAGCATATTTAGCAGTAGCAGCAGTTTCATAAGCCATGCGTGTAATAAGAGCAGCCTTTCAAAGCTGGGAATAAGCGTGAGGCAGGGCAGAGGGGAAGGCCTCGGATTCTGGCTGTCAGTGCGTGAGGAGCAGACAGCCCGAGAGAGCGCCAGCTGGCGGCCAGGGGTGGTGGGCGCGGGTGCTCGCCGCCAGCTGCCCGGCTGGGTCGGTGAGAGCAGGTTTGTCAGCACAGTTCTTTGTTGCTGTTGTTTTTAAACTTCAGGACAGGTTTGTCTTTGGGTGGGGCAGTGACATGGAGAGCATGAGGTGGTGGTTGATCTGGCTGAACTGATCTGCATATTGCGTTTATCTCTTGCTGCACAAACCACCCAAAGCCTAGTGGCTTAACACAGAGACAGCTTTTATTTTCTCGTGAATCTTCAACGGACGTGGCCTGTCTTGTTGGACAGCTTTTGTTCTGTTCCACCTGTTATCATTTGAGGTACTCAGAGCTTGGGCACTAGGATGATATGAAGGCTCTCTTCATTCATGTCTGGTGGCTGCTGATTGTCTGCTGGGACATTGGGTGGGAGAGGGACTGGGCTGGAACGTGTGGCCTTCGGTGCGACTGCCTAGCGTCCTCACAGCATGGCGGCTGGTTCTGCAGGGGAGCATCCCGTGGGCAGAGGACGAGGAAGCGGTATCAGCTTGTATGACCCAGCCTCCAAAGCCTTCAGCCTCACTCTGCCACATTCTTTTTGTAAGATAGAAGTGAGTCATTAAGACTGGCCTATATCCCAAAGGAGGGAACTAACTCCACCTTTTGATGGGAGACATGTCTAAGAATTTGCGGACATGTTTTAAAACGGCCACACCACTAATCATAGATCATCTCTTGTTTTCTTTTATATGTTAACAGGCCCATGATAGGAGACAGATTACAAATTAGGACATAGCAGTGTTTACAATGATCAAGGCAGGCCTGTAAATTTCATCTTTTTTTTTTAGTCTTGTTGGCTTAGGGGGAGTTGTAATTCCTGTTTAATAGGAAATTAGTGGAGAGTGATGTGACTGACACCCATATGCTTTGCATCAGAAGTGACACAGAGTCAGATTTATCAAATGCAGATGAAAATTTTTGTTGGAGGAGGAAATGAAAACATTATATGGCATTCATAAACAAGTCCATGTATATGTCAGAGTCTAAAAAAAAGTTCTTTTATTGGCACTTGAAAAATGCAGATTTCACTTTTGAACTCGGCCATAACTCACTTAGAGAATTTATACTGACCAGTAAGTGTGGAATGGATTTTGTGGTCTGGAAATAGTTAATTTAAAGCTTAAAATTATTTAATTCCAACCTGATGTTTGAAAAGTTGGTATAGATGAAACTGGAGAGACCTCACATGTTTAACACACAATAGCCTTTTGTTCATTTCCCTACCGAGAATATCTCTAAAAGTGAATGTTTGCTACAGACTCCTGTTAAAATGTGAGGGGAAATTGAATTAGGATTCCAAATCTTTAGCTTTTTCTTACACACTTTCAGATCTCTTCCATATGGTTAAATCTTTAAAATTTCAGGGGCATATTTTAAGAGGAAATATGATATTCCTCTTTTTACAACATGAGGAGAATAATAAATACTACCTAGCCTTTCTCTGAACTGGTTTTAGTTCTGCCATGGTAGGTTGCCGGGTTGGTAGGAAGTCGGTGAATGAGTGTGTATGTGTGTCTCCTTACTCAGGTGCGTAACTAAGGAGTCAGAACCCTTTGTTGAAGGGTTTTACTAACAGATTTGATTTTTTTTTATTTAAAGAAAAATCAAAACAGTTTGTGATTCTTAAGCCTTGTGGAACTTTTTTAATACTTAAAATTCACTTACTAGTGAATTTCTTTTGAATATATTTTACTACCAACATTTCCACTTGGAAAGTATTTTAATCAGTGAATATTGGTGTAATGAATGAATCAATTAATCAGTTAATAAGATCACTGAGTTTAGGTTGGGAGAACACATGAGCAGCCAGAGCTACCTAGTATTCATCATTTATTTTTAAAGTTTAAAATATTCTCAGGTACAAAAGGAAGTTTGAAAGTGTGGAAAACATTTTTGTTTGTTTGTTTGTTTGTTTAGACGTGAACACATTTGGTATTTATTAAAAATATTCTGGAATTTCGTAGGTGAGAGCAAAATCCTTTTAGTCTGAACATTTCTCATTAAAGGCTATCAGAACAGTGACATTTTAAGTTGATAACATTGTCCAGGACCCCAGAGCCAAGGTGATGTTACCAATGGAAATTCTTTGTTTAGCTCACACCATGCACTGAAGCTAATTGCTTCTTCCTCCCCTCGGTGTGTCCCAGGCATTCTGGCAGGTACATTCTGGGCTGTTTGATGTCAGAGAAGCAGGGATGCTCTGAGTCTCAGCTCATTCTTCTCAGCCTTGGTCCATTCAAGAGCAGAGCTTTGTCCTCGCCTTCCTAAGGCCAGAGTTGTCCCCAGGAGTCACTTGAAGCCCCTTTCTGATCTGGGCTAAGGGTACCCCCAAGGGAAGGCAGGGCTCAGTTGCGTCCTAGTCTAGAGAGCTCTTCTGCCCGAGTTGTGATTGTGCAGTTTTCTCCAAGGTGTTATGTATGGGAACCTAAGCTTCACTGGTCAGTTTTCATTCTCTTGTTCTCTCTCCCATACTTTGGCACTTGTACTCTTTCTGCATTGTTTGGTGCTATATAAGTCTTGTGTGCTCGTCAAAGCTCTAGGTTACTCGTCGAGGGACCAGGTTGACTGTTGGCTGCGTATTCAGGTTCATTTCTCCCCGATGCATGGTGTTGTGCTAGCAGTGTATCACATCACCCTCCCCTCACCCCCGAGTCTTACTGCCACTTCGTCATTGTGAAGCTTCCACAGATACTGTAGTCTGTTTCTGGGCCCTATTTGCTATTCTGATGTATTTGCCAGTCTATATTGTTTGGTTTTGATGGTTTCAGTAACTCATTATTTAATCTAGTATTTATCACTGTTCATCTCAGTGTTTTGACTGTTCTTGGACATTTATTTTTCAATGTTAACTTGATATTTTTATCTTATTCTAGTACATGAAATATCTATTAACACATTTTATTTACAGAAGTAAATCGTAATCACTTTTTTTATTCAGTATAAAGCTCAATAATGTAGGAAAAACTAGGGGTAATTACTCTAGGGGTTATCAGTGTAATGTATGTTCTTCCAGCTTCTATCCACACGTAAACACATTCATGTGTGCACATGTCTTACAGTAAGGAACTGTTTTATTTGTGTGATTTTACACGTTCACTGGGGGGGAATCTACAGTGTTTACTGTATTTAGCCTTTTTTAGTGAAAGGGGGAAGAGAAGGGCTGGACTTAAACCCAGCACTGTGTTATCCTGGTCCCTAACGTTGCCGTTACCAGTCATGTCCAGCAGTTAGAGCTGGGCCAGCCCTGATCTCTGCTAGGGAGGAGCCCTTCTCATCTGCATATGAGGGCCTCGGCTGTGGCCCGGGCCTCGCCGTCTCAGACTGGACCCTAGCAGCAGCCAGAATTACCTCTTTTGCCGCAGGGTCTTGGCCCTTGGCCTTCTTTTTATTTTTTATTATGTTTTTATTTATTTTAATTTTAGAGAGAGAAGAAGTGAGAGGGAGATAGAAACAGATGTGATAGAGAAGCATCGATCAGCTGCCTCCTACACACTCCCTACAGG